AGGAATGGGAGAGGGAGGGAGGCACTAACCTGCAGGCCTGAGCAGGTACCTCACTCCGGGGGGAACACACTGACGCCACGCCAATCGCACACCAGGCCAGGCCTGGCTTACGGGAAGCTCTCAGTTCACAGCACCAATATTGGCCTTCAGAGGTCTTGGAGGTGGTTGTGTGTTTGCTGTCTGTATCTGATTTAGTAAAATTACTATCTAATTTTGCGATTATTGTAATTAGTGTGCAGTTGTGAGGAGTAACACAGAGATCCCTTGTGCTCAGAACCGGGACAGAAGCACTGATACAGTCAAGACACAAAGCCATCCCATCACCACAGCAGCCCTCGCGCTGCCCTTTCATAGCCAAACCCACACGTCTCCTCCTCCCACCCTCTGCACCCCAGGCAACCGTCAACCTATTGTGCATTTTAATGTATTTATCGTTTTGAGAATGTTATACAAATCAATCCGATATAATTCTGTAGAGATTTATCCATGTTTCTTCACATATTGATAGTTTGTTCCAGCTGGGCACAGTCACATATGCCTGTAATCTCAGGTTCTTGGGAAACTGAGGCAGGAGGATTGTAACTTTGAGACCAACCTAGGCAACACCATGAGACCCCCATCTCAAAGAAAATGTTTGTTCAGCTATCGAGTACTATTCCATGGTAAGGACATACCATAGTTTGACCACTCATCCCAGGAAAGGACATGTGGGTTGCTTCCACATTTGTCTATTACAAATAAAGCTGCTATAAACATTTTTATTTCTCAGAGAAAAAAAAAAAAACCAAGATCACTATGTCACATGGTAGCTATATACTTTTAGTTTTTAAAGAAATTGCCCAACTGTTGTCCCCAGTGCCTGTGCTCACTAGTAATATATGTGCTCCAAGTTCTCTGTTTCCTTGCCAACACTTGGGGTTGTCACTGCTTTTTATTTTAGCCATTTTGATAGGTGAGGAGATAGATGGGAGACTGAGGCAGGAGGATCTTAAGTTTGAGACTAACTGAGGCACACTGTGCTTTTGGTTAGCATTTTGAAAATAGTTAATGATGTTGAGCATCTTATTGTGATTATTAGCCAAATGTCCTCTTCAATGCAATGTTCAGATCTTTTCCCTACTTTTATTTATTTACTTATTTATTTTTTGATACTGGGAATTGAACTCACAACCTTGCGCTTGCCAAGCAGGCACGGCACCACACCACTGCGCTATATCTCCCACCCTCCCTACTTTTAATTGGATTTTTTTTTTTTTAACTGTACTGTTGTGTTCTTAAAAATTACAGCAAATTCATATACCACATAACTCTTTTTTTTTTTGGTACTGGAAATCAAACTCATGACCTCATGCTTGCAAGGCAAGTGCTGTGCCACTGCTACATCCCCAGCCCAACTCATCCTTTTAAAGGATATGATTCATGGGTTTCTTTTAGGTAGTTGCAAATTTGTGCAGCCACCATCATTATCTGACCCCACAAACAAAAACTCCATGCCCATTAACTCTCACTCCCTACTCACCCCTTTTCCCTGACCCCTGACTACTACAAAGCTCTTTTCTAGTTCCATGCCTTCACTTATCCTGGACATTTCATATTAGTGGAATTATGCAGTATGTGGCCCTTGTGTTCAGATTTTTTCATTTAGCATGAATGCTTTTCAAAGTTAATCCATGTTGTGGCATGTGCCAGTACCCCATTCCTTTTTTGTGACTGAATAAGACTCCCCTACATGAATCTACTACCTTTTATTTATCCATTCATCAGGGGGATATTTGCATTGCTTGCACTGTTGGCTATTGTGAGCATTCATGTACAAATTTTTGTTGGACATGTTTTCTTTTTTGGTGTTTTGGTTTTTCTCCGGTACCAGGAACCAAACTCACGACCTTGCGCTTGCCAGGCAGGCGCTTTGCCGCTGAGCTAAATCCCCAGCCCCTGGACATATGTTTTCATTTCTTTTCCATAGAGTGGTATGCCTGGATCATACAGACACTCAACTTTTACCTTTTTGGGAAATGCAAGACTATATTCCAAAGCCGCTGCACCATTTTATATTTCTACTAGCAGTGTATAAGTGTTCCACTTTCGTCACATCCTTGTTATCATGTTAGTCTTTTTTAGCCTAACCATCGTTTTGTTCATCTCATCATTTTTAGCAAAATGTCTGTTCAAATCCTTTGCACACTTTTAACCAAATTATTAAGATCTTTACTGTTGAGGTCTAATAATTCTGTATGTATTTTGGGTAGTATCCCTTACCAGCTATATGATTTAGAATTTTTCCCCATTCTATTTTTTGTCCTTTCACCTTCTTTAGAGTGTCCTTTGAAGCAAAAATATTTTAAATTTTGATGAGTCCACTTCATCTATTTTTTCTTTTATTTGTGTTTTATCTGTCATATTTTTTTTAATTTTAAAAATAAAAGAACAAAAACATATTAACAAACACATCCATTTACAAAATAGCACAAGAACACCACAAGCAATACTGAATTACAGACAAGGTGACAGGAAATTAACACTGGTTGCTATATTACATATTGATAACTTCAAAGTGGCTACTCAGGAAAGCAAATATAGACATGAAAGACTGATCAAATAATTAATCATTAACTGTTCCTTTCAATAAAATGATATGTCAGTAGTACAACTATGTCATATGTTTTTTTAACAAACTACTGCCAAGATTAGAAAAACTTACATCTATGTTTTTCTTCTAAGAATTTTATAGTTTTAATTCTTACACTTAGGTCTTTGATCCATTTTGAGTTAATTTTTATGTATGCTGTGAGTGAAGGGTCAAATTCATTTTGTGTACGTGTCGTGGCACTACTTTTTGAAAAGACTGTTCCTAATTGTCTTGGTGTCCTTTTTGAAAAGCAGTCTTCATAGATGTGTGAATTTATTTCAGGACTAATCTATATGTTTACCTCATTCCAGTACCGCGAAGTTTTAATGATTGTAATTTTGTAATAATTTTGAAATCAGGGAATACAATTTCTCCAACTTTGTTCCTCTTATTCACAATTGTGTTGGTTATTCTGGGCTCCTGGCATTTTTATGTGAATCATAAGATCAGCTTGTCCATTTCTGGAAAAAAGGAAGCTGGAATTTCCTGAGAATTGCACTGACTCAATGGATGAATTTGATCATATGCCATATTGACAACATTAAATCTTCTGATCCACGCGTATGTGATATTTTTACTCCTTTCCCTATTTTAAGGTTTTAATACCATTCCATGATGTTCTGTAGTTTTCAGTGTACAGGTATTTATTTACTTAGTTAGTTAGTTAGCAAGGCTAAACTCAAGGCTTTTTAATGAGCTACATATCCATCCTTTTTTACTTCTTATTTTGATGCAGGGTCCTCCTAGGTTGTTCAAGCTGGGCTTGAACTTTTGATCCTTCTGTTTTACCCTCTAAGGGTGCTGGTATGACAGGCATGCACCCCCTCCCTGGGCTCTTTACTTCTTCTATTAAATTTATTCTTAAGTATTTTATTCTTTTTGACAGTATTATAAATGGATTAATCATTCTTAGATTGCTTATTCCTACCATATAAAAATACACCTGATTTTTCTATTTCATTGTCATACCTTGCAATGTTGCTGAACACATTTGTTAGCACTAATTGCTCTTTTGTGAGTGTGCAGTCCTTAAGATTTTCTAGATATAATATTACATCATGGGGCTGGGGCTTAGCTCAGTGCCTGGCAAATGTGAGGCCCTGAGTTCAATTCCTGGTACCTCCCCCGCAAAAAATTATAGCATCTACAAATACTTCCTTTTTTCCAGACTATATGCTGTTTTTCTTTCTTTTTCTTGCTGAGTTGTCCTGGCTTGCACTTCCAGAACAACGCTGGGGATACCAAACGTCCTGCCTTGTTTTTAATCCTAGGATGACATCTTTTAGTCTTCAGCCATGAAGTATAATGCTAAGTTCTAGGTCTTTTAAAACCTGTTTAAGATTATGTTATTTTTAAATTATTTTATTACACATGGTAAAAGAAAGTCCAAACAATAAGATATAAAGGAGCAAAACTCCAAATTCCACCATTATCAGTACACTTCCAAACTTTTGGTATATGTCATATATGTACATGTAAAATACAAGTTACTAAAAACATTACTTGTTTTGAAAACAAATTTCTTTCTCATTCAATATAATTTTATCGCCATCTTTCCATTCCTGTGCCAAGGATTGATACCACCCTTTTCCAGCCGCCCATACTCCACTGTAAGACCGAATGACCCTTTAACTTCCTCTTGACGGATGTTTATGTCCCTTTCCCTCCAGCTATTATACACAAGCCTGTGATGAACACTCATCATCAGCTCCTTCCCAATGCTATGTGTATCGTGAGGTCTTTCTGGGGGTTTTTGGTCAGTTGGTTGGTTTTGTCAGATAATCACTAAAGATTTGGGGGCAGGGAACTAACACCATCAGAATGAGACTTTAGAAAGCTAATTCTAGCACTCCCAACTTACTTTGTGGTCTTGGGCAAATCGTGTTCCTTCTCTGGGCCTCAAATTCTTAGTCTTAGATTGAAGAGATTTGTCTAAATTCCTGGTTTTCGAACAAGATTGCATATTGGAGTCACCTGGGATTTTTAAACAACACAGCTACCAGAGTCTCACCAGCCCTACCCTGATTCAATTAGTAAGGGATATATAACCTGGACAAGAGGCTTCTAAAAAGCTATTTGGGACTAGATGATCTGCAGGTGTTCCTTGTTTAAACATTCTACCAAGGAGGAGCTGCGTCTTGGCCACCTCCTAGAGAGAGGCTGGCGAGCAGACCTGGGCTTGAGTTCCCACTCTTTGTTCCTGGCTGTGTGATGCTTCTCTGCACTCCCATTCTCTTGCTCCAGAGAAGTGTCTGAAATCCCCACCTAACATTCAGGGTCTCTGCCTGCGGAGGTGGTTTAAGTATGGTATACAGGGCAAGTGTGGTGATTATTGTGGTTTTTGTTTTTGTGTTTTCTTTTGGGACTAAAGAGCCAGCCCCTGGGCAACAAAGTAGAAATGGAGATCGTGAGCATGCTGGAGAAAAACGCAACACTTCTCAAATTTGGCTACCACTTTACCCAGCAGGGACCCCGGCTGCGAGCATCCAATGCCATGATGAATAACAATGACCTTGGTGAGTGGACATCTGCTTTCTGCCCTGCCCACTACGTGTCCTCTCCACCTGCACTGGGTACGTCAGGGAAAATCCCTGACCGCTGTCTAAGAGAGTCTTCTTGAGTGAACTTCTGATCCCACCTTCCTAGTTTCTGTATTTACGCCTTGTCTCTTCCCCTAGGCTGTGAGGCCCTGACTTAGGAGATAGGGCTGACTGGTCCTCTCGGCAGCACAGGCTGGGCCCAGAGAACACATCAGAGTGTCAGCCGGAGGAAATGAGACCTGGAGCGCACGGCTCCTCTCGGGTCTTTCCTCTTCTGGGTTACCTACCTTCTCCGGGCTCCCACAGTCTGCTCCAGATCACACTGTCTCGCTTTCACCCCGCGTTCCAATGCTACTGCCAACCAACAGTACTTTCAAGGCCCTGAGCCTAGGAGAGTCACACTGTTTCTAAGGAAAGCTGAAATGGCAATTTTGCAGTAAAACAGAAGCAGACTCTACTCACTGAACGTTTTTCTAAATAGAAAAGAAAATGTCATAGTCTTTCTTGAGGAGGAGACTACATCCCGTAGATACACAAGCCAACAAATGAAAAACAAGATCAATCATTCACTCACTTCCAGATGCGAGTTATTCTCAAGCTCCATGCATGGTTATTTATTATATATGTCCCTGCTGGCTCTTAAAAGGAACTTATATGGTGTATAATCAAGAGGGCACAATTGATAAGGCTACAGAAAAATAGGAGAAAAAATACGAGCAACAGGCCTGTATTATTTACATGATTGATCAGTGTATTTACGTTCCCTTAGTTTCCTAAAACCACATCAGGAACAAGACAAACCTAGTTATATTATTCTTACTACAGAAAAGAAGGAAGCATGACTTCAAAAAGAAAAGCTTCTTTCTTCATTAAATTACAAAATAAGTATGTCCCAATGGCTTCAGTAAGCTTTTCTTCAAATTCACGCCTACTCCACACACAGCCAGTTCTAGTTTTTGGTCCTCAATAAAATGCAGAGAGCCTAAGCCTAATTCACAGGGCAAGCGCGCTGCTCCCTGGTGAGTGTCTGAGTCAGGGTCAGCGTATGGGAGAATGGAGAGAAGTGTGTAGTGTATACGCATAGGGCCAGTACTCTCAGACCCTGTGTGCACAGACGGCCACGGAGCTCACACACACTCGCACTCATACACGCTCTAGACTGACTTACTCTACTCCATGGACGTTTGTCAAAGGGCTCTGTGCCACGGGGTGTTAAACATGCAGGTTCTTGCTTTCAAGCTATTAGAGCCCAGGAGCATGCATTCATTGCTCACTCCAGAGTCCATTCTTCCCCCAGAAGCCTCAGGTCTGGAAAAGCTCATTTAAAAAAATGTATCTGGCATTTTGGTTTATCTGAGGTATCCTTATTTGAAATAAAGTAAGAATAAACACAAATAACTAAGAGTCATAATTACTATCATCATATCACAGAGGTGATAGCTAGATAGACTCACTCAAGAGGCCAGCAATCAAAATGCTGTAGACCCAGCACTTAACCCTTAGTTTTATTCTCACAGCATAATTTCACATTTCCCCTGCAAGTAGATGCCCCCTGGAGCCTATCTTTGGGCTAACCCAGTTCTGTCTTTCCTGGTATGATGGTCTGAAGGTCTTGTTTTTTCTTGGGGACAAAGCTTCCAGATGACTAAAGGTCAGGGCTGTTGTGCAGGATGCCAGAATCATCTAAGGGCTGGACAAAAGCGCCTCTGAGGACATTCTCAGTCCTGAGAATCTGAGATTCCAAAGCTCAGGCATGACCTCCATCACAAGGTCTCTTAGGGGTCACTTTGGAGCCTAAAATGCCAGAATCGAAGGGAACTGGGGCTCGGCCTCCAATTCCCTTCTCAAGAAACTGAAGCCTGGGGTGGGCTGGGGGGTGGGGGTGGGGTGAAGGCCAAGCCTCAACCAGGTCACCTCAGTTGTTAGCTACAAGAAGCATTTTCTGAGTGACTCTGGTGTGCCCAGGACTGTGCCAGGTGACACAGAGGTAGCAGAAAGGCCAGTTCTGACTCAAGAAGCTTTACAACCTTGTAGGGGAAAAAGACTCAAAGGCATGCCTAAAAATTCAAGAATGCCTATACACTCTGTCCAAACAGTGAGGAAATGATTTACGAGGCTGGAGCCAGTTAGGCAAAGCACCCTGGTGGATGGGGCTCTAGCAAGCCTTGAAGGAAAAAGACAGGTTGACAGAAGATCAAGAGGAGCCCCTTCAGGGTCTCTAGGAAGTGACAAAGGTGCTCGGGGTACAAGGGCAAGGTGGATGGACCCAGTCTACCCAATGGCAGAGACAGGAAGATCGAAAGTGGCTGGAGGAATTGTTAAAAGGAGTTCAACCTGGAAGAAAAACTGTGAATTCACAAAGCAGGAAGGGAAGCACGTTGCAGCAGAGGGAACAGCATGAGCAGACGTGTGTTCACAGGAATGCGGCTGGGTACCTGCAGGCAAGGCTGGGCCTCAAAGCTTTTAGCACCAAGCTCAGAACCTCAGCAGGGAAAGCAGGTGGGACCTGGAAACCATGGGGGTCTCCTGGACAGGAATCCAGGTGATAACACAGACCTCTGGGTTACTCCAGAGACCTACGTGTAGCGGCGCTCTCAGTGTTTCCCACCGAAGGAAGGAGAGCAGAATCTCAGTGATTACAGGCCACATTCACATGCTAGTTGCAGATGTATCATTTCAAGATTTAAAAGCAGATTTGTGCCTTCCTGCTAATTTTCATGAGACACACTCCAGATTCCGACAGTGACTGTATTCCTCCTGTAACTGTCTTTCCAATGTAGTATCTCCCTCCTGCTCTCAGTGCTGTGGAAAATCAGATAGGCTTCCCTGTTTTCCAACTGATCGTTGTTATCATAAAAGCCTTCTGCCCTGCTCCTCAGGACTGTGGTTGACGCAGGGAACACAGACCAGGAAGGGGCAAGCCTCCCTGGTGTCCAGGCCCCGCCTTGGCTCAGGGCACAGGCTAGGGCTACTGTGGGGCTTGGGCTTTGCCTGCCTGGGACCCATCTTGACTGGTTCACCTTTGCTCCTTCTAGCCCTGGGCACTGAGCTCTCTGCAGACTGTGTCCCATGTGAGTGCAGGCTGCTGTGCTGTGGGGGTCAGGGAGGAGCCGAGCTGCAGCTCCCATCTACATTTTCCCACACAGTGCCTCAGACGACTGCTATCTGCACACTATTTATAGCAAACACCAGGCAAGTGTCGCTTGCTGGGCCTTCAGACCTGCCACCAGAGCCTCCTCCACTTAACATGTGAAGTGCAGCCTGCAAGTTAAGACAGCAGGTGGGATGCAGAGGGGCGTGGAGAGGGAGTAACACATGTAAAAGCAGAGAACAGCCCTTTCCAGGAAAGTTGCTTTTTTACTGTATTCTCCCGAAAGACCTTTCTTTTGTTTTTTTTTAAATTTTTTTTATTTTATGGTAAAAAGGTAAAACAAAATTTCATGACAAAGTAATGGTAGAATAACAATAGTTAATACATTGCATATTGTTATCTTTAAAGTAGCTATTCAGAGTACAAGACATAAGCATTAAAATTTTCTCCAATCAGTATTAGCCCAAACCTTCCTTTTCAATGAACTAAGAGACACTAATGGCATAAGTGCCTTGCATCTTTCCCCTTTCCCGTCCATCCTTTTCCTCATCCTAGTTCCTTTTTCCTTCTGAACAATTTCAGCCCATTTCACAATATCTATTGTACATTTTAGGCCTTATTTACTCTTTCAGTTTCTCATGTCAGGGACACAATACAGTGTTTACACATGCGAGTCTGATTTATTTCACTTATGAATACGGTCTCAAGTTGCATCCATCTACCTATGAAAGTCTCAAGTTCATCCTTAAGAGATTTTTAACAGGCACCTCAAACAGAGTTCTTTAATTTTATTGACAATTTTTACTTGTATATGTTTATATACTGATGTGATGATTTATGAATACAATGTGTAATAATTAAATCAAGCCAGTTGACATACCCATCATTTCAAATACCATTCTGGTGGTAAGAACATTTGAAAATTACTTCCTTAGCAATTTTGAGCATAAAATCCACCATGCTATGCGGTAGGTCTCAAAAGTAGTACTCAGCTCCTGTTGTGTGAGGCCTTGAGTCCCTTGACTTTCACCCCTTCACTCCTCCCCGACCCTCCAGCCTGCCACCACCATTCTACCTCTGTGAGCTCCACTGTTTTAGACTCCACATGCATGTTGGAACATGTGATTTCAGTCTCTCTGGGCCTGGCTTAGGTGCTCTAGTTCCTCCTATTGTGGCAAAGGTGGAATATCTACTTTTAAGGCCAAACAGTATTGTGTATATATCCCACATCTCCTTTACCCATTCATCTGCTGGTGGACACTGAAGCTGATTCTATGTCTTAGCAACTGGGAACAGCATACAGTGAACATGGGAGTACAGACATCGCTTTGACAAAGCCAGTAAACACCCAGAAATGAGAAGGCTGGATCCCAAATCAGTTTCTTTGTGTTTCTCCCAAACCATCTCAGGAAAGGGTACTACTTTCCCCACAGCCACTCAAGCCAGACCTCTGGGCTCTCCCTGGACACCGCCCCCACTCCTGCTATCCAGTACAGCGCCTGCCTCAGGGGAAGCCCATCATATCCACCTGGCTTCCCGCAACTTCCCCAGGCCTCCAGGTCCTGCAGGCCAAGGACCTTGCAGCACCACTCACCCCAAAGCTCGTCCTGCCACTCCCCCCTCAGAAGCCTTGCTGGGCTCCTATTTCTCTCAGGCTCAACTCTTCCACATGGATCCCACATCCCTTAAGTCACAAGGCCCTGACTGAGTCAGGCACTGTCCTAACACTTTCCATCTTATTAATTTATGTCATCCGCCCCACCATGGCATGCTAGCAGTATCCGCACCTTACAGTAAGGACACAGCTCTGCAGAAGCAGGAAGTGGGCAGAACTGGGATTTGAACTGACAGTCTGGCTGCAGAGCCTGTACATATCACCTCATTAAGAGAGGGTTCCATCCAGAGGCCTTCACTTGGTGAGTCCTGCCAGATTCATTTTATGACATCCAGATAAGCTAGTACCATCCATTCTAGGCACTCTGAGTGCCCGCAAGGAAGCCAGGAACAAGCTTACCTTCAGAAGGCCATGTCTCTGAGTGTCCCCCTTCTTTCCCATCCTCTGCTCTTTTATTCTTTGCAGTTCAGCTGACCTGTCATCTGCCTATCCTGGGGAGATCTGACTACCTCATTCATGTGCCTCTCACACCTCACAGGGATCCGCCAGGGTACTTCTGGTCTTTTATCGAGGTTACTGTTTGTACACGTTGGCCCTGTTATGCTGTCTCTTTCTGATTCCTGTATTTGGCACATAGGAACACTCAGAAAATGCTACTGAATTAGATAGGTGAATAGTTAAGTGCTTCATGAAGACCCGACTGATAATTCAACTGGCCAGAAGAGGTGGGGAATTCAGAGGGAGGTGGGTACAGGCAACTTGTGATGCCCTTCTAGCTGTGACAATCACCAAGTTTCTGGCTGCTTAGATGATACATACCTACAGTGCTAAGTGGTGGTGCTACAGTGCTAAATGGTGGTGCCTGGTGCACAGGTACAACTGGCTGACATTTCATCTCCATTCCTTTCCAGTGAGGAAGAGGAGGCTTGCAGACTTGACGGGGCCCATCATTCCCAAATGCCGCAGTGGCGTCTAGTGTGTGGCGGTGAAGACCATGCCTTTGAACTGGACATGTTCTACTGACCATCTGTGCTCTGCAGTGGAGACCAGGAGGCAAAATGCTGGCACAAATCTTTTGTGGTTCAGTTCTTATGCACTAAGGTTTTAGGTTAAATAGTGGTTGTAGTTGAAAATTTTATAAAATATGGGTAATGTGAAGTTTTTCTTTAGTCATAGAAGTTCAGTATGGTTATTAAAAACAAAGAAGCCCTCAAACTGGCAGATCCTCCTGCAGATGATGTGACAGCAGCAGTGACTTAACCCCAGAAACCCTGATTGGTGGCCTTGCTGTGCGGTGTTTCAAGTAATGTATAACACAACATGGCACACATAAACAGCACGCTCTTTGACTAGTTTGGGAAGTATTATAAAACACTTTATTACAAATTTGATCTTAGCTATTTAGCAAAAAAGAACAACGAATCACTCTTCACTTACCCTCCTTTAAATTTTAAGAACCTCAAGATTAAAGTTGCCAAATTGGTTACTGAATCAAAACCACAATTTTACCCCCAAGAAAGACAGACAGACTGAAGTCATAGACTGCTAGAAATCAAAAAACAAGATTCCTTTTGCTGGATATGGGGAAAATGGTAGAAAAAGGCAACAATGAAATTTCAAGACTCAAAAATCACCCTAGACAACAAACATATTCCTCAGTGTTTTTTACGAACATCTGTGATGTATTTATAATTGAACACTGGAGTCAGAAAGACAGTTTCCCTGATGAATGGATGTGAAAGCCTGTGGCCAAATGCTTGCTGCATGGCGGGGAAATGGCTTTGGTGAGGCCACTGCAAGGGTGAGTTTCTAGTCCATTGTGGCTATGGTATTTGGCATGGCCAAGCTTACAAACTTCAACGTCCTGTCTCGTCACTTACTAGACAAATCAATGCTGATCTTAGGCCTGCAAATGAAGTACCTGAAGGACAATAATGCAAAAAATCTAGGTATTAAAAAATGAGGGGGGCTGGGGATTTAGCTCAGCGGCAAAGCGCCTGCCTGGCAAGTGCAAGGTCGTGAGTTCGATTCCTGGTACCAGAAGAAAAACAAAACAAAACAAAACAACAACAACAAAAAAGACATTAGGAAATCCTGGTGAAATTACCTAAAGATGACTATTCTAAAAATGTAATTTTGGTGTTTCTACTGAATCCCTTTTTAACACCATACACATCATTTGGCAGCCAGCAAAAATGTCAAGCCACACTACCCTTGTGCCTTTTAATATACCACGGTGCCAGTTTAACTAATATTTTTGTTTGCTGCTTTGGGCAGTTACTTTTATTAGGGATTCAGCAGATCGTATGGTAACAGACAAGGCCAAAGAGTGGATGAGCACAGATTATGAGGCTTCTGATGAAAAACGCAAAGTCTTGCACACTGAACTATAATGATATAGACAGTACAGGGTAACTAGAGGTGGAGCCAGGGCCTTACCACTATGAAGAGTGTCTACTGAGGCTGCAAATGGGCCCAGAAGTGGCACCACGCTGCAGGGTGGCCATCCCCACTTGGCTTCTCCTTGAAACACAATTGCAGCTGCATTCTGCATCACTGGAAACTGCGACATTATATTAAATCTGTTGGTCTATGTGTGGCTGTGTATGTGTTTCTTGGGTCCTGTGTGACAGAGACATGTTACCACGTGCTGGCCAGGAGGCTGGATGGCCACCATGGCAGTGCTGAATGACCTCATTAAGAAGTGTCTTGTGAGGGGCTGGGGATTTAGCTCAGCGGCAAAAAGCGCCTGCCTGGCATGCGCAAGGTAGTGAGTTCGGTTCCCGGCACCAGAGAAAAACCAAAAAAAAAAAAAAAAAAAAAAAAAAAAAAAAAAAAAAAGCAGTGTCTTGTGCCCCAGGTGCTGATCTAAAAAAATTGCTGCTCAAATGCCAGTGCCTGGAGCTTATCTGAATGTCTCAGAGACAACACATGAAAGCTAAGAGAGTACATACTGGGGGAAGCAAGGCTCCTAGGAGGAAATGTCTCACAGAAACAAAATCAATAAAAAATAAGGCGGATCATATCTTTAAGGCTGTCCCCATCAGATGAACTATGGGTCTAGACCCAGGGTTGGCAAACTTCTTTTGGGAAGGGTCAGATTAAAAATATTTTAGACTATGTGGGTCATATGTTCTTTGCTCCAAGTACTCAATTGTGTCATAGATCACAGGTAAAGGAACGGGTGAGGCTTTTCCAAGAAATTTTGAAGAAGCAAGAAGAGGGTCAAATGCCAGTTTACAGAGCCTGTCAGGTCAGGGGTCAGAGGAAGATAGCAGATGACCTAACTGACTTGGGTTAGCAGCTTACTTGCAGAACTAGAGCTTTTACACTTTTGCCAGCAGGACAGATAGGTCTACTAAGAAGGACAAGGACTATTAACACCACTACTGCATGGCAGGAAACAGGCATGACACAGTCACCAGGCTCAAGACTCTATCCCTCAACAGCTTTGGGATCCCGTGCAGCCTGCCCTTTTCCCTCTAGCATCTTCAGCTTCCTCTCCCATGCAGTGATGCACAGGTGGCCGACACGGTGACCAGTCTGCCGTGATGGTACTGACCAGCACCGAAGCTCTCAATTTCTGTTTCTCTGACCGTGACGTTTTCCTATGCATAGCTGCCCCAAATCTTTATGAAGGCTTGGGGAATACTGACTATGCCACTCATACAAGCAAAGGCCCATCCTCACCAACAGTGGGCCCTGGTTCTAGGTTTACAGGGATTTGTGCATGCTGTGAGAGTTCCCTTGGGATGCGTGGCCGCCGGGCTGTGCACTCACATTCCTCTTTAAAGCTGTCCTGGGTAGGTCCTGAAGCCCGCTTGATTCCTTTGTCTTGGCATGTGACACAACAGGCTGTGGATCCTTGTCCTTGACAGGCAGGGCAGGTCAAAACGAGCTGGCGACACTGGGGAGTGGAGCAGAGTTTATACTGGTCCCACTGGGTTCCACAGTATGAACATGCTGGGGAAGAAAAGAAAAAAGCCTCGTTACACATACACACGTAGACACACATTTCTCCAGTTCCTAAATATTACTCTTCACTCATCAGGATCTAATACATTCGGCTGGCCCTGGGGAAGTGTCTATATACTTCATCTCTTGTCTACTAACAGAGAAAATGCTGTCCCTTGCTTTTGTATGGGGGAAAAGGGATTTGCTTCTGGAAATTATCTTTCTGAATTTAGTATTAACTGACCCATTTTTCTTTTTCCCATCCAGAAAATGGGTATTAATGCTTCTTTCTGCCACTAGCTACCTCCAAACTGGCCAATGCTTTGTTAAATGGTCTTTCCCATTAAATCATCCCCTTTTCCAGTAAGGACAACACACCTGAATACAAGATGACTCCACATTTGTATTCACCCTCTGCAAGGCACACCCCTCTCTCCTGGGCCTGAGTCTCTGGCTGTGGCCGGGACACCTGACCTCCCAGTGCACATTATCTTCCTTCTTAGCCCGTTGCCTCCTGTCATGTTGATAACACCAGCCTTCCTCAGGTCTCTGCACCTCGCTTACTTAAGCTACCTTTGGGCCTTTTCTCCCTTTCACGCTCCCATGCAGGCACTCATCAAGGCCTACCAGTATTTCCTCTGAAATCTCTCCAACCCACTCTTCCTACTTATTTACAATTTCTACTACATCTAGCTCCAAGAAAGGTCAAAAATGTTTTCAGTAAGAAATATATGGCCCCTATGATGAGTTAAAAAATCAAAAAGGACACAAGACAATCAAACTCAAAATCTTACTCATTGTATCTGAGAAGAATTCTACCTCAGTCCTTATTCACAAGAGTTCTAGAAACTACAGCAGCCACTAAGGTCTGGGGCAAGAGCCACCATTCTGAAGGATTGCTTCTATCCATCTTTCACTGCCTGCCGGTGCCTGATTCACCCCACTGTACCAGTGTGAGCCCCACACTGCAGCCAAACCAGAGGCTGTCTGTGCTGGCCACCCTCTTAAACACTCCTGACTCCGCCCCTGGGGTCAGCTCTCCCCTTTGAGTGTCCCACCCACTATTAAAAAGTAAATGCATGTTGCATGTGTCCACAGACCACCTAAACCAGGTAAAATAAAAAATAAATCTTTTTATTTTTTGTCATGGATTTACTTGGCAGCCTGGTGAAGACTATGGATTCTGTCTTGGACAAAATTATGTTAAATACACAGACATATTACAAAGAAAATAAACTGTGCAGAAATACAAAATATCAAAACATTTTCCAAAATCTGTGATATGGTGAAATAGGTGTTATTAACACACTAAATAATAAGACTTAATGGTGAACCTAATAACTATTTCCACTGTGAGGCAAGATGAATATAAATGCTATTTTGACATATAACTGTAACATAATTCAAAGTACTGTGAATTATGTGAGTTTTCTGGAAGACAAAGTCCCAGGTGCATCTAACAGAACTGGCTTGTTGACTATATTCATAACTGAAGGAAATGCTTAATTTTCATGAGGAGTTACTGAAAACAAAAACTTTCCTATCCAAATTCACAGAATCCCTGAATCTATATATTGAGCCCAGATTAGGCCTAGCTCTTGGTAGGCAAGAGGGGTACGTAAGCCTATGCCCACTTTAAAGGACTTGCGTGGTAGTAATACTTAGCCAGGAGCCCAGCATAGGCCTCCTGATCCCTTGTCCAGGGATGTCTGCTCCACTGCTCCATTACCAACCGCTGCAAAAACAGTGACACAATGAACTTATTTCCCTGGTTTGTTTTTCCAGGCAATCAGCATGGCCTGCCCTCCCTGTGCAGCATTTCTACAATGGTGAATTGATGGTATGTGGGGTTTCAGTGGGGGTTCCAGCCCTGTTCTGACCTACCTGATACCACGTCACTGTTGTAGGACAGGGCATATCGCTCGTCAAAAACAAACAACTTCCCCTTGTAAAAGCCATCAGGAAATTTTTCCAAGTACTTGTGGATACCACCCTTGAGCTGGAACACTTCCTTACACACTCCCTGGGTATGGAAAAACCAGACGAAATCTGAAGAAATACACAGAAACCTAAAAGCTCCAGAGTGCCAAGGGAATTCCCTGTCTGTGCTATCAGCCAGGGGCTTCTGGCTCCCCCTGCAGGACTCAGGGTGATCAAACCGTCAAGAAACTAACAAGGCCAGGCCTCGCCTACTGGGGGGATGGGTGATGACAGCAGTCAGAGCCTTCACGCTCCAAGATCCTGGGAAGCTCAACTATTTTTGCTACCCCCTAAATATAGGAAGACATCTGCTGGGACATGTGATATTACTGAATCTGTTCTTCTCAGGATCAAGCAAAAGGATTAGGAGAAAGGAGATGTTAAACTAAGCTTTCTCTTTTGTACTTGGTGACTCTCTAAGACTGCTGAGTGCTTTTCACATCTTGAGATTTAAGAACCTCCTATTTTGCACTCTGCTGGGACCATACAAGGTAAAATAAATCCTTGGGCTAGCTCGGGGTGAAGAAAGGGACAAGGAGGGAGTGGAAAGCTTCACACCGGCTACTGGTGGATCATTTTTCACCTCTGTGATTGCAGTGCCTCCAGGGTGGTGGCTCACCTTGGCTTTGAGGTAGGCTGAACCGCGTTCACAACGGATGCCCCCAGTGCAGTACATCAGCACTCTCTTTTCTCTGAAAAGCTCTAGATTTTTGTCAACATAGCTAGGGAAGTAACTGAATTTCCTGATGTCTGGGGCTAAGCATCCCTGGAATCGTCCCTACAATGCAGAAGTGGCGAGAAGAAAAATTATCAGAAAAACATACCTGAAAGGAACAAAGGTTCTCTGTGTCAAACAAGTCCCACCTTAGCGAAGAGTATGTGCCAGTTGCTGTTGCCACCCCATACTCTGACCTTTTAACCAAGATCCGGAACTAAAAACAAGGCTTATGGTCCAAGGTCACCTTCCTACAGAGTCCACAGGGAACTGGACAGGCTACCCGGGGCCAACTTCACAAGATCATCGACATGTCCAGGGTAAGCTCATAGGAGTCAAAAGTATGTTATATGCGAACATGTATTTAATTCATATTTTCTTAGACTTCTCATAGATCTTGAGTTCAAGGGCTCAGGTTTTCTTTGAAGCTGCTAGTAATGAAAGGAGACGCCTATGCCACAAGCTACCCTTGGGAAATAGGTCATGCTGTGGAAAGAGGGAGACCTACCATTTCACCAAACTCAATTCTGGCTCTTACTTACTATTTTGCTTTCGTAGAAGTTTCTGCAATCCAGTAAGATAGTATCGCTTTGTTCATGACTTGCCTGAGATAACAACTTTTCTACTTCTTTATGAAATTCACCTGGGGATAAGTGAATTCCTAAAACAAAACCAGAAACTTATGTTAAAACAAAATAAACAAAACCAAATCCCAACTGGCTTAACGTGACGTATGTGTCAGCTTCCTTTCCATCCAAACCTCTTCTAATAATTACAACTGTCTCCTAATAACAGTATTTGAAGGTCATGAGAAAATAACTTAACAATTCTGGGTATCCTGAATTTCCCTCCTAAGACAAGGACTATGGAGATCTGGCAGTTCAGAAATAGTTAATTTTTGTACCCTTACACTTGACCTAACCCCAGTAATAAAAACCAGGTAACTGGGATCCATTTGGGTTTGTGGGCCCATCATATGGTCGTTCGTGGGTCAGGAAATGGCTACTGAGCTACTGTCACTGTGCACAAAGGCACTCTGGCATGGATGTGCTTGACCACAGGCTTTAAATGTTCTATACCAAGGTGAGCCCGAGCTCCAGGCTAAGAACCCTGGCCTACCACAGCTGAGAACACAAAGCTGGAATTTTTTTTTAAATGCACAAAGGATAAGGAGACCGTAGAAGAGTAAGTCTTCCACTAGGAAGTGTCTACATTTGTGTGTATGAGCAAAAGAGAAAAGGACTGAAAGGACTGACGACAGGAAGGACACGTGAGAAGAAGGGCCAGCGAGAGAGAAAAGGGATAGGAAAGCTGTAGGATGGGACTGCAGGTAAATATTAGGTAAGAACCTCAGTGTGGCAGAACCCTTTGCCTCTCGACAGTCCAGGACAGAAACATTCCTGTACCTTTGGGGCTCCAGGGCATCTCAGCAGACTATGAGGAACTCTGGGGGAATCTGACACTGGGATTTTGCCACGGTGGGGGATTTTGCCACTGCTTTTCCTCAGTGTTCTACCACGCTGAGGTTCTTATCTTCTCATCATGAGTCTCTTTCCTAATGCTTGTATGTTCCTATTTCCCTATGACTTAATTCACAGCCTTCTTTTAAGTATGTACTAAAAATGAGTACCTTATAGTCAAGGAGTCCTCTTTACTTCCTGATGGAAGACAGCACTACCTATGAAACAGTCTGGGGGCAGGGGACAGGGGCTGGGAGAAGAAGGAAAAAAAGGAATCAAATCTGACTCTGATCAAGTCTCTGGTCCCGACCTGTCTAACATAGTAGCCATGGTCACCTGTGGCTGACAAGCACTTAAACTGTGGTTTGAGACGTGCTACAGTAAAGGTGACAAACTAGATTTCAAGTACTTAGCATGAAAAAAGTAAACTATTTCAACAATAATTTTTATTTTGATTACACGATGAAATAATACTTTGGATACACTGCACTAAATAAAGCATATTACTTAAATTGGTTTTTTACTTTTTATATGTGGTTAAAAGAGCATGTAAAGTTGTATCAAGTGGATCATATATTTCTATTAACAGTATTCTAAATCTAACTACCAACTGATAGAAAACACAGGGAACAAAGGAATATCCTAAGGGATACTATCGGCAGTATGCAGATTATGAGAAATGCTACAAATGACCCAGTTCCTTCAAAAACTATGAAGACATTAAAGAGACACCACTGATGAATCACAATGAACAGGTCTTATATGAATCTGAATGGAAACTTAAAAAATGAGGACACAACTGGGATTACCTGAGTAGACATCTGATATTAAGAAATTATGGCTAAAATGTTTTAGGTTTGACAACAGTTTTACAGTTAACAGTTTTCACAAATATTAATCATTTAGAGATACCTACTAAAGTGTTTGTAAGTAAGATGACACTAGATTCTGTTCAAAATGGTCCAGGATAGGACTTGGACAGGATACAAATCTAAGTTGGCCATGAATCGCTAACCGCTAAAGCTGCATGAAGTTCACTGTACTATTTCCTCTACTCTTTTTAATACTGGAGATATTTTCATAGTAAAAAGTAAACAAAACCAAGAAAACACCACACAAATGTCTTTCAGTCATCTATAATCATCAGAGAAAAAGTTAAGAAAATATTCTAGAACACTGCAAACTGCTTTGGTTTTAAAAGCCACTTGCTCTCTGTGGTAAAAAGCCTATGTGCTCTATTTTGCAGATGAATTATTTACAATAATTATTCTTCCCAAATGGCTATCTTTGGAAAAATAAAACAAACTTCCTATCAAACCATCACCAAGAAGAATAAGATAGCTCATTCCAAGGAGTCTTCACTTACCACAAACACCATAGGCAAAAAACAAACTGAGCACTAGATGGACCCAAACATTGGCCACCCCACAACTACTTAGAAGATTCATCATGGCTCTTAATGACCGTGTCTAATCTTCTCATTTGTCCATTAACTTTTATCCGTATAGTGAAAAGCCCAACTCTTTTTCTACAAACAAGCATACCAGACTTCTTGTAGGAGATCTTGCTGGGGCTGATCCCCATGGGCACGATTTCTTCAAATACACCAACACGTAATTCTGGAAAACAGTGAGCTCCTCCTTTGCTGGTCTAGCCAATGAGAAACAAAACAGAATACAGTCTTCCTGTCCCATTGCCAGGTGTAAGACAAGTAAGAATGTAAGAATTAAGACCTGTTTTGTAATATGATGAAATCGTAAGAAACCTCAAATGAGAAAAAAAAAAAAAATTAGGAACCTCAATGTATCAGACAGGGCCCAGAATGTTTTAGATAATTCAATATATCAATAAAAGCTGCATACTTCGAAAGTGTGCAGAAATACTGTATTTCTATGGCTATACGTATTTAAGTATAAAACCAAAAGCACCACAGAGAAATTCCAATGTGCAGTTACACCCTGGCTTTTGTTCTAGAGCCTTACCCGCCAGCGTGACCATCACTTTATCACTTACTATGATAAAGCATAAAGTCGCTCAAACAGTTCAGCTGTGAGAGCCAAAAGCTTCGCTCCCTCATATGTCATGCGCATCTTTTAATTCCCGGTTTACTGAAAACATAGTAAATCACAGTGATCTGCTAAGACAGTCAGGGAGCCTCTGAAGAGAACAAATACATTCACGTTTTAGAGTCTGAGGCTGTGTAGCTAAAACATCCTTCTTGTGTGTGAAGGAGACTCAGGTCTAGAGTGGGCACCAGCTGGCACAGGTCATGTAGTGACTCACTGGAAGAGCAGGGCTGAGCATGCTCCTTCCACTGCAATGCCCCATGACATAAAGGACAAAGAGGGCTGATACGGCACTGCTTACTTTTCTACAGTGACCTCCTCTTCAGTAACCTGTACTGAGGCAGAAGCAGACAGTTCTGGATCTTTTTATTTTAGATTTCTCTTACCTTAAAATCATCTTTACACAGATAATCCTTAAATAACGGACAAGAAAGCATGACTTCCATATAGAGTCTGGTGGCCAATTTGCTCCCACCAACTGTCCCATTGATCCCTTCAGTAGCAATTCGAACCTGAGGCACAAGATAATGAGAAACAGGAAACAGAACACATTCTTAGTTATCATTAGGTTGATGAAATTAACAGGAAAAGTTGAGCCACGACGTTACCAGACAAGAATACCCGTGTTTCAGATGACACACTCAGTTCACGCATGCAGAACAAGACAATCTGACTAAAACTTCTTGAAAACCCATCTGCTACAGAGCTGCAGTCATTCAATAGCCAAAGTGGTGAATCTGGAGCTTAACCTAAGTCCACGTGGTATAACAGTCCTTCAGAGGCCAGCAGATTTAGGATCATGATTTAGCTCTGCCACTTACTTGCCATGTTGTCCTCAGAAGGTTAACTGAGTTCTCTGAACTTTGATTTATTCATATTGATAAAAAGAGGACAAAAGAACATCAAAATTGGATTTAAAAAAAAAGACACTTACTGAGGAGATATTACTCAAACCCTAAAGTACAGGCACCCTAAAGTATATGTAGCATCTCTTCGTAGTGCTTGGAGGGAAACCACCACTGCAACCCCTATTCCCTGAATTCAAGTCCCAGGAGGGCCGTGTGTCTGGCTCACTGATGTATCTCCAGTGCCTAGAACACTGCCTGCTGTACAGTGGGCACTCACTACAGGCTGGTGAGTAAGTGTGTGCACATTCAGGCTCGTCTTTTCAAACTCCATGTTCTCTTTGAAATGCTTTGTTAGTTGAAAGGATGTTAGAGCCTAGGGTATGGCATCTACCTTCCAGGGGCATGATCTGGTGGCCCTGAAAAGCCGGTTGTTTTGGTACTGCAAAATCCTTCAGATGAGTTTAAAAATAGATCATCTTTGAAAGGAACCATCTCTAGGAAAGTGCTACCAAGTGTAGTACTCTGTGGTATCAAGGTACTCTCTGGAAAGAGAAGTGATTTAAATCAAGGTCCTATTGTCTCTGCTATTAATATACAAATACAACAGAATTTGAAAGCTTTAAGTGGCTGTCTATTTTCAGGTTCCCAGAGAAGAACTTCAGTGGTTGCCTTACTTAACCTAATTCTTCTCAAGCCAACGGCAACTCACAGGTGTGGCTGTCCGAAGTTCCATGATGAAAATTCTAAATTTCATCCATATTACATAAGAAAGAGTGCTGGAGTCTAGTATAGCCTGCTTCAGATGTGGGACAAGAACGAGAAAGTTATGCCACTTCTACTGCACATGCTGTTACCCATACACACAGATGGAGCTGAACTACCCAAAGGGTCAGGAAATCCACTCTAAAACAGTTTGAGGCAGTTATGATAAGGTACATACCTATGTGACTGCTTTTAGGCAGGCTAGCAGATTGTTTCCTCTTTAGTCTCAGAGCCCAAATAAATGGCAACCACATCTATTCCTTATATAACTAGGACAGAGCAATTGCTATACATGTCTTAGATTTCAAATTGCCACAATTCTTGAATATAAAATTTTTAAGACAGCGCCTTGGTAAGGGGGGGCGCCTTATAATATCTAAGACACTGAAGTAATAGCACTTATTGGGCACTGGCTAGAAGACAGAAGCTTTACACTATAATCTGGAAAGACACATGTCATAAGCACTATCTTACAGAAAAGACAACACAGGTGCTCAGAGAAATCAAGGAACTCACCCAAGGACAACAAGTAGACTGACAGCAATCTAGGGTTCAAAACCGTATCTTACAGGTCCAAATCTTCTAATCAGATCTTTCCAGTTTTCTGTGTATCCCCTCAAATTTCTTGAGGCCATAAGATATAAAGTAATAGGCATAAAATCTCCTTTCCTTAATTCCAGAAATTTTAAATTCTCCTTTTTCCCTAACCAAGCACCAATATTCTGCGAAATCCACCAGCACAAAACAATGTCACTAAATTAGCATGCATTTTTGAAGCCTAGGAATTTGGACCTGAGATCCAGGAAGATGCTACCACCTTGTGGGTAGAACTTTTGCTAGCTCACAGTTAGGCTGAACCAAGAAAAATAATCTGCCTCCAAACCAAGAAAAGGGACTGATTTCAGATTTTGTACATTCTGTCTGAGAAAGCATTCATCTTTCAAGGTATGGAAGTTCTCTGAAATGTTGACATATACTTATTCCATAAATATTTACTAATTTATTTTACTATACACCAGAGATTGTGAGTACTTAGGGATACAGTGGTTAGAAAAAACATAGAATTCTTCCTCTCTTGGTGAAACTCAGAGATTAAGCAAAGTCACACATACTAAGAGTTACAAACGTACAAGTGCTATGACTATAACTACATGTCAAGAGAAAGCATAATGGGAGAAATGCATTTAGATCGCAGAAAGGTCTCTTTTACAAAGGTCACATAAACTTCCTCAAAGAACTGAGGCTTGAGTAAAAATTAGTCTTGAGAAATACAGTGGGTGTGGGAGAGTTTCTTGTAATTTACCTGAAAAAAGGCCCAAAGACATGAAGGGGAAAGAAAAAGAAAAAACCTTAGTGGGTTCCAAGAAACTGAAAGACCATACTGCTACAAGGCAGAGGGCCCAGTCTCACAGGGACCCAGGGCATGTGAAGGATGTGGGTTTTAGCTCACCGGTGCTGGACAGCCATGTAGACATACTGAAGGGGGGTGATAGGACCTTATCTGCCTGTGTAAAGGGTGGGGGAGGGTGGCGGACTGGAGATTAAGTTGGAAGCTATGATATGCGTAGTAAGGGATGGTGGTGGCTTGGTTTAAGGTGGTAGAAGTGAAAAAGAGAAGTGAATAGAGTCAAGGGCAGGACCTGGTGATAAAATGAATACAGCAAATAAAGTCATAATTTCTTAGTACAGGTGAAGAAGATAACACTGACTAAAATATTCAGAAGTAACTTGGAATCACACCTATACCTACAATCTATGAAAGGCCTTTCAAATTGACATTTTACAAATGCTTTGCTATCCAGGGCTTAACAAATTATCTTTGCTTTTGCAGTAGTTTTATCAGAACATAGCCACAGCCACTCTTTTAGGTACTGTCTATAGCTGCTTTCAAGCTACAACAGTATTAAGTTTCTTGACATGAAGTCTAAAATATTTACTCTCTGGCTTGTTAAGGAAAAGTTGACTATGGCATTAAATACTCCTATAAAATACCAAGTTAACAGCTGTTTCTCTACTAAAATGCCCCACAGGATTTCCCTAACTTCTAAGAATCCAACAATGAATGAGTACGGGTTCTGCAATCCAAGGCTGGGAGTCAAAACGGGCCCGTGCCGGTTTTACGTGGAGCATGTGTTACCTTGCCTGTGAGGTGCAGGTGCTGACATAGAGCTGTCTGCCAGGCACAGACCCAATGCGGATCCTCCAGGTCAAGGTAGCAGTAATAAAGCAGCACCTCTCCTTCTTCACAATCATGGCCGCTACAGAAAGAAAAACAAGGGGAAAGAGCATTGGAGTCACCAGCGTAAGAAGGCCACAGTTTCATGAAGTACACTCAGATGGTATTCGGGTAAGGCAAAGATAGAGCATCTCATGCCTACCTTTTTTTTTTCAACAACAATTTGTATATACAGCAGTGATCATTACATTATTTCTAACAGCCATATAGAATCACCTCCAATGTTCAGCCACCGATGGGTCAATAAAATGTGGCATACACATTCACTGGAAGGTAACCATAAAAAGAAAGAAGCTGGGATAATTGTATCATGCCTACCTCGTTCCCATTATATTCTCCTGAGGCGAGAAGCCAATTCCTTTTTGTATTTTCTTTACAGAAGACAGTACATATATGCACTGAACTTCTTACTTTACAAAAAGTGAGTTCTCTCCTCCTTTAATGGTTGCATCTAAGAGAGAGGTATTAGCAACTCCAATTTATAGGAAAGCTAAAGTTTACTTCATTCTGGCTTATCCAGTAACACAAGGTAGTACCTGTTTTTAATTGCTAACTACACAAAAGAATTTCCCTTGCATTTCTTCATATAATCCTCTTACCTATGAGAGGTGATTACTCCCACAGGACCAACTTTTACACCTCACCAATTTCATACTGTTGATAATAAAATACTCAAAAACTTTAACCATGTTCATCAAATTAAGAAGCTAATGAAGCCAGGCGTGGTGGCACACACCTGTAATCCCAGCACTCGGTAGGCTGAGGCAGGAGGATTGTTGTGAGTTTGAAACCAGCCTGGGCTACAAAGTGAGTTCAAGGACAGCCTCAACTGCATAGCAAGACCCTGTCTCAAAAAGACAAAAGAAGCTAAAGGACATAATACAGTGTGATCTAAAGGGAAAAAAAGTTTAAAATAATCCCATTTATAGCAGCTTCAAAAAATTCACCTAGTAATCAACCTAACCAAGAAGTGAAAAACCTCTATAAGGAAAACTATAGTACTCTAAAGAAAAAGATAAAGAGGACATCTGAAAATAGAAAGACATCCCCTGTGCCTGCTAGAATCAGTATTGTCAAAATGGCCAGATTACCAAAAGATGATATGTAGATTTAATGCAGTTCCTATCAAAATACCAACAACATTCTGCACAGATAAAAAACAAAAATTTATATGGAACCAGAAGGGACCCAGAATAACTGAACTATTCTGAGAAGGAAGAATAAAGCAAGATTTAAGATTTTAAGTTATACTACAAAGCTAAAGTAACAAAAACAGCATGGTTCTGTAACAAAAGTAGACTTGTAGACCAATAGACCCCATGTACCTTAAGCTGTCTGATCTTTAACAAAGGGGCTAACATACGCTAGAGAAAAGACAGCCTGTTTAAGAAATGGTGCTGGGAAAAGTGGTTATCCACATGCAGAAGAATGACAGACCCGTACTTCTCACCCTATACTAAAAACTTACCAAAATGGATCAAAGACCTAAATATAAAAAGGAAACACTGAAACTGCTAGGTAACAAAACAGGGGAATAGGCAAAGATTTCCTGGACCAAACTCTAATAGCATAAGAAATAATACCATAAGGAACAAATGGGATATTAAAAAAATTTAAAAACTTCTACAAAGCAAGGGAAGCAATCAATGGAGTAAGCCTAAAAAATGGGATCATTTTTTAGCCAATTACTCTTCTGATAGAGAACTAATATCTAGAATAGATAAAAAACTCAAAAAAAATTAGACAACCACAAATGAGCCAATTAAAAAATTGGCAAATGAAATAGATACTTCTCAAAAGAAAAATACTAACAGCTAATTAGTACACAAAAAAAGTTCAGCACTTCAGCCTTTAAGTAAATGCGAATTAGAACAACTCTGAGAAGTCATCTTACTCCACTAAGAATGGCTATCATCAAGAACACAAAAAACAAATGCTGGTGAGGATTGCGGGGATAAAAGAACTTTTCCACATTGCTGGTGAGAATGTAAACTAGTACAGAATATGAAATATTTTGCAAAAAACTCAAGCTAGAAATTTCATTCAACTCTGGTAATAATGGTAATTGCATACCCATGATTACAGCAGCATAATTCACAATAGCTAAACTGTAGAATCAGTCTAGATACCCATGAGCAGATGAATAGATAAAATGTACACATAATAGAGTATCAGATGACCATAAAGAAGGATAAATTTGAGTCATTTATAGGAAAACATGTCTTAAGACTATAATGTTAAGTGAAATAAGGCAGACATAGAAGTTTAAATATTATATGGTTTCTCTTATTTTAGAAACCCAAATTATAGATAAAGAGTAAAATAAAGAGGAGAGGGCGGGAAACAAGGAGACGGACTTTTTGAAGATGGGGAAGGAGATGAGAGAAAGGGAAGAGAGGGGAGGGGAGGGTGGTAGGGAAAGGGGATCAAACATGATTAAGATACAGGATGAACTTTCCAAAATGAACACAATTGCTATGTATCACAAACATACACCAATAAAAAATAAAAGAAAAAAGTTAAACCAAAGAAATTACAGGGGTCAGGGAGATAGCTCAGCGGCACAGCACCTGCCTGGCAAGTGCAAGGTCCTGAGTTCAATTCCCAGTACCAAAAAAAAAAAAAAAAAAAAGAAAAAGAAAAAACCCAAGAAATTATAGATGTCAAAAAATTCACTATGTGGTACCCAAATAAATTCTGATAAATGGCTCCTTTGGGTTTGTACACATAAATTCATCTAACTTATAGGGGTTTTTATGGTTTTTGTTTAGTTTTTAACCTACTTAATGAATTTATTTTAAAAATTTTAAATAAAGATATAATTTACAAGTGAAACACAGATTATACATATAACTTGATTGATTTTGATAGTTGGGTATACCTGTGAAATCCACACACCTATCAAAAGACATATCTAACGCCTCAAAAAATCCTCCTGTAAAACTGGGCATGGCAGCACATGCCTGTGATCCCAGGAGACAGAGGCAGGACTGTAAACTCAAACCCAGCCTGGGCAACTAAGTGAGACTGTGTCAGAAAGAAAGGAGAGGGAGACCGGAAAGGACGGAGTAAAAGCGCTATGACAGTCTTGTTCAAGGTTTTTTGTGGACACAGCTCCTGTCGGTGTGGTGGTGGTGGTGTTACATACCTAGAAGTGGATCACAGGGAAGATGTCTACTTTTAACAAGAACCTGCTGAGCATTTTTCTAGAGTGGTTATACCCTGCCACATTCCCAATACTAACTGGGTATTCTAGTTCTTCCAAATTCTCATCTACATTTGCCAGTGTTGGTTGTTCTCATTTTAGCCACTTAGTGGGTGTCTCATAGTATTATAATTTTAAAATTAAACCAAGTATAGAGTGAAAATCTTACCTTATTAGCAGATCAGGACTAAAGCAGCTTATATCAGGGAGCCAGGCAGACCCTTCATGGCTATGAGTGAAGTACACTTGCAGAGGGTTCTTTCCATCTGCAGGCCTAAGACTCTTTGAGGTACTCAATGTCACAGCCATCTGCTTTAAAATAGAAGCGGTCTGGTGATAAATTTCATCAGCATGTTGTGTTGACACATGTCTATGGATGCCGACTGGGTCTGTGAATAGTTGCTGACAGCATTTCCACCATTCTTCTTTACATTCAAAAGGAGGGGCTAGAACTTGCTTGGTTTTGACGAAAAGGGCAAAGGCCTGCAATTATATTATTATTGTTAAATAATTTTAGGTTTATAGTTAATGGAAGTTTCAATGAAATCCTTAATATTATCTTTTCACAGGAGGTTCTAGTTTTATGTTCTACTATTCTACAGAAGAATTCCCTAAGATAGTAAGTTCTTTCATAAGAGATGCTAAAAGCAGAGTCTTTACATTATGGAGGCTTAACTGTCCCCAGCTGTATAATTTATTTTCAGGATGCAAAATCTAAGTCGTATCGGAATATTTGCACTTAATTCAGTTTGACCTTGTACTGTTTTCAGCAGCCCACACACCAAAATTGGAATGGTAAGGCATGGTGTCCCATGTAGCCTTCTCCCAGCTTTTTCTGGCTCTTCTTCCACACCTGTCTGACACGTGGACAAACACAGGCCCATCACTGTTTTCATCATCCCATTCCTGCCCATACTGTTCCTGGTAAGTGGGATGTGAGACTCTAGTGGCCCTGGTTCTGTAGAATTGCTGAATCTTCCAGAATACATTTTAGAAGTCACCTCTGACATAAAACATTCTATGGTCCTCTTACTAAGTGCTATTTCCCCATCTTCTGAATATAAACATTTCTATTTTCATTTTTCTACTTAATTGTAAAAACTTGCTCTGCTGTTTACTGTTTGTATCTTTACGAACAGACAGAAAACTAGCAAAGTTATCCAGCACTTAGGTGCTGCGTTTTCATCTGGAAAAAGATATAAAGAATTATATAAATGTTAAATGACATAATTAGATTTATGTCCTTGTCTGGTACGGAATGTAGACAATATCATTCTTTTCCAATGTGTTTCCTCGTCCTGTTTTCAGCCTAATCTTTATTTTTCCTCTTACAATCTTATTAGTTGAATCAAACCAGTTTTCTCTGTTCCCTTAATATGACTTAAACATCCCTCCCTTCTATTTTCACTCATACTAACCCTAGTGTCTGCAACACTCTTCCTCTTTGAAGGCCACTAAAATCTTACCTAAATGAAAAGACTAAGCATTATAAGTATGTCAATTCTTTAATCTAAAGCATAGATTTAATGCAATTATAGCCAAAATTGGACAAGGGTCTTTTAGGAAGTTGGCAAGACTGTTTTAAACAATCTTTTACTGCCCAGCGAGATTCATTTTGCTTTCTTCCTTTTCTGCAACTGAACTTGGCTATAAGGACCAAGTTTCCTCCAATGGAATCTAAATGGATGTGACAGGTGACACCTCCAGTTCTGGTCCATAAAAACCTCCACGTGTGCCCCCTGCATGCTCTCTTCCTCCTTAGATTACTGACATGGAAACCTTGGAAGGTATTTGTTAAGGACTACAATAAAACATTGGTCTCAGTCCCTGAGAACCTGTATGTCAACAGGAACGACCCACCCACCAGAGTCCTCAAGCCCAAACTCTTTCTAATGTGTTAAACCCACTACAGATTGGGTCTATTTGTTATTGCAGCCATGATTAATAAGTGAGGAAATTCTACAAGAGCAATGAGATGTAAACGTACTTTAGAATTATGATAAGCAAATGCAGTAGCCCATTGTGATAGGCATATGAAAAAAACCAAAAACATAAATAGATCATGAACTCTTTTATGCCTCCATCCAATCTATCAGCTCTACTTCCAAAATATATCCATAATCTTTGTTTCTTGTTTTTAAGACAGGGTTTTGCTATGTAGTTTAGGCTGGCCTTGAACTCACTCTGAAGCCTGGGCTCACCTGAAATTAGTGGCAATTCTCCAGCCTCAGCCTCCTGAGTGAGAGGATTACAGGCATGCACCACCATGCCTGGCTCAAATATCCATAATCTAACCATTCCCCATTACTCCCCCGGCTACCATTTTGTTGATCTAAGACAACATCACGTCTCCCCTGGATTAGGTCTCTTACTCTCCTTCTTTCTATGTTTATCCTCACAATTTATATTCCACTCAGTCAAAAAAACTCTTTTAAAACCTAAATCAGATGTCATTTCTCTGGTCAAAACCTTCCAAAGGTTTTCCCTAGTCACTAGCAAAGCCCTTACAGTGGCCTACAAGTCCAACACAACATCACCCTGTACACTGCTCCCACCTTATCTTTGACCATTCCAGTCTCTTGGGGAATGGGGTCTCTGTACAAAGGGAGTACGTGGGTCACTCATACAATTCTTATAATTTGTTATAAACTGAAGTTACTGAAGAGAGTGGAGGGGTGGCAGCTGGGAAGTTACAGAAGCATCTATTCTTCACTGACACGGAGCCAGATGGCTCTGTAAGCGAGGACAAAAGACTGAAGGCAAGACAACTAAGTCTCAATTTCATTTCCTCAGTTCATTTTCCTTTCTGAGCCTTGGGTTCTCTACTGTTAGAACGAGGAGGTTTTAGTCAATGATTTAAAAATAGTGGATAAATGGCATAGAAGAGCACCATTAGTACCAGCTACTCTCCTTAAACACCACCGTAACTGTCCAAGATCACACCTTGCCCAGGATTCTCCTTTGCCTGGTGCACATTAGTATCACTGATTAATGCTCCTGACTAGACCAATCCTTGAGCTGGAGGCCAATCTCTATAAGTTACTTCATGATCATGAAAACATTGACAGTAATATTACCTTTTTCTTTGCAAATGAGTATTTCTTCTTCATAATACCATCTAACTCTGCTTTGAGATCGATGCTAGGATTAGTAAGATTTGTATCTTTTAAATCCAAGTCAGAAAATCTTAAAATACAAGGCTCCTGATCATCTCCTTGGTCTGATGAAGTAGAAGAAGGCATCTGGTTTGGTTGCAGCAGTGAGGCAGAGACTTTTCAGTTAAGTACCTGCTAGGATATAAGCAAGGGAGAAACAGCAATGCTGAAGTCTTCAGATACTTTTTAAAGCAAACATGAAGCTAATTAATCATACAACTTGGCATGTGTTCAGTACATCAAGCTATCCATTCATTCCCTCATCCAACAATATTTAACAACTTTGCAATGCCACTCATGGTTCTACATACGGCAAATATAGCAGTGAATGAAACAAGAAAAAGTTACCATCTTCTTAGTTATATGCCATTGGAAAGACACAGATACTTTTTTTTTTTAAAGTCAGATGGGAAAGGGTAATGAAGAAAAATGATTAAGAAAGCAAAGGGCTAGAAGGCCTCTAAAAACAGATAGGAAAAGCCCTTCTAGGGCAGTAGAACAGTGTTTGAGCAAAACATGTGTTAGATAGCAAGCCACAGAAACATTTAGAGGTAAATGGAACCAGAAAAGCACCACCTACAATCAATCGATCAAGTCTGTGCCAGTACCTTATATTATGAATACTCTGTACTTTTTGCTCCCAAATATCAGAGGCTTTTTTCTTTTTTGGTACAGGATCTCATTATGTAGTTCAGATTTCCCTGGAACTACATAGGCCAGGCTGGCCTCAAACTTGACGCAATTCCTCTGCTTCATCCTCCTGGAATTAGAGGTGTGTGCCACAATGCCTGGCTCAGAGCCCATTTTAATGAGTCAGAGTATCAATTTTACTACTGTGGCTGAATCTTGTCAAAATGGATACACTACAACCAACATATTGCAGTCTTTCTCTTACACAGTTAAGCAAATGTTACAAGTAACAAACACTAAGTGGCGACACTAAGCACTGAGAAAAGCTCGTTTTTTGGATGGAGGTATGTGAACCTAGGCAAGCTATTTACATTTTCTGAGTTCTAATTCTCTAATCTGTAAATTAAGGACCGCAGGATCTACCTTACAGGACAGAAAAAGGGTTCAGTAAGTAGTAACACTATTATAATTTAATGCTGCAGTTTATGTTTAACTTTAAAAATGGATTTCTCCAAAAATTAACTGTAACAGATTTTATCTGCCAAAAATGGCCACGGCCATTCCTGGTCTATTTCTCTATTCGCTAAGCTTATCTAGCCCTGTAACTGCTCTCAAAATATGATGGAAGCAACACTAGGTAGCTTCTCAGGCTGGGTCCTGAAAAGCATATACTTGTACTGACTCTGCTTTCAGAGTGTTCACTCAACCCAACCACTATGCTCTGAGTTACAACCAATCCAGCTCAGGCAGAGACCACAAAGAGGGAACCCCCTAGAGAGGAACTGAGGCTTTCAGCTGACAGACAACACCAACTGCCAGGCTCAAACGGTTCCAGCCCCAGCCTCTGAGCTGAAAACAAACACAAACTGTTATGCCCTGTCCAAATTTTTGACCTTAGAACACTAAATCATTATGTCACTAGTAAATTTGTCTCCTAAAAGTAATCTTGAAGTAGGCAGCCTGGGAGGACACCTGAGGTTTGAGAGGTCCCATGTTCCAGAAGAGGGTGCACAGAAAGAGACTGCCATTGAAAACGATGAAAATGTGGAACTGGGGACTGAACCGAGGATCTCTGTACTGAGTTACATCCTCAGCCCTTTTTTGTTTGGGGACAGGGTCTCATTAAGTTGCTAAATTGCCTAAGGTGAGACACAAAACTGCAATCTTCCTATCCACCTGCCTCAACCTCTAAGAACGCTTAGATCGTAAATACCTGCCACCATATCCAACTTGTGGGATGATTCTTTTTTTGTCTGTGTTTTGTTTTGAGACCAGATCTTGCTATGTAGTTCAGGCTGGCCTCGAACTCATGGCAATCCTCCTACCTCAGCCTTCCAAGTGCTGGGGCTATTGGCATGTGCCACCATGCCTGGCTTGTGGAATGATTCTTGGTTCCTAATTTTCTCACAAGATCATCTAGTTTTTTCAGAAAATTCTATCAGCTTTGCTTTAGATTTCCTTCAACACTACCCAATTTTAAGCCCCCATTATTTCTTGTTTGAATTACTGTAACAGCCTGCCTTTTCCCTGTAAGAATCAGGAAGATATTACAAAACAAGTTAAGTCCAAAAATTTCTCAATTTAATCAGATAACATCCAAAGTCCTTAAAAAGCCCTTTTCCCTTACTTCTCTGATCTCATTTTCCACTACTCTCCCTTTGCTCACTAACTCAAATCACTGCAGTCCTAGGGCCCATTCTTTAATGGGTCATTCAGGAGAACAGCACCAAGGCAGCATGGGTTTTCCATTGTTCCCCTGCACCTTCAATACCTAGAACACGGCCTGGTGCATAGCAGGTGCTAAATGTTAATAAATACAGCGTATTTGTTGGATGAAACAAAAGTCACTGAATAATCCAGGAAATACCTCAGAAAGGACCAGATGGTCGAGTGAAACCTTAGACAAAGTGAGCAAAAGTCAGCCATGCAGATTTAGGAGCAGAGATCTTCAGGTAAAGGAAATAATGAGTGCAAATTCTTAAAATGGGAACAAGCTTGACTTACCAGAGAGTGAGTGGAGCAGAGTGGAGCAGAACCCTCCTGGCCACGATTGGGAGTTTGGAATGCAAAGGCCGTGGAGAATTTTATGCAAAGGAGTAGTGAGATCTGATTATGGATTTGCTTTAAACATGCAGCCATTAGGGTTTATAGAAAATTGGCCATGTAAGAAAGAGAAGGATACTTGAACGATTCCTCCTTAGATTTTCATATTAAGCAACGGAAAGACAATGCCATGTACTTAAGTGGGCAAGACAGAGTGGTACAGTTTAGGCTGGGTGAGTGAAATTTCAGAAGACCGTGGACACGGCAGTATGGTTGGTGCTCATCAAAGACCTGAGGGTAAGGGAAGTTCATATAATGTACAAGGAAGCAATTACCCAACAAACATTAGAAACACACTGTAACATTGAAAACAATCGTTTGTCCCTTCTTAATCAGACAACTCAGCGATGAGCGGTAGGACTTGCAGGCTCGCGTGGCCGAGGGTCTGACCATCCCCGGGGGGGAGGTTTGTGCGGCGTCGGCTCCCGCCCAGGCACCAACCCGTGCGCCCGGCCTGGCCCAACCTCCTAGCCCAACTCCCCGAGGAGGCAGAGGCCGGGAGGTGGAATAAAATGACCACGCACCTGCCGATCCTGCTCCTTTCTAGTTTTGTCTTCGACGAACAGCCTCAGCCTGGAAAAGGTAGTATCTCCCCGACCTCTACCCTACAGCCACGCCGCGTGGTTGCGTAAGAGGGACGCTCGTGACGTCACTGCGCCCTGGAAGCCTGCACGGCAGTAAGCGCACGGGTCGCCGGGAAAACGTCACGAGGGACGGCAGGGGTCGCTCTTGTACCTCGCTTCCAGACCAGGTTCGGGGCTGGCGGGCCCTGGCTAGCTGCAGCGGCGGCGCTTCTGCGTGGCCCCGGAAGCACACAGAGCGGAAGGCGGGAGGAGGAAGCAGCAGACAGCAGAGGAAGCCCGAGGGGGCGGCTGCGTGCTGACCATACGCCCGTAGCCCAGCGAGCCTGCAGACGCTGGCACTTCCCCGCCCAACCCACCTGGCGTAGTCTCTCCACGCGCGTTTCCGGGAGCCGTCGCGAGCGAGTGCGCCTGCGCGCCGGTCTCTCCGCGCGCCTCGTTGGTACTCGGTGCCGGCCGGCGTTGCGGCTGGTTGTGTAGTGCTCGGGGTCCGGCGACTCGGCCCGGCGCCCGGCAGCGCGCAGGTGGGCAGTATGTCGCGGCGGCGGCACAGCGACGAGAACGACGGTGAGTGCACTTGCCCGGGTCGCCGAATCCATGCCCAGGCTTCTTTGGTTTTCGGGTCTTAAGGGAAGGAACGGGAAGCCCTTTTCTCGCACGGAGCGTTCGGGTTGCCTTGCAGGGAAAGCGCTGGCCCCACGCGGGTGTGGTCGGGCGGCATCTGGGCACTGACTCCCTCGCCACGCCCCCGGCTCCTTCAGTCGATGCAAAGGAGGCCCCTGAGCCCCTAGCCAGACCCTGGTCTCTAAGGACTCTTGGATTTGGCCCTACGGGGCCGAGCGGGAGAGTCCACCGGTGTCTGTGCTACTGCCCTTTTGGGTCAGTGATGGGGGCACAGTGGAACTCCTAAAGTTGGGTCTGAAAAGGGCTCTCTGAAGACTTCGGAACAAAGCCATGATAAAAATCAGGTGGGTTGCCATCCGAAGTCTACTTCTGTACAGTTATACGTTTACTTAACGTCTTTTGAGCTGCAAGGAAAGAATTTTGTCTTTTATGCACATCCAAGAAGTCGCTAATAAACAGACACATGTGCTTGATTGGCCTTGAGCGTTTTTCTCCCGTGTAAGAAAGTGGTGGAAAACTAGGCTGTCACTAAGTGCTGGAGAAGACCAGAGATTTTCGTCCATTTGCATGGTCGTATTCATGGAGGTCGGAGTGTTGCCATCCTAAAAGCTGGGAATAATTTTGCTGGTTTTTTTTTTTTTTTATTAATATATGTTTGCAGTACATGATTACAGTCTTCGTGGGAAATTTGCACACCTATAACACACATCTTAATTCTTTTCATCCCTTTCCCCTCTTCTCCCTCCCACTTCCTCCATGTCTTGGTCCCCTTCCCTTTGGAAATTTTTTTGCTTTAAGCAGAAAAAGATGCTTGCTTTAGTAAGCATTACAGTCAGTTAACAACACACATCCACGTACAAAACAATGAAACATAAGAGTAATTCCGTTAATATTTTATGATAGTGTTTTTTGAAGGAAGTGTATCTCATAGTGCGTTGGGACTTTGGGAGTGGAGTTTTTAGGTTCAAAGCCAGACCCTACTATTTACTTTGTGACCTTGCCCAGGTTGTGTAACTTTCTTAGTCCTTGTATGGAAGAAATAAAATTTACTTCTTCTGGTTTCTGTGAGGAATAAATGGGATACTTACCTAATGGCTCTGTGGTGTTTATCTTCTGTTATTCTTCAGGGGTGATAAACACTGGCAGAAGCAAACAGAGTAAGAAAAGGCCAAAAAAAATTAATTATTTATTTTGCAGTAGGGTGTCACTCTAGAATTGAAGCTGTCTTTGAACTCACTTTGTGGACCCAGCTGGCCTCAAACTCATAGTGATCCTCCTGCCTCAGCCTCGCAGTGCTGGGATTACAGGCATGAGCTATCATGACAGGCTCAAAATTTTTAATTGAATGAGTTTTTTCCACTATCATTTTTCTCTCCTGGAATGTTGAAGCAGTTAGGCATAGGGGCAGCATTCTATGTATTGTTTTAACAGTAAAATGAGATTTTTGCTAGGATGTGGCTTGAGGGTATATTCTATTCCAGCCTTCTAATCTGACATGTGAAGGTTTATATCCTTGAATGTCATTAACAGGGAGACATAGCTATCATTGTCCCAAGACCCTGGCAGGATCAAGTGCGATGCTCTCCACTACAGAGATATAACTGCATTGTATGTTTTGAACCCATGCACCCCTGCAAGCCCTCATACTGGAGATTAAACCCAGGGCCTTGACACTGAGCTACATCCTCAGCCTTATTTTTATTTTGAAGTGGGCATTGCTAAGTTCCTCAGGCTGGGCTTACACTTTCTTCCTTCTGCCTGAGCCTCCCAGAGTTCTGGGATTATAGATGTGCACCCATCATGCCCAACTCAGCATGCTTTGATTTTTAACACCGGAGACTCCTTGCATGTCTTCTTTTATGGGACATAGAAAATACAAATTTTATATTGTTTATATAGGACTAATCAAAAACTAATCTATTTGAAGTTACTCCTTAGATAGTAAAGAATTTGTGTCTTTTGTCCTTCCCATTTTCTTTGCTAATTTTATGCTTTCTTTTCTCTGTCCATTCTCCATCTCACTTCTTGGGCATCCCTAAAGGGATGTCACCAGAGAACTGGAATGTGGATATGTGGAAAAACAACTTTTGCTTTGGTTGTTAGGAGGTTTGCATAACTTTCTTTTACTCCACCTGACACCTAAATCACAAGGTTTTACTGTGAGAACCCCAGAGTAATTAAAACAGAAAAATTTAAAATAAGGCATTCATTAAGCAGAGTTTGTTATGGTGAATAATTTAGTTGTGGAGAACCAGCTTATAGTTCCTCTTTGATAGTATACCAAATCTGGAACTTTTGTAAATTGCCACAGTAGGTAATGAGCATCTAGAGTTGAAACAGTGATTTGAATCAGATATTTTGGTGCTTTCCTTTTAGTTAAGCGTCTATGAAATTTTTTAAAGTAAGAAATACTGGAAGCATAAACATTTTTTTAGAAGGCTATTTTAAAGTATATTAGGAATTACTGCAGTCAGAATTAGGTGTATCAGGCCTGTCTGGGTCATTAGAGCTCCTTACAATCGCTGACTGCCCTGAATTTCTATGTTTGACTGTATACCTTTGTGTCCACTGCCCTGAATTTCTATGTTTGACTGTATACCTTTGTGTCCACTGATTCTATATCCCAATACTCTACCAGTTGTGTTTGAAAAATATTTGGGAGGAAAGTTGTGTCAGTGCTGAACTCAACTTTTTTTTCCTTGTCATTATTCCCTAAACAATACAGTATGATAACTGTTTATATAACATTTACATTGTATTAGGTTGGTATTGTAAGTAACCTAGAGATGATTTATTTTAGATGTTGTCTTAGTTACTTTTCTTCTTGTTGAGACAAACCCAACACCCAAAGTTAAAGGAGGAAGGGCATATTGGAGCTCAGTTTGTAGAGGTTTCAGTTTATAGTTGGCTGATTTCAAGGCAGGGTGGCATGGCAAAGGGGCATCACAGAGGAGAAACAGTTCATGGCAGGCAGGAAGCAGCAGCATGCAGCGGGGCAGAAGCCTCTCCCTTTTACCCTTGGAGGCTGCCCACCTTTTGGGTGATGCCACCCACACCCAGGGTGGACCTTCCCATGACCCACATCCAGAACTATGCTTAACCAGTTAGTGGACTAATTAGTAATCACATCCCCTTAATCCCAGCATTGGACCACTTAATCCCAGCATTACATGCCCTAAACCCAGCCACCTCTGAAAAGCCCCACTTGTGAATGCATGTGGATTTGGCGGGACATCTATATACAAGCCATAATGGATAAACATGTGAGAAGTATATACATATACTATGCCATTTTATTTATATAAGGGACTTGAGGATCCTCAGACTTCAGTATCTGTTGAGGATGAGGGGGATAGTATCCAGGAACCAGTCCTCAAATATAGAGGACAACTATCAGTGAGGCCTTGCCAGGTAGTCTTCTAACTGCTTGCAATGTAGCAGCTGGCAATAGAAAGGTGGAATCCCCGATTCCAAGTACCGTGGTGAAAAGATCTGGTATAGGATGTGGAAATTCCTATGACAGAGTTGTTGATCAAGGAAGGCCTTGCTGAGAATGGCATCTGATCAAAGACCTGCAGGACATAAAGGAGCAAACCATGTGCTTATATGGGGAAAGCAGTAGTCCAAACAAAGGAAAATATGAGTGCAGAGGTCTTAAGGTCCAAGCATTGTGTTATTTTTGCAGTGCTGGGTATTGCACTGAACTACATCCCCAGCAATTTTTTTACAAAAATTTATTTAGAGACAGAGTATTACTAAGTTGCCCAGATTGGGCCTGAATTTTTTATCTTTCTGCCCCAGCCCTAGTAGCTGGGATTACAGGCAAGGGCCACCATACCTGGTGGCTAGGGCATATACTTGTCATGATCAGTGAACGGCAAGGAGGCCAGTGTGTGGAAATACAGTGAAGTAGAAATTGTGGGAGACAGGATTAGAGAGAGAACAGAGGGCCAGATGTTGCGGGCAGTTTTAAGATCTGGTTGTATTGAGAGTAGACTATCCAAGATTCATGGAGATGAGGCTGGTAGAGAATACAAATGAAGTTCATTGTAGAAGTCAACCTGAAGACTAGGAAAGGGAAGCCTACATGGAAAATAATGTGTATAGTAGTCTAGTGCTAAATATAATTCATTTCTTAGACTCAAAAATATCTCAAGCTTTTCAGTTACCATAGAATATGTATTTTATAAGTGGTAAATACATTTTTTTCTGTGAAGAAGGAATTTAGATTCCTCAAAATCTTAAGCCAGAAGGGCTGGGGATTTAGCTCAGCGGCAAAAGCGCCTGCCTGGCAAGCGCAAGGTTGTGAGTTCGGTTCCCGGTACCGGAGAAAAACCAAAAAAAAAAAAAAAAAAAAAAAAAATCTTAAGCCAGAAACCCGTGTAGCTCCATTTAAGCTAGAATTGGGTTAGGTTCTTATCTTTTAGACCATGGCTGTCTTTTTACTTAACTAGAAAAAAAAAAAAAAAAAAAAAAAAAAAAAATCTTAAGCCAGAAACCCGTGTAGCTCCATTTAAGCTAGAATTGGGTTAGGTTCTTATCTTTTAGACCATGGCTGTGTTTTTACTTAACTAGAAAAAAAAAAAAAAAAAAGAATAAAAGTAAAGGTGTTCATTTTTCTTTTAAAGGACTGTTTTTTGTTTTCTACTTTGTGGGTCCAAAAGATTTTGTAGTACATCTTATTCTAATAAGGATGTAAGAAATAGTACAGTGTATCCATATGAAATTAGAATTACTTCACAGAGGAAATTTCTATTTGGTATACTGAGGCCCTTTTATATTGTTTTAACAAAGCAAGATTTTGAGAAGTTCTTGCTCTGTAGTTCAAACTGGCCTTGAACTCAAACTGTTTGGCCTGGCTGACCTCTAACTCACTGCAGTCCCCCTGCCTCAGCCTCCAACAAAGCACGTTTTAAGAAAGACTTTGTTCTTTGCTAGCCAGCTAGCCAACTTCACACAAAGTAGCAGCATTATATAACTTACATTGTAAAACTTGTGCATAGCTACATTTTTAAAATTTTTATTAGTATGTAACGTTTACATTTCTTGTGGGAAGTTGATACGTGTATATAACACATCCCAATTTCTTTTTTCATCCCCATCCCATTGCGCCCCTTTTACCTCCTTCCATCTCTTGATCCTCCTCTGCTTGGAGAAGGATCTATCTCCCTATATCTATTACCTTTTATTTTGCTTTTTATTTTTACTTAGGGTTTCTCGTATAAGAGATATTATGTGATATTTAAGTGTGTGTCTGATTTATTTCACATTAAGGTCTCAAGATACATCCATTTTCCTACAAATGATTCAAGTTTATTTTTACAAGACAGTGGTACTTCACTGTGTGTGAATACCACATTTTTTTAGCCATTCGTCTGTTGATGGACATATGGGCTGCTTCTACGCTTTAGCTTTATGAATTGTGCTGCTATAAACATAGATATGCATGTATCACTGAAATAATATAAAGCCTGTTCTTGCTTTTGGAGCTACCATAGACATGTTTTTCTGACAGTACGTGGAAATACTCAACTAACTGTCTAAAGATTATTCTTAATAAGGTGTTTTATTCTGCTTCACCGAGGTTTTCTTCTGAATTTAGTGTCTTGTTACTTTTCAGTGAATTCAGATTATCTCTGTATCCCACCCCACCCACACCTTGATAGTCTGTCAAATCTCAAGGGGATCTCTTTATTTCATAGTACTTTCTGCTTCCTGTTATTGACCAAACAAATCTTGTCTTTCAGTGTAATCAAAATGAGAAGAGGGCTTGCAGTTCAGAGATGTGGCTATGTACCCGTACCTTCCTACCCTTTTCCTCAGAAACCCTCCCTTCTCTTCCAGTAGCATTATTTCTACTTCGTCAGATGTATTTGAAAAGGGCCTAAGAGGGCTGGTTTATGATTCCGTACTAGAGAAAACCAATCGGAAGGTTGTTAGGGAGGCTGTGGAGGTGGAATAAAACGTTAGCGAAGTAGATGGATCAGGAAGAAGGGAAGCATGTGGTTAAGGTTTAAAGCACAAAAAACCAACTGCTCTCATTTAGGAGTTTCTCAACATCTCCATTATCCCAACCCCACCAAAGTCTAATCCTGGAGATGGTGAGAAGATACTTGTATGAAAGTTTAGTCTTTGGGTAGTGGAATTTTAGTAAATGGTGTGGCACATGTATGATATGTACTTAATCAGGGTCACTAATCCCTCTATGCCACACATGCCCCCAACTTTACAGTTTACTCCTAGAGACAGATAGCTCTAGGAGTACATCTCAGCTGTCCTGCTGGGTGTATATTATACTTTTGTGGCATCATTCCTTCAGGATTATGATCAGTATCTATTTAAGCCAGATTATGATGGTTAAGGGACTGGCAAGTCAAAGCCTGCCACATAGCTCTTTATAACTACCTCCCTCTAGTCCTATCTGAACAGCAGTAATTGGTTTTATTCAGGTTAAGTTCATGTAGTATCTAAAAATTATTTCAGTCAGTAGAGAGACTTAACATCCCAAACTTAGAATAGCTAGGTGCTGTGTAGTATGGAAAGCACCATACATATAAAGCCGGATGTTTCAGAGACAGGTAAAAGATTATGATCTTTGCAAAAATAGTTCATTTACTAGCTGTTCAGGTCTGGAGAATATTGGAGTTATATATAACTTGCTATATCCAGCTGCAGGTTTTCATTAAGACATGTGACCAGCACAATTACAGACTATTACTTCCTTGTCCATATGCTATCCTAATTTAGTTTCTGGAAGTCAAAAATTAGGAGACTAGCACTGATATCTCAGTCCGTACTTAACACTGTTTAATTTTTAAGCCTGTGTTATTCCATAGAAGAACCTAAGGTAGGTCTATTAAGATATTAAACAAAATGATAAGAAATCATCAACAGCAAGAGGAGAATCTGAACAGTAATACAGTGCTTGAGGTTGGTTTGTAGCACAGTTCATTCAGCTTGAATTCTTTAGCAGTCAAAAGGGTTGCTAATGATTTCAGAATAGTAGTTTTTTGGGGAGGAATTTTTTGCTTTTAATATATTAAAATTCTTTGATAGGATTTTTTTAATGGGTCAGGAAAAGCCAGTTAAGGCAGGGAATCATGATGGTTTTATATATATATATATAAAACTTCCCCCCCCACCAGTTATTTTGTGTGTCCTGATTGTAGTTCCCAAAACAGCTTAATAGGAGAGTTAAAATAAGCTCAGACTTGAAAGCCAGTGAATATATTGTATTCTTTTATACATAAGAGAATATTTTATATTCTCTTTCCCCAACTTTTGAAATTTTCCTCTTCATATCTAATACAACAACTTTCTTTTTTTTTTTTAAGTCAGTTTTTTCTGCAGTGTTTGACTTGTTTCTGTGCTCTCATTTTATCAATTTACATAATAATGAAGTTACATCATTACTTTAACAAACATTACTGCACTAACAGGTTTAGGAGCAAGCAACTGAAGATCAGTAAATAACTCAGGTTAAAAAAATGGAAGTAGCAGTACATGAGTTTCTAACTACTAGTATTTAGCATATTATTGCTGCTGCATTGCATAGCTCTATGGGCACTGTTCACACAGAATTGAACATAAATAATACCTCCTAGAGTTGTTGTTTATAGTGGTCTTGGGAGTGGAAACTGTTGGTTAATCTCTCCTAGTCAGAAAGTAGAACCTGGTAGAAAAGAGATTAAAGCCTAGAAAAGTAAAATAGAAGTTATGATAGCAGATTCATCATGTAGTGTTATGTTTTTTTTCATATTACCAAAACAGGTGGACAGCCTCACAAAAGGAGAAAGACTTCTGATGCCAGCGAAACTGAAGATCACTTGGAATCTTTAATATGCAAAGTAGGAGAAAAGGTATGCACCATGATGGACATAGACTGTGGGTTATAGTTGTGCTTTAATTAATTTCCGCAGCTGAAAACTAGATGCTCTTAAGCTTTAGGCAAAACTTGTATTACCATACATCTGTTTCCCAAAGTGAATGCATCTTGAAACCCTTGGGGTGCAGATAGAGTTTTTACTAATTCATAATATTCACACGTGATCTCAGTTTGTAAAGGACCTAAACCAGACCTGAATATTTAAGTTAATTTTCACAGTCACACAGAATTAAAGAGATTGAATAAAAGAGATTGAATAAACTGCACATATCTTCCCATCTCTTAATACTTTTTCTATTTAGACTGCTTATTGTAAAAATTCTATTCATTCTTTTTTCATGAACTTTTAAATGACATAATTACCTAAATTGATATATATTAAGCCTTTTATAGAGTTTTGCTTATAAAAAACGTAACTTTTATATAGTCATATGGAAATTCTTATTTTAATTCACTCGTCGCCGAGTACCTGACAGATTTTTAATATAATGTCTTCTACAGAGTGCCTGCTCTTTGGAGAGCAATCTAGAAGGTTTGGCTGGTGTTTTGGAAGCTGATCTTCCTAACTACAAGAGCAAGATCTTAAGGCTTCTTTGTACAGTGTATGTATGCAAAAGATTTATGAATCCAGGTGATAATGTATTATCTACTCTTAAATGCTTGGGGAAATGTTTAAAACACGTGTTTATGTTCTTGTATTACTGATTTTTTCCTCCCCTCTGTCAGAAAATTCCTGCAAATGATGTGACCTTTGACCCTTTGGTAAACACTTTTAGAGATGAATAGGACTGAAATTGAGCATTTTCCATAGGTTTTGTTTCTTACTTTAGAATCATTTGAATTGATTTTTTTTAAATGAAGAAGTAGATTTTTCCTCATGTGGAATCTTTTTCTTCTTTTAGCAAATACTTTTAAATGTGTAGAGTTTAGCTTTCATTAACCAGTAGTACCAAACAAATTTGAGTTCTGACAACTCAAGTAATAGCCCTTAATGAAAGACTGAAGTTTTTTTGTAGCTATTAATGGTTTTCTTCTAAGTTATATTGCTTCAGTTATTTTGAAATAATTTTCCTAATGCTTAAAGCTTATTTTTGAAATTTTAAAATGTATGTATAAAGTGAAACTGGCAAGTTTCATTCTAACCTCTTACAAATGCAATTAATTTGTTTGCAAATTTTAGAAGGAATTCAGTTAATATTCAGGAAAGTATATTCTTTGTTTTTTTGTTTTTTGTTTTTTGTTTTTGAGACAGGGTCTTGCTATGCAGTTCAGGCTGATCTTGAGCTCATTTTGTAGCCCAGGCTGGCTTTGAACTCAAAACGATTCTCCTGCCTCAGCCTCCCGAGTGCTGGGATTACAGGTGTGTGCCACCATGCCCAGCTGAAAGTATATTCTTGACCAAGAAATTTAAGAAAAATTATTTTGCTATAATAATTCATAAGATTACTTCTGTTTTGAAAGTATTTATTACAGAGTCAACATTTATACTTAAACTCTGATGGAAGCCATGGGTGTTGTTTAAGGAGGGGCTGATATTGTATTGCTTAGCAGTGTTCTTTTTTAATTTTGGTTTGGGGAGGGCTTCAGGAAGCATGGTTGATCATCAATACAAGTGTTTTTTGAAGACCTAAATTATCCCTGATCCCTTGCCAGGTGCCTTAGGAAAGCTAAAAGTGTAATGAGAGAAACCCTTCTCCACTGAATTACCATGAAATCTTACTTTTCTTTTTGAAGTATTTTCTAGAGGCTGCCTTAATTAGGAAGCACTATTTGCTTTCTTTTAAAAGGGGGTTTATTATAATCCCTTTCTGTACTTTTGAAATAACTTTAACGAAATGCACACACTTGGGGTAAGTAGCTGGGATGTAACCAAATTGTAACTGTATCAGGGTACATATTAAGAATTCAGCAGTTAACTGATAGGCACTCAGTTGAAGCTGGTTTTAACTTTTTTATCTTTTCTAAGAAGAAAGAATAGTGTTTCTTAAAGTGGAATTCTGGTCCCACGAGTTTAGTTAGCTAAGTTTAGGAACTTGGAATGCTCTTATTTCCCCTTTAGTGATTCTGCACTAAAGACACGTTTCATCCAGCACTTCTGAGATACTTATGGAATCCACTTTTTTAGTGCTGCTACTCACATTTCAATAAAAACTGTCCTGCATCAATTATATTTATTTGTGTCATAACTTCACAAGTAAACGGTTTTCCTTTCTTAGTGCTTTTAACTAAGTTGAATCAGAATGAAAAATTGTGGGAATTGGCATCTGTATCACTTCTCAATACATGCATACTTTTTCTGAAGTTGTTTTAAAAATCATGGTTAAGGCTTGAGATTATAGCTCAGTGACACAGTGCCTACCTGGCAAGCGCAAGGTCCTGAGTTCCATTTCTGGTACAAAAAGAAAAATCATAGTTAAAAGTAATCTTGTTCTAACGTTAATGGGATGATAAAATTCAACAGTTTAACATAATGCCATTTTGGATGGTTTTTTTTTGTTGTTGGTTGTATGGGATCTTGCATCAGTGCACGTTTGTTACCTGAGAAGTTGACAATTTATACAACATTAGTTGGACTTCTGAATGCCAGGAATTACAACTTTGGTGGAGAATTTGTAGAAGCCATGATTCGTCAACTTAAGGAATCACTGAAGGCAAACAATTATAATGAAGCTGTATATTTGGTAAGTTATTATTACCCAATCCAGTGGCTTGTTTTTACTCTGAATCCTAGTCAGCCTCCTTATACCATGTAATTCTTTACATTACCTTTTTCCTCTGGTTTCTGCAAAGCATGTGTTTTCAAAACCCCCTACTGCGTCTACCTCCTCATCCTCAGCCTCTTTTTACTGGGTTATCTTCCTTTGCCCTTCACATGTTTGTGTTTCTAAGGATTCTGTACTCGTTTTCCTTTACTTCCTTCAGAAACATTCTCATTCATTCTCGTAACTTCATAATCCAACTTTATGCCTGTCAGATCTGTAATTGTATCTTCAACTTTAGCCTTTACAGACCTGTATTCCAAGTTCTACCTGCATACCCTTATTACCTGGGCATCCCTAAATTGTGTTATTTACACCTCTTTTCCTTCTTTCCTCTCCCTGAGTCACTCATCTTGTCCTCTGTACTGGGCAACCCATCTAGAATCATGGGTATTGATTTTTTTCCTTCCTTTGGCTCCCTATACAATAAGTGTCTCCAAGCCCTGTCAGTTATAAGTCCTAAATTTCTCTGAAATTTATCCTTTCTTTGTCTCCAGGGCATCCAGTATAGTTCATGCCTTCTTCCTCATAAGAGTACTTAACAAACTCTTAACATATGGTTGTATATCTCTATTCTCTGCCTTTCATTTTTCTTCTACAGAGACATTGGAATGGCCTGTGACTAGGCTCTGTTCGTATTGGTTACTGGTTAAAAACCTCAGTTCCTTCCTGGTTTCTATAGTTGAGTGGTTTTAAAACTGTACACAAAATGACACATTTGTGTTATAGGAAGTAAATATTAGACCTTTCATTTATCTTGAATGAAAATGAAATTAAGCCTTACAGTGATACATAGGGTGGAATGATCTAGCGTATATCATAAATAAATGTATGTTTGTTGGAGATAGGTGATCAGATTCATTTTTAGTGAATACAGAATCAGAAAACTTTGGGCACCCATTGTGCTATAGAATTACAGCCTGGACTCTTTAGCTCGGCCCTTTATAGTTACCCCAATCTGTTTTTCTATCCTTACCTCCCATAAGCTCTCCAACTTTATTAAAATTACTTGCAGATCCCTGACTACACCCTGTTATTAAACCCCTCTGCCTAAATGCCCTCCTTGCTCACCACTTGAGGAGTACTTTGCTCATCTTTTATGACCTAACCGGTTGTTACCTCCTTTATAATGCATTCCTCTGCTCTCTTTGTCATTGTTCCTAGGGTACTTTTTAATTTACCTTTTAGTATGGGATCATGCCTGTGTTGAGATTGTGTTTTTCCAGAAGCCTGTGAGTCTGTATATAACAAGGCCTTTAATAGTGCTTAGCAGTGGCACACAAAGGACATGCAGTAAATATCTGTTCTGTAACTTCCATTCTGTAGTTTAGTGAAAATTATTCACGGTTAAAATAGGCTAAATTTTAGGTTGAAGTAGCCAGATTGTTTTACAGTCTAGATTATTAACGTATGATAGCATTGAAACCTATAAATTCTTAAGTTCCTGTCCATTAAAGGATCTGTGTCACAACTTCTTAGCTCCACCATTATAACACAGAAGCAACCATAGTAAACCAAGTGGATGTGCTTGTGTTTCAATAAAAGTTTACGGATGGGCACTGAAGTTTGAATTTCTGGTAATTTTGCATGAGTCAAAAATTTCTTTTCAAGTATTAAACCCATTTTTGGTTCACAGGCTGTGCAAAAACAGATAGTAGGCTAGATTCAGCCCTTGGGCTCTAGTTTTTCAAACAATGGTTTAGACTATTACCAGATTGCTTATTTTGTAATTATTATGAAGGACATTTAATAGCAAAAATTGTTTGCTTCAACAGGTTCGTTTTTTATCTGATCTTGTGAATTGTCATGTAATTGCTGCCCCATCAATGGTTGCTATGTTTGAAAATTTTGTAAGTGTAACTCAGGAAGAAGATGTACCTCAGGTAAGAGCACCTCTTATGCTGAATCTTGTCCAGTAGTACTGTATCAGGAATTTTTCACTGGTAGCTCCTCAGCAAAAAAGAAAAGTTAGTAGATTATCATACTATAAATGATTAATATTTAAAAGGTAAGTCAATTGGCATACTGGTGGGTTCTTTGGACATCTGTATGTTAACTCAAATGATTCTGTCTAGTAAGATTGGAGTCAAAACATCTAGAAATGTTCTAAATGAACCAAGTCTCTTATTTCAGCTCTCCTTAGTGGCTTCCAGAGGATTTCATTTAAAAATAAATAAAATATGATGAACATTGAATAGCACATGTTTTAAACTTACCTTTTTAAAAACTTCTTCAGGTACGACGGGATTGGTACGTGTATGCATTTCTGTCATCTTTGCCTTGGGTTGGAAAGGAGTTGTATGAAAAGAAAGATGCAGAGATGGACCGCATCTTTGCCAACACTGAAAGCTATCTTAAGTAAGGGCACAGCTCATACTAGTCTTTATTACTTAGGTAAAGGATATCTTACTGATACAATAAATGTTAGATTTTATTGTTAGTAATACCATTTGAATTTCATTCTCAAAAAAGCAGTTTTCTTGAAGGTGTTCTCCAGGTAATCTCATTCTTCTACTGTTAGAACTCACTGAGACCTCAAGATGAGCAAAAAAGCTGCATTTATACATGTGTAAAAGGCATAAAACTCCCTTAAATATTAGTGTACACAAGAATTACCTGTGGTTCTTAAATACCCAGACCCCTGCTCCTACACCAAGTGAATTACGTTGTTTAAGGAAAGAGATCTGAGCATCTATATTACTAGAATATTCTGTAAGTGGAGAACCACTACGCTAGCACATACATTTATTTTGTATAAATTAATGCTAGTCCAAACCCTTAAAATAGTGTTCCTCTAACATTCTATCTATTTCACTACGCTTCTTAGGAAATTCAACATTTTAATTTAAAAAGTCCCATAGCTTCCCACTATCTACCTTTCTCAAGCCATTGTAAATGCTTGGTGTATCTCGTTCCATGTAATGCTAATAACAGGCTTTGTAGTATACTTCTACTTGGTTAACCAACAGCATGATGATTCTGTGTTGCTTATGTTTCTGCAGATGAGTTTTGTCCTATCATTTTCTACCTATTTATAGGTACTTGTTTGAATACTGTCAATATTTGTTTTGTTGGTTACTAGTTAAAAGAATTTTACAAATAAGAATCTTACATATGTGTATGTTTAACTCCATCTTTTTTATGTAAATGGTAGCCCAGTATATCCACTGCAGTTTTTTTTCTTACTATGATTTGGATATGTTATATACAAGTATATAGGTCTACTTCATTCTTTTTATTTTATTTTATTTTATTTTTGGTTTTTTTTCGTACCAGGACATTCTTTTTAATAGTAGTATGGTATTTCACTGTTTTAATGTACCGTGATTGTTTTTGACTAGTTTCCTGTTGGTGGATATTTAGGTCATTACTAGTCCTTTGCTAGTATAATCCCTATGTTAGTGAGTATTCTTTTATATACATATATATACACTTTTTTGTGTATATATGCAGATATATTTATGGAGGAATGTGAATTCTTATAAATGGCATTGTAGGGTTGATGGTCCTAAACAATTTAAATTTTGATAGACTTAGTTAAATTGCCCTGGAGAGATTATACCCATTAACACTTTTACTAACAAGAGGCTGTAGATTAACATATAAATTATAATATATAGTGTTATAAAAAATGTTGATACCTGCTGATATGATAGGTAAAAATGTTACACTTTAATGTACATTTTATTAATTATTATGAAAACCACTAAGCACCTTTTCATACTTTTAAAAGTCTAAATACAGATTTTCATTTTTATGTCTAGAAGACGCCAAAAGACCCATGTGCCCATGTTACAAGTATGGACTGCTGATAAACCACATCCTCAAGAAGAGGTAAACCGATTTCAGTCCCTCTTGATATGAACAGCTCTTGAGTAGATTCTTATCTCTGTAACACACTCAGACATTCATTTGCACACCTTGGCTGTATTTCCATATAACTTGTCAGGAGTTGAACTCTCTATAGCCATAGGCATACAGAGTATTTAATAAATAGAATTTAATTAAAACATTCCCCTGTTTTCTTAGATTCAGCTATCACAGTCTTGACATTTTTTTAAATATACAACCCAAAAAATATAAGAGGTTAAAAACTTCATACAGATTTATAAAACCAAGTGTGGACACATTGGCATATTCCTGTAATCCTAGTTACTCAGTAAACTTGACTAAGGAGAATTATGAGTTCAAGGCCAACCTGAACAACATAATAAAATCTTAACTCAAAAAAACAGTACAAAAATTTAGTACCATTCGTTTGTATCATATGTAATTGTAAGTTAGCTTAAATGTATATCCTTTATTTTAGAGGGTTGTGACTTGTGGTTTTGTCTAGTCAAAATGTGATTTATTTACATTAGTTATTAAAAATTAATCTGTCTTTAGTATTTAGATTGCCTGTGGGCCCAGATCCAGAAACTGAAAAAGGATCGCTGGCAGGAGCGACACATCCTCAGACCTTATCTTGCCTTTGATAGCATCCTCTGTGAAGCACTACAGCATAATCTGCCTCCTTTTACACCACCTCCCCACACTGAAGATTCAGTGTACCCGATGCCAAGGGTTATCTTCAGAATGTTTGATTATACAGATGATCCTGAGGTATGTGACCAACTAAAAGTTCCTAGAAAGGGCCTGTGTTGCATTGTACTTGTGATTTAATTTTTTGTTACTTATGCCGCAGATGTCTTTTAATTTTCAGTTTTGTTTTATCTAAGTAGGTTGATGGCAGTGAAGGTTAACTTTATATATCAGTAAATTTTATCACCTCAATATGCAAGATATATTTAGCATATATAAATAGATTAGAGGGACAGGCTAATGAAGAGTGGATGTGAGAACCAGATTGGATTGTGTTGTAATCCTGGTTGAGCAAAAATAATATCTCTGTGATTTTTGATTATTTACCTCTGTACTTCAGATTCCCTAGAGGTGTAATAGTATGCGTCTCATAATGTCTTTAGGAGGATTAAATTATTAACACATAAAATACAGAGGACAGTATCTGCCATTTGATGGATGCTTACTTTAGCTCTGAAAGTAGACACAAGTAAGTGTGTAGTGGTTACTGATAGTATGTTATAGCTGCAGTAGAGAAACTGCAACTGATTTTGTTGTAGATATGTGAACCTAACAATAAAATTTTCTGAAGTACAGAGCTTTGAGATGATTGAACTTTTACCCCTACCACATAATACAGTGCCTGAAACATAAGACTCTCTAATTTTTTAAAATAAGTGACCTGCTTCCTAGATTCCTATGTATACATCTGTTTTTTTCCCAGGGTCCTGTGATGCCAGGGAGTCACTCAGTGGAAAGGTTTGTGATAGAGGAGAACCTCCACTGCATCATTAAGTCACACTGGAAGGAAAGGAAAACCTGGTAAGTTGCTTTTCACAGTGTTCATGGAGGGAGGAAAGAGATTTGATGATACGGTAAGAGCAAATGTGTGTTAAGTGTGCAAAGGTCATTCAGTCCTGACTCCCTGCTTTGCTAATACTTGAAAATACTTGATTTACTCTCTCAAAGCTCTTCACCCTCAAGTAGTATGTTTTGGGGTGCTTTGTGGTAATGTCTTGTGATGTCAGGTTTTTTAGTGGGTATCTGCCATATATTATCTAAGATTTTTGAATGGCAAATTATTTTTGGTTTGGATGTTTGGGGAATAAAAAAATTCTAATGGTTTCGTTAGACCTTGGAAAATTTAATTTTAAATTAGAAAGGAATACACTATTTTAGAAGTGGACCTCTTTTTTAAACTTGTTAAGTTAGTAGATCTGAATATGCTTCCTCAGTGTTAGTTAGGTTCCATTTTCTTGTGATAGACAGAATAATTTATCCCACAGTTAAGTAACCAAAATTTAGAACATTTCAGAAAAAGATTTCCTTATATCTAAACATACTGCTTTGAGACTGATTATTTGATTTCTCATGTATCTTCTTTTATTATTCAACTTAAATTGTACTTTTATAGTGCTGCACAGCTGGTGAGCTATCCAGGGAAGAACAAGATCCCCTTGAACTACCACATAGTTGAGGTATGCGTTCTGTATGGCACGTGTTTCTGAATTTCACAGTCTTTATTACTTTAAAGTGTAATATACTCTTGGCTTATTTTTTTTTTCTTGCTACTTGTCAGGCACTGAAAATTAACAGAGGAGCGAGGAAAATGCTGTCACTTTTGGTGCTCTGTTAGCCATGTTAGTAAAGAGAAAACAGGAAGTTGAGACCAATAGCCAAATGGAATTTTGAGTTGCCTATAAATTACTTATATAGTATGCCTTCAGTCATGGATAGTTATCATGGATAATGTAAGTTACCTCTAGCCCTGTCAATACATTGTCCACTTAACAGATGCATAAGTGATTGAAATACTTCAGAATACTGTTACTTTAGGAGATAACATATCTTTACCTGTGTTTGTCTGGCCTCTTATTACCAGTATATAACTCACTAGTATATTATTTCCTGTAACACAAAGTAGGGATGAATCCTTATATATTCACAGAAATCAAAAGAACCAAGTAGTTTAAAAGCAGGAAGAATAGAAATGCTTTTGACTCCATATTGATACAAGAGGATGATGCTGATAGTGTAGTATCTTGATAGAACAGACCTTGAAGAAATTATATCACAATAAAATGTTTCCATTCAGCAGGAGTCAAGCTGTTAACTGCATATTTATGTTAAAGTATTCATGAGAGAGCATAATGCAGTGTATTATTTAAGGTGCACATTTTATCCTAGCACTTTTGTGCTTTTTAGGTACTTTTTAAAAAGTCCTGTATCTGTCCTATCTTTATAAAATACGAGAGTATGTTTGTATTGTGGATTTGGCTCATTGACATGTCAGTTGAAATTCTTTTCTTTTTTTTTCTTTTTCGTCTTTTTGAGACAAGGTTTTGCTATGGAGTTCAGGCTGGCCTAGAACTCATTTTGTAGCCCAGACTGACCTCTAACTCACAGCTATCTATCTTCTTGCCTCAACCTCCTGAGTGCTGGGATTTTAGGTGTGCTTCACCGCACCTGGCTTGACATGTCAGTTAAAAAGCAAAAAAATTGTATTATTAAATCTGCAAAATGTAGACCTCCATCAGACTGAAGTATAGGAGTTTGAAAAGAGAGAGTAGAAGGAAAGAGTGCAGAGCAGGGCTTTAGAATTCTAGGTTGATGTTCTGTCAGTTACAAAGGAAGGTGAAAGCAAAAGTTTCTGAACAAGAGACGTGACAAAGAAGTCTTAGACTTGTCAAAATCGTTTCTCTGTTTCTCAGAGACTGAAGGTTAGTATTAGTTGTAGGCATTAAACCCTTAGTGGATTGTTGAGTCCCTCAGTAAACTGCATTGCTGAGTCAGTTTGATAGTTCCAGAGTTGGACTTATTTTTATTGGGACTGTGGATCCAAAAAGCATTAATCTTACATGATTTTATTTGAGTAGAGAGAAAAAACTCATTAGGTATTGAGTTACAAAAAGTACTGTAATTCTTTTTTCATTACAAATGCCCTGGAGTTACAGTTTAGATTTATAATGAAAAGGCCTTTCTAGTAGTAGGCATGCGATGATACCACTTGAATTGAGTTCTGACTCAGAATTCTTTTGCAGGTGATCTTTGCAGAGCTGTTTCAACTTCCAGCACCCCCCCACATTGATGTGATGTACACAACACTTCTCATTGAATTGTGCAAACTTCAGCCTGGCTCTCTACCCCAAGTTGTATCCTTTCCTTTGATTTTAAATTTATACTCTGGCCTGGATTTAAAAGATTACTAAATATGTGAGCTAACTTTTAACAGTTTTGTCTTTATTTCTCTAAGCTTTAGGTTTTAGGAAGGGTGATTCTGATTTGATCTGTTGTGACAGTGAAGTATTATCATTTAATAAGACAGACTAAAATACCCATTGTAAACTTAACACATAGTACCTGCCCTGATATGAAGTAGGATATTGAAAGCTTCCCTTGGCCTCCTCCCCAGGAAGATCCCTCAGTTTTCCCCTCCACACTGTTCTGACATGTGAACGTCATTCTTTTGCTTTTTAAAATACAGTTTTAGGGGCTGGGGATATAGCTCAGCGGCATAAGCGCCTGCCTGGCAAGCGCAAGGTCATGAGTTTGGTCCCCAGTACTGAAAAAAAAAAAAAAAAAAAAAGCTAAAATACAGTTTTACTGTGAATATGAAAGGAATGTATATTCTGCCATTTGGAGGCTTAGGGTTCTCTGTAAGTTGATTAGATCAGTTCCTTTAATTATAATATTTAATTCATTGTTTTTAACTGATCTTGGTAAGAGACATCTGCTATTTATTTGTGTTATAAGGAGAGGTATTTCTCTCACTATACCTACTTCTGTCAGTTTTGCTTTGTCTGATTTGAATTAGTAGGTACACTTTCAGTTCAGAATTATGTCTTTAGTGAAGTGAGACTTCTATTACTCTGATGATTGTTTTATATAGCATTTGCCTTAAAATGTCTATTTTGTCCAATATTAATAGTGCTTCACCAGCCTTCTTTTGATTAAAATAATTATTTTATCATTCCTCCCCCCAGTTGTCCACATCGTTGCATTTTTTGATCTGTTTTACAAACAGCAAATCGGTGGACTTAATTAAGTCACACAATCTTTGCCGTTTAACTGGACCCTTTTTCTTACCTACTTTATATTTCTTTGATGCCATGTCTTGTATTATGTGAAGACTTTCAGTGTTCGTTTCATTTTTTTCCCCTCTTCTAGTCTACAGGTATGTACCTATATTGCTATATGAGTGTATACCTGTATGCTTTTTAGCATGCATGCTCATCCATCTTAATTTCTGACCTTTAATTTTTACCTCATTGTTAAGTGCTAGTATTACAATACTAAATAAGTTTAGTTATATATCATTTCTTGGAGCTTGAAGAAAAATATGTTTTATGCCATAATGTTCATCTTGATGTTTCTATATATCTGGCACTTTCAGGGATCTCCATTCCTTTTTGTATATCCTTACTTTTCCATCTACAGTATTTCTTTCAGAGAAGGTTCATTGCTCATGGACTTTCTTCATTGTTTTTTAAAATGCTTTTGTTTTCATTCTTGAAAGATGGTTTAGGTTTTCAGAAGAAAAGACAACATTAGCATTCATTAAACCTTCATTTGTAGCAGTCCAATAGAAACACATGAATGGATAAATAAATTTTATGTCTTTGGAACAGAATACTATTCAGCAATAAAAAGAAGCAAGTTTTTGTGCAGGTAACAGCATGAAGAAATTGAAAAACACTTTATGGCAAATGAGATACCAGACAAATAAGAATTCATAGAATGTATCATTTACATAAAATTCCATATTGCAGAATAATGTTAGCAGGCCAGCAGATACTTGAGGAGGAAGGTAGCAAGGGAAAGGGAAAGGAATGGTTTACAAAGGAGCATGGGGAAATTTTGAAGGTGATGAAAATATTCATGACCTAGATTTCATCATTGCATATCTCAAGTTTATTGTACATCACTAATACTTTAAAGCTTTTAAAAATTTGTTACATGAAAAACACTTAAAAGTTATTTGTTACAACAACCTGCAGAAAATGTTTTGTATTGTTTTGTTTTGCTGTCACAACTTCATTTTGAAGTAGGGTGGAGAATAGTTTTCCTTATCCTCAAATTCACAGCTTGCACAGGCAACTGAAATGTTATACATGCGTTTGGATACAATGAATACTACATGTGTAGACAGGTAAATTTATTGCTCTTTTCTGTACTGAATGTTTGCTGCTTCTGCTCATTGTACTTTTTTTTTTTTTTTTTTTTTGCTCATTGTACTTTATTAAAGAATTTTTCAAATTTTTTACAAGCACACATTTGCAGTACGTAATGACTACATTGATCATGATGAGTTGGTATGTGTATGTAACACATCTTAATTCTTTTTACATCTACTTCCTCCCCATTCCATCCCCCTCCCAGCCATCTTTCAGTCTTCTTCCTATTTGCAAAACATCTATCTCATTTCCTGTCAGCTGTCTTTTTATTTTGCTCTTTATTTTATGCTTCAGGTATCTCATAAAAGAGAAAACATGGTATTGAAGTTTCTATGTCTGATTCATTTCACATAACATGGTCTCAAGGTGTATCCATTTTTCTATAGATGACTCAATTTTATCTTTCTTTATGGTAAAGTAGAACTTCATTGTGTATAAATACCACTTTATCCATTCATCTGTTGATGGACAGACACATGGGCTGCTTCCAGGATTTAGCCATTAGGCATTGTGGTGCTATAAATGTGGATGTGCATGTATCATTAATATGATGTCTTTAACTCTTTCGGAAAGATAGCTAGGGGGAGGGTGATAGCTGGATTGAATGCAATTTCTAGTTTTAGTGTTTTGAGGACTCTCTGTATGAATTTCCGTAATGGTTACACTAGTTTACATTTCCATTAACAATATAGAAGGATTCATCCCACACACACGCACATACATAGCCTCCCTGGCATTTGTTACTATTCGATTTCTTGATGATAGCTGTTCTTTCTGAAGTAAGATGGAATTTCAGTGTTGTTTTAATTTGCATTTCTCTAATAGCCAGAGATGTTGAAATTTTTTCATGAATTTATTGGCCACTTACACTTCTGAGAAGTTTCTATTCTTCTCAGTTGCCCAGTATTTGATTGGGTGTTTTATTAGGGAAGGTTTAATTTTTTTGAGTTCATTATATATTGTAGGTATTAGTCCTCTGAGGAATAGCTAGCAAAATTTTTTGCCATTCTATAGGTTGTCTCTTCATTTTTTTGGTTGTTTACTTCACTGTGCAGAAGCTTCTAAATTCAGTAAAATTCCATTTGTTGATTCTTGATGTTACTTCTTGGGCAGTTGGGGTTCTGTTCAGAAAGTCCTTGTTTATGACTGTGTACTCAAGAATTTTAAGTATTTTCTCTTCTAGCGGGTTGTGTTTCATTTTTGACATTTAAATCTTTGGTCCACTTTTAGTTTAGTTTAGTACATGGTGAGAGATGTGGGTCTATATTCGATCTTCTGCATGTGAATAACAGATTTTCCCAGTGTCAATTATTAAAGAGGCTGTCTTTCCTCCAGTGTATGTTTTTTGTCCTATTGTCGAGGTCAGATGGCTGAATTGCCTGGAGTTGTTTCTATGTCCTTTGTCGTTCCAAATACCTGTTTTTGTGCTAGTACTATGTTTTTATCACTGTAGCTTTGTAATACAACTCGAAATCTGGATTGTGATATCACCAGCTTTGCTCTTGTTGCCCAGGATTCCTTTTGCTCTTGCAGGTCTCTTCTGGTTCCATATAAATTTTAGAATTGGTTTATATAGTTCTAGGAGGAATGCTGTTGATTTTTTGATTGGGATACCATTAAATCTGTGTATTAGTTTTGAAAGTGTGGCTGTTTTTACAATATTGTTTCTGCCTATCCAGGAATAGGAACTATCTTTACATTTTCTGATGTCCTGTTTGATCTTTTTTCAGAGTACTGTAGTTTTTTCATTGTAGAGGGCTTTACTTCCTTTGCTAGGTTAACTCCTCTAAGTAATTTATTTTTTTTTCATCTATTGTGTGTAGTAGTGTTTTCCCAATTTCTTTCTTTGTGATTCCATTATTGATGTACAGGAATGCTGCATTATGTTGCTTTTTCTTTGTTGATTTTGTATCCTGCTGCATTACGGAATTCAGTTATTAATTCTAGAAGTCTTTCGGTGGAATTTTGTGAGTCTTCTATGTAAAGAACCATGTCATCTGCAAAGACTGATAGTTTTACTTCTTCCTTTCATAGATATAGATATAGATATTCCTTTTATTTCTTTCTCTTGCCTGATTGTTCTGGTTAATATTTCAAGTACTAATGTTCAGGTACTGAACTGGAGTGGTGGTAGTGGATACCCTTGTCTTGTTCCTGATTTTGGAGGGAAAGCATTCAGCTTTAGCTTTGTTGGCCATTGGTTTGTCATAAATGGCTTTTATCTAATTGAGATAAGGACCTTTTGTATCTGTTTACTTAAGGGTTTTTTATCATTAATGGATGTTAGACTTTTGTCAAGGCTTTTTCTTTGTCTATTGAAATGATCATCTGATTTTTGTTCTTCTGTTTATGTGATTTATCACATTTATTGATTACCATATGTTGAACCTTCTTTGCATCACTGAGATGAATCCTACTTGGTCTAATATATGATCCTTTTAATGGTCTGTTGCATTCTGCTTTCCAGTGTCTTGTTAAGGATCTTTGCATCTGTGTTCATTTAAGAGATTGGCCTATAGTTTTCTTTTTCAGTTGAATCGTTGGCTTATTTTGGAATCAAGGCAATGCTATCCTTGAAGAGTAAGTTTGGCAATACTCCTTCCCTTTCAGTTTCATTAAAGAGCTAGAGGAGTATTGGTGTTAGTTATTCCTGAAGTTTTCAGAATTCAGGAGTGATTCCATCCAGTCCTGGGCTTTTATTATTGTTTCAATTTCTCTGTCTGTTCAGGGCTTTTAAATCTTCTTGGTTCAGTTTTGGTAATTCATAAATTTCTAGGAATTTATCCATTTCTCTTGGATTCTCCAGTTTCTTGGAGTGTAAGTTTTCAGAGTAGTTACTAATAATCTTCTGGATCTCAGCAATGTCCATTGTGATTTCACTTTACTCATTTCTAATTGTATTGATATGAGTTTTTTCCTTTTTCTTTGTAAGATTAGCTTAGGGATTTTCTAATTTTTTTATTTTAGAGAACTATCTCTTTGATTCATTGATTCTGTATATTGTTTTAGACACAATTTCATTCATTTCTGATCTTTATAATTTCTTCTGCTATACTAGCTTTGGATTTGAATTGTTCTTTCATTAGCATTTGAGCTTGATCTATTTTTCTGATGTGGACATTCACAGCTATAAACTTCCTTCGTGGATATGTTTTTGTTCCCCTGTAGGTTCTTGGGTGTTGTACTGGCGTTATCATTTGACTCTAGGAACTAATTTCTTCCTTGATTTTTTTTCTGTGATGTATTGATTATTCAAGAGTGTATTGTTGAATCCATGTATTTGCATAATTTCTGTGATTTCTTCTGTAATTGGTTTATAGTTTCATTGCACTGTGATCTGATATTGTGCATGGGATAATTTTGACTCTTTTATGTTATTTAAATATGCTTTATGGACCAGTATGTAGTGTTTTTTGGAGAAAGCTTCATATGCTGCTGACCAGGTGGAACACTAGATATGTATTAAATCTCATTTGTTCTAAGGTGTGGTTCAACTCTGAAATTTCGACGTTTTGTTTTGTTTTGTTTTTTAGTCGAGTTGATCTATTTGTAATAATGGGTACTGAGCTCCCCCATTGCAGTTATATTGATGTTTATCTGATCTTTTTATGTTCAGTAGTGTTTGTTTGATGAAGTTGGATGTGCTGGTGTTTGGTGCATATGTGTTTGTAATTATTATTTGTTTCTATTGAATTGTTCCCTTAACCCTTACGTAGTGACTTTCGCTTCTTCTGATCAGTTTTGGCTTGCAGTGTACGTTGTCTGAAAATAGGATAACCACTCCTGCTTGTTTCCGGGGTCCTGTTGCATAGAATATTGTTCGGCATTGTTTGGTATTTAGTCTATTAATTTCTTTTTTAATTAAATGTTTCTTGTATACAGCATTCCATTGGGCTTTATTTTTGATCCAGTCTGTCAGTCTGTGTCTTTTAATTGGGGAATTGAGACCATTTACATGGGAAGTTATTACTAAAAAGTATTGACTTATTCCTGTGATTGCATTATTTTCCTGTTGCTGATACTCCCCTCACCCCCTGCTTAGCTGTTTGCCCTACCTGGTGTAGTCATTCCATTAGGCTTTTTGGCTTTATTTGGTCTTCCTAGGATTTCCTAGAGAATTTTTTTGGATTCTGGTTTGGTGGTCCTGAATGTCTTGCAGTTTGTCACTGAAAAACCTTATTTCTGTATCAATTTTGAGAGATAATTTTGCAGTGTATATTATTGTAGGTTGGAAGTTGTTTTCTTTCCGTGCTTGCGACCCTTCAAACACTCCTTTCCTTTAAGGCTTGTGTGGAGAAGTCTGGTATAATGATAATGGGTTTAGAATTACCAAAAAAATACAAAAAAAGTGATACCTTTTCTCTAACACCTTTTAAGGATCTTTCCTTCTTTTGGATGGTGTGTCATAGAGAAATTTTTTTCTGATGGTGACTGTTTGTGGTTCTCTATATATCTTACTTTTCTCTGTTGAATTTTTTTCCCAGTAGTTAGAAAATTTTCTGTTACACCTGTAAACAGGTTTTTTATGTGATTTGTGCTGTCTTCTGATTTTTCACTACTTCCAGTTCATTTTAGATCAGTTTTCTTCATACCATGTAGCAGCTGTTGGATCCATGTTCATGTACATCAGCCTTACCTTCTAGTTCTGATACTCTATTCTCAGCATTGGCCACTTCTGTTGCCCATACTTGCAGTAGAATGTTTTGTCTCCTGGATTTGTTTGGGACCTTTTCATAAACTCTTAATTCTTTACTAAACTGGTTACTCATGTTTTATTTTGCTCATTTACCTAGCTTTTTGTTGTGTCTTACATAAGCCCCTGGATCAATTTTATTAAGTCCATCATCCGTTATATCTTTTTTGAGCTCACCAAGAATCTTACTGATCTGGTTTTATCATTCTGTATAATTCAGCTGTTTGGCTTTTGATTTCCTCCCCATGACTGCCCCATGGACCAGCTTTGCGGGAGTTGGGAGTATGTTTGTTTGTCTTTTTGTCTTTGAGACAGGATCTCACTATGCAATTCAGGCAGGCCTTGAACTCACTTTGTAGCCCAGGCTGGCCTTGAACTCACAGCACTCCTCCTGCCTCGGCATCCTGAATGCTGAGATGACAGGTGTGTGCCACTACATCCAGCCCTGGGAGGCATTTTGTCACCTTATTTTCTCTTGTTTGTATTGGTTGTTTTTGTTTTGTGCTGAGGGTTGTAGGTCAATTATAGTGGAAAGAATCTGTTGCTAGCATGGAGATCTCTTTAGTTAGCATCTGCATTCCAGTGATGCACTCTAGGCTTGGTTGTAGGTAGGCCATTTTCTCTGTCCCAAGATCTGATCACCTCCATTAATTTGAGGAGGAGAGGGTGCAGAGTAATTGGCCTAGCACCCAGTTCTCCCGAAATGAACTGTAGTATTGCTGATGACACAAGGTTAAACCAGATATTGGCATGCAGTAAAAACCAGTTAATGGCAACAACTATGCCATGCTGGCAATAACAATAATGTCAGCAACAATAGTAGTGTTGATGGCAAGTTGGATATTGACATATCATAAGAACCAATAAAAGCTATCCCTGATTTTCCCCCACTTCAATAAAATACACGTTGTGTTAGGCATCTCCACTGTGCCATTCATGCAGCACATGTTTTAGGGGCCTTTGTAAAGTTCTCAGCATTGTACACTATACTACAATGTATCTCAGAGAGACATGTATTTTTACAGGAAAGGAGGATATCAATAGTATAGTCTATTAATGGTGGAAAGGGCATATAGTGGTGGAAAGGGCGTATGGCCTATTAATGGTGGAAAGAGACTATACTCTGACTCTGCCATTTGTAAATTTTTATTTGTAATTTTTTTTCTTCCATGTCATCATCAGTTTGTGGGGAAAATAATACACTCTTTGGAGGTTGTCAGAATTAAATTATATAAACATATATTAGGTGCCTGCACAGAACAGGCTCTCAAAATCATGTCTGTTACTTACAAGAAAGAATGAAAGGTTGATTGACTGGGGATGCAGCTCAGTGGTAGAGCACTTGCCCTGTTTGAGGGAGTGGGCAGGGTCAGAGCCCCAGAACTACAACGAAAAAAGAAAGCAGACAGGTAAGACTATTAGAAGTGAGACAGCAAAAGAGTAAGTTGCAGAAGATACAGCTACAGGTGGAAGAGGGAGAGAGTGTTTCTCATTATCATAAAATTGTGTTTATCTGTTTAAAAGATTATATACATTCCTGTTCTAAATTGGAACATTCTTTCTTTTGTGCCCACCCTGTCTCGTTGTAGGTTTATTAATTGGTTTTCTCATCACTTAAGTAACTTTCAGTTTCGTTGGAGCTGGGAAGATTGGTAAGTGTGACGTGTTTTCTTCTTTTCTCTAGAGTTAAAATACTTAACACATTTCCCACCAGCTTGAATCACTGGTGGTACAGGCATGACTGTCTCATTGGGTGGCTTGTACCATTAGTGGTACAAATGGATCTAATCAATTTTATCAGTCTTCTTAATAATAAAATTAAATCAGCGCCACCAGTAGAAGAGAGACATACAAATTAAATCATGTTCCCGACAGCTAGACATACAGCTTATGGGCCTGTCATGAATGAGTTAAAGCTGTAACTTCAGAGTAATCTTTATTGGGTAAAATGTTTAGTTTTTTTGATACCAGTTTACTATGTATAAATGAAATAATAGAAGCAAGCTATTAATACAAGTTAGGTATAAGTGCAGATTATATGCAAGAACTTATAAAACTACATTTCTTTCTTAGGTCAGATTGTCTGGCTCAAGATCCTGAAAGTCCCAAACCAAAGTTTGTAAGAGAAGTTTTAGAAAAATGTATGAGGTAAGTTCTTTGTGTTTTCACCTTAATTTAAGTCTCCTGGTTTTTCTGAGAAGATTTTTTTTCTTGTTCCCACATTGGTGATGTATGTGTTCAGAATATTATTTTTAAAATCTAGGTCTTTGCCCATCTTCCATCTCACATTTTAATCAAGATTTAAAAGAAAAAAATTAATCAGCTGTATCATCTAGATTCTGTGTGAATTAAGCCAATATTTTAAATATGTTGTAAAATGATCTCAAATTTTTAGCAAAATTGCCAAAATAGTACAAAGAACTCTGTGGTTTTTATGCCTAGATTCCCTAGTTACTAGCATTTTACGTATTTTCTGTAATGCCCACTCCTTTGTCTCCTGCCTGCATGCATTACAGCCCTTTGAGAGCCCTTTTGGGATATTAATCTTGGTGACCTGGTGTGTGTGTTCCAGTTTTCTCCATCTTAACCTCATCAGTTTTCTCTTTGTCGTTAATGTTTCATGGCAGAACTCTCAGTCTTCATCAGAGCTCACCTCTGCACTAAGAGTTGTTTTTACCAGCTTCCACTACAGTGGTTCCCAAGTGGTGATTCTCTTCCTGTTATTTTTTCTACCTTTATTGATATTCTACTATAAGAAAGAGCTATCCTCTCTCCCCATTTATTTCTTTGTCATTAGCAGCTAATGCATTTTTCAATCATTGTATTATAAACCATGACTGTCATCATTTCAATGCCCAGATTTCCCCATGAGGAACCCCTGTAATCCCTGTGTTGTCTTCTTTTTTTATATATATCCCCCAACATTTGTTGAGCATTCCCTAATTTCTGGTATAAGATTTTCCATATATGTTGTATTTCCTTGTCTGTGCCCTGGAATCATCCCAAAGCACCCTAGTTTCTAAATATAGAATATAATATTTAGGAGCCAAGACTGGGGCCCGTGATATGCCTGTTATTGGACTGTCATTGCTTCTAGGCTGTCTCTAGGCTGTTCTAGGCTAGCATATACATACATACATATCTGTAAATATTTATATGTCAGCTCTGTGTTTCCATCTCTTCAATTCCAACCCAACATTTTTTTCTACCCTTTCTCTGTGCTGTGATTTATAAGTGCCTTCTCAAGCAGGGAGAAACTTAGCTCCTGTTATCTTCTATCTTATGCAATATAACTAATTTCCCAACCATGCAGACTGTCTCCTCCAACCTATCCATCACCTCCCCACATCCTTGGCCACCAGGCTTGTGAGCCCTCTAGCCCACACCTCAGTGCCAACCAGTAAGTTTTTAAATAAGCCTGAGCTTCAGTATGCTGGCTGACACACAGAAGCCTAGAGTACTTTTCCCCCATCATATACTTCTTGGTTTTCAGGTAAGAGTTTTAGCAGTTGTGACTTTCCTGGTAAGTTGGATGTTACCAAAAAAATGAAACTGATAAAGGATTGTCTTTTGGTATTGTAGGTTGTCTTACCATCAGCGTATATTAGATATTGTTCCGCCTACCTTCTCAGCTCTGTGTCCTGCAAATCCAACCTGCATTTACAAATATGGAGATGAAAGTAGCAGTAAGTAGCAAAATAAGACAAATTCCTCCATCTTTAAAACATACCCCTGCAAGTATACTCTGAAGTCAGTTGTTCAAAGATGGGGAGTCGTGCTGGGCATGGTGGTGCATGCCTGTAATCCCAGCACTCAGGAGGCTGAGGCAGGAGGATCGTTGCAGTTCGACACCACCCTGGACTACAAAGTGAACTCAAGGCCAAACTGAACTGCATAGCAAGACCCTGTCAGAAAGACAAAAATACTACTACTACTACTAATTATTATTATTTTTTTTTTTTTAAAGGTGGGGAATTGAATTTTTATTTTCTTGGGGTTTATGTTTTGTTTGAAAGGTGATCCATCACTAGCCGCTATTTATATGCCTTGTCAATATTTTAAGGATTTTGTTGTGATCTAATTATCATTGGCTTATAATTTTTTTATTTAATGCTGTTCACAGTGTTATGTCCATGACATCATTTTAAGTATGGTGTCAAGCATAGCAGAGTGAATTTATAGTCAGAATGTACTCAGCTGAAAACGTGTATTTTTTATAGTGATGGAGATGCCTTGAGTTGATTGCCATCTGAGAACAGTTCACCTTTGATGTTGGGAACATAGATGTCCATGACCATTTCCTCTAGAAGTGAATTCTAGATAAATGCTTTATCTTTCAGTCACATCTCTTACTATTATACTGTAAATCTAAGGGACTATAACTTGATAAGCTTTGTGTTTTGTACAGTATTTACATGTAATGAAGGTTATACGTTGGTGATCACGGGCACAGAGTTACATGTAGGTTTTTTTTCCAAGTTGGACTTTCAGGTTGGACTGAGCACAGCCCCTCCAGGAGCATTCTGCGTTGTGTTGCATGGAGGTTCTTTGCATTGAGGAACTCTGACCTTCCTTACCTTGTGTCATTACCCGTTATGGGAAGCACGTCTCACCCCTAGTTCCGCTTTCTTCCTAGAGTCTGGCTTCAGCTTTACTCCTTTAAATACTGTATTTTAAAAAAAAAAACAAAACAAAACCTTTAAAGCCAGCTTTCTGTTGCTTTCTGGGTACCTCTGAGATAAGTACCTCAGTTCCTGAGTTAGAATGTAAATTCCTTGGTGACAAAAGATTCTGGTTTGTTTTTTTTTTTGGTACTGGAAATCAAACTCAGGCCCTCATGCTTGCCAGGCAGGTGCTACATCCCCAGCCAAAGATTCAGGTTTTATTTTGTGTATGTGATTTTTTGTTTTTGTTTTTCACTTATTTTTCCCTCAAGTGTTATGTAACCTTCTCCTCATGTGACCTGTTGTAGTTGACTGTATTCCAAGTGGTTAACGCCTACCCTTTGACTCAGTCTGAATTGCCTTTTTTGTTGCACCATCCAACTACCTTACATTAAAAGTAGATTTCTATTGCTGTGATACTTTTATACTAACATAAATTTTATTCAGTAAGAACCCAACAGATACTAACCCAACATAAACATGGTATCACATCACACGGGCAGTCTGTCTGATGTAGATTCAAGCGTGAGTGGGCTCAGCAAAACAGAGCAAGGGGGTAAAAATACATCATGGCAGAGGCACATGTCAGAACAAAGCTGCTCACCTCGTGGCAGCCAGGGAAAAAGAAAAGAGCCCCCACAAAAGGTCCCCTTCAAAGGCAGACCCCCATGGCCTACTTCCCTTAATTAGGCTCAAACTCCTAATAGCCCGTTGAGCTCTGAACTCTGCAGTATGCTCCTAATCGAACAGCCTCCCTGAGAGCATCAGTAATCTGGTCAAGTTTGGTCCTTATAGGGTTGTTGACAAAAATGAAATGAATTACATTGATTCTCGGGTTTTGAATTTACAAAGGCCCAGAAAGGCTGGGGGCTTATAAAGGATAGTTGTAACTATATCACTTTTCACCTCACTGCTCATCTGAGAAAGATCAATGCTCCTTGTACCCCAGATTTCAGTTAGTTTAGTGTTTAAGAATTTTTAGAAAGAATTAATATGTATGTAGGTGAACAACCATTTACCTGTTAAATGAAACTTTCATATGTGTATCTTTATAAAGTTTTTTTATTCTAAAGCGAATAAAATAGAAGAAAAAAACACAATAAAAACTGTACAGAATTTCAAAACAAGATGATAGGAAATTAATAATGGTGGTTATACTGCATGTTATCTTCAAAGTATTTGTTGAGATTACCAGATATAGATATGAGAATTTGATCAGTTAAGCATTAGCTGTTCCTTTCAATAAACCAATAGAAATTAGTAGTACAGTTATTCTTAGCTATCTTTGTGTGTGTGTGTGTGTGTGTGTGTGTGTGTGTGTGTATATATATATTTTTTTTTTTTTTTTTCCCCCTTTATACAGTTTTAATACTGATTTGGACATAAAGAGTGTTTCATTTTGGAAAGAAAGATTTTGTTTTAGTTTGGTGTTTGGTTTATTTCTGAATAACTATTCACAAGAATAGTCATTCAGTTTAATCTTTCTTCCCCTCTATTTGTGTTTAGATTCACTTCCTGGACATTCTGTGGCCCTCTGTTTAGCTGTTGCTTTTAAAAGTAAGGCAACCAATGATGAAATCTTCAGCATTTTGAAGGATGTACCAAATCCTAACCAGGATGATGATGATGGTAAGAGAACTGAATATTTCTTCAGCAGAACTGTATTTATAGGCCAAGTTAAAACATAAACATAACTCTGGCCATTTGAGTTTCTTTTAAATTACATTGGATGCTCATAAACCAGTAGTTGTTTGGCTTTTTCACCTGCCAGTTGATCTTAGAACCCAGACATTTTTCTCCTTACTTAAAAAGAGGTCCTAATGTTTCACTGAAATAGCTTTATATTAAGAATATAAACTGCATCTTACATACAAAATAAAATTTACTTTGATTATAAGTTTGCTTGAATTAATAAATGGATTAAGGAAAAGGTGGTGTAGACAAATCACAACAGGTGTCTATTGAACAGCTGGGTAACATTGGACAGGAGAAGGCACTTAGCATAAATCAAAATGATAGTATTAAATTTAGATGTTGTCACATCTTAAGACATAGGTGTTTAAGTGTTCACTGATTGTGTTTTTAATATATTACCTTTCCATCATATAGACAGAATATGAATAAGGAAATTTGTATGCTGCTTTTTAAGAAATGAATCAGACAGAAGAATTAGAGAAATAGTACTATAAAACTAAGAATTAAGATTATAGTTTAGTGTTTTGTTTTGTTTGCAGTACTATGGATCGAACCTAGGGGTAGGATAGGAAAAGCCAGGGGTACTCTACCATTGAGCTACTACATCCCCAGCCTTTTTTATTTTAGAACAAGGTCTCACTAAGTTGCCCAAGTAGGACTTGAATTTGTGGACCTCAAGGTTTGCAAGTTACAGGTGTACACCCCTGCAACTGGCTAAAATTTTACTTAGTTTTAGATTATTATTTGAAATTAGTGATTCCCTTTTATTGTTTATTAGTACTGAAAGATGTTACATGAATATCTGATTTAGCATTTGGATATGAGGTGTGTCACCAAGGAATTGCTGTACTTACTCTTTTAATATTACTGTGAAATATTTTTCAGATGAAGGATTCAGTTTTAACCCTTTGAAAATAGAGGTTTTTGTACAGACTCTGCTACACTTGGCAGCCAAATCATTTAGCCACTCCTTCAGTGCTCTTGCAAAGTAAGTACATGCTGGTGAATACCAACGATACAATAATTTTTATCTAAAATTATTGAATACAAAAATCTTAACATTATAGAGTTTGATACAGTTAATTTTGTTTGGTTTTGGTTTATTTCTAAGATCCCTGTCTTAAGGCTTCTGTCAGTCTGTGTGTACAATTTGCATATGTCCATTGAAGGGTACATTTTTTGATGTAAACATTGAGAGAAACTAGTGGAAACCTAGGTCCTCAGGATAGTTGTTTATACAGTCAAAACTTTGTAGCCTACGCATCCTTGGAGAAGAGACAGGAAAGCCATCGGTTCTTTTTGAGAGCCACCCAAAAGGTAGCATCTTCCTTGTCAGAGTTCAGAAGAAGAAACAGCATAATCCTCTCTGAAGATTTTGTGACATCTTCCATATAAACTATAATTATTAATCATATCTTTTACATCTTTAGTTAATATTTGGTTATTTTGCATTTATGTATGATACTATAAGTGGAGTAACACTGAAAAAGCTTTGAAAACATTAAAATGCCTAATGAGTATGAGTAGCTTTTTTTTTTTTTTTACATTGTCAAAAGGTTTCATGAGGTCTTCAAAACTCTAGCAGAAAGCGATGAGGGAAAGTTACACGTGCTAAGAGTCATGTTTGAAGTCTGGAGGAACCATCCACAGGTGAAAATTATTTAATTGAACATGTTGAGACTGATTATATGAGTATAAAAATAAGGCAGTTATCATCGTTTTAATTTGTGAAACATGAAATTTGTAAATTTATAAACTTTTTGGCGTGTGGGACTGTTGGATTCATTTTTCTCAAAGCAAGTGGACTATGACATCTTACACTTTAAATGTTCAGTAAAAATGTTGCTTGGCAAACTATTAGTTGTGTAGGAAATGGTTATGTAGTCTGTCCAATTTTTGCAGACAAGCTTTAGATTTCTCAATACATACCGTTTTCTTGTGGTATATTGTATTATAAAAAGTCTTTGAAATCAATTTCATAAGACAGTTTAAACTTTTTGTGATAAAACATTGTTATATGTTTAGTTTGGGGGATTCAAATGAAATTAATGTACTGCATTATCTAAATAAACTTTTGTCTCGGTATTATCTAAAAGTTTTTTAAATTATAGGTTACTACTCAGAGTTAGGTATTCATTCAATTTTCAGTGGCATTCTAGTACTTTTTACAGTGCTGCAGCAAAGCACAGAGCAGAATAAATTGTGAGACCTGATGGTCAAATTGATCAATTCCGTTGCCACTACAAATGAATTTTATATCTGTTTTACTTTTATAGCAGTAGTAGTAGTTTGGCTGCATTTTATACTATGATTTACCCTATTAATTCTTCTCTCATTGTAGATGATTGCTGTACTAGTTGATAAGATGATTCGCACACAGATTGTTGACTGTGCTGCAGTGGCAAATTGGATCTTCTCTTCAGAGCTATCTCGTGACTTTACTAGGTTTGGACCAGAATTTGGAGTTCATGTATAAGACACCACACATACACCAATTGTAGAAAACACAGACTTCGCAAAATATATTACCTACTCCCAGTTTTTTTGAGGTTGGACGGGCTTCCCAATGGCTGAGGACTAGGACGGTAGGAGTGGACAGAAAAAGAGGAAATAAAAGCAAATTATTTTCAAACAAATACAAAACTCATCATAGCCCTTTAACTTTTCCTGTTCCTCTGAAATTGATAGAAGACACTGGCCTGATGAACACCGAATCCTTAGGATAATAGTGATCAAAGGCTGTCATACCGGCCAAGTTGACATTCACAAACACAACAGACAGGCCATTCTTAAATTTGCACTCAGAAAACTGACCATCACGTATGTGTTAGTCATTATGCTGAGTGATTTATATTATTTTCATCGTATTTCATGCTCACGACACCATTGAAGAAGCTGCATTATTTTTCACAATTTAAAAATTAGGAAAATATCCCTGAGTGTTTAAGCAGCTTACTCATAGTCACACAAGTAAGTGCAGAGTCAGGATTCAAGTGTAGGTGTTCTGGAACTGATTTTGTAGACCAGTAGCTCCAACTGTTACTAACAGCTAGCTCAAGTATTTCTAGCTATACAAAGCATTGCCTGGCACCTACCAGAGTCAAAGAAAGTATTCTGAACCTTAGTCCTCTCTGGTGACATTCTAGACTTGGAATAAACCATATGTTTTATTATATAAGAAAGTTTGTTTATGCAACCCTTGAAAACACCTATAAAATGGTCCTCATTTTTTGAGCTATTTGCTGATAATATAGCTGACATACAAATATTTGTCTCATTCTTACAGCCCAGCAGTTGATAGACATTGTTAGCTAACGAACGTCTTAAATGTCCCAAGAGAATTGGCTGCACATACACTAACACAGTATAAAGTGAGTGCAGTGATGCTCAGATTAGGTCTCATTTTGAGAAGAGTTCAATACTTACTGTTTACATTTAGAGGACAGAAAATATGTTTCTCTTCCAGTGTTAGTGTTTTTCATAGTTTGCCACTTGAATTCAGTGAATGTATACACACACCTTTGTATATCTAGTTAAAGGGTAGAAGTGAAAAAAATGGCAAGGGTGCAGTATTGCCCTCAGGGAGCTTACCTGAGTTTAATGGGTGGAAGTAGGTGCTTGTACAGTATGTAATAAAAGGCAAATCGTAAGTGTTGCTGAAGAAAGATGACTAATTGTACTCAAAGGGTGGAAGGCTCTACCAGTCCTGAAGAATGGATGGGTTATAAAAGTTGAGAGATTTTATTGTCTGTAAGCATAGCCTAACATACAATAATCAAATGCCATGTTATGTTTAAGATTATTTGTTTGGGAAATCTTGCACTCTACAATTCGTAAGATGAACAAACATGTTCTGAAGATCCAGAAAGAGCTAGAAGAAGCTAAAGAGAAACTGGCAAGGCAACACAAACGGGTAAGTATTGTTACAGAAGTGGTTAAAGGAAGGTATGCCGGAAATTCTAGAGGATATCCGCAGCCTAGTAGCTTGATGGTAATTGATTTTTTTGAGGCCATGTTTTGCTGAGCTATTTGGAAAAGCAGAGGAGGAAGAAACAGGTAGTCTGTTGTGTGGTGTTACACTGCATGGTATAAGCCATGAACTTTACTTGTCCCTAGTTATCCATCTCTAGGTTGGCTTTCTGTTTGCATTTTCCAAAAAGTAGGGGTTGGGGACGGGAGTAGAAAAAAGATGTTTGTGTTTCTAAGTCTCTTATGCAAAGGAGAAAGGCAAAAGATTGTATATGGTTATCAGGGCTCCAATCCCAAGGAGAAGCGTGAGACAGTCACTCCCAAGTTTACCAAAAAAAATTTTTGTCAGTTAAGTATTAGTAGTTTAGCCATTTTGGAGGAACTGGCTATGAACTGGCTATGTTCTGTGACTTAGGATAATAGTACAGGTATTTTGCATGATAGTATTTTCTGGCATTAGGCATATTTACCAGAGCAGAAAGTTAAAAAAAAAAAAGTTTAATGGTTTATATGAGCTTACAGCAATTTTGAGTGCTTGTCTTTGTATAAATACACATATAATATATACTTACAAACCTAAAATACTATAAGGAAAATGGTGTCATCCCATTTGTTAGATACACAAATATAATTTGTAAATGATAGGGCTAGGTTCTGCCCCTACTCTCTCAGATGACAGAGGCTTTCCCTTGTGCCACAGTGTTTGGTACAAATGTGCTAATATGGTAGCCATGTGCGACTATTTGTCAGTTTAAATTACCCAAATACAATTTTAAATTCAAGTCCCTCATTACACCAGCTACATTTCAAGTGCTTATTAGCCACACGTGGCAAGTGGTTGTGGTACTGGCAGCATAGATTTCGGTAGCTTTTCCTGCAAGGCAGAAAAGGTCTTGGGCATTGTGCTCCATAAACTTGAGGTTGCGAAGACAAAAGTGTGCCCAGGAGCCTGAAACATAAGGAAACCCCTCAACATTCACTGTTAGAGAAAAAGGGAGACTTCTTTAAAGAATGGTTCTCATAGAATGGTTCTGATAATTATGCTTTGGGATGGGACAGTCCGTCATAGATGGGCCTTCACAATAGAGTCTTTCTAAAGGATTACCGGGCCATCTGGCTTCAGTAACGCCCATCTTTATGATAAACATACCTTGGTATGTAACATACCTGGAGCTAGGTACAACTAAGCTATCTAATCCCTCAGCCTTTCTTTTCTGTGGCGATGCCTTTTATCCTGCCTTTTGTTAGTTGCCTAAACCAGTGATGGCAAGCCTTTTAGATCTTTCAGTGATAACAGATATCTAGCTACATCATGCATGCCATAAGTTAGCCATTGCTGGCGTAAGTGAATGCTGTACACTTCACAGTGAGCAGGAATGGAAGTATTGAAGCTTTACAGAGATATATTGAGTCCATCATTGCCAGCAGTGTCTTGAACAGTTTGCAATTGTTACATGTTAGTCAGAGCCATTTTAATTATGATGAGGATGCTCAGCCTGGGCTCTTGAGCTGTATGAGGGCATGCCCGGCTTTTCATGTGGCACATTAGGAGTGCTTAGCAAGGTGTGCCTCCCTGTTGTTACCCCACACAAGTGGTCAGTTAGTAATACATGATAGTCAACACCCTCACCACAGTTAGAGGAGAGCCACTAAATTTCTCTGCCCTGGCAAGTACCCTTAGAACTTCTGAATGAGAAGGCCATGTTGGAGCAACTGCAGGCCCTTTGTTTTAAGGAGGCTGGAAATTTAACTGAAAGTATATAGTCTTTTTTTTTTTTTTTTAAGAATGTAACCTTTAGGTAGCATTTGGTCAGATGGTAAAATTGTTCTCCTTTCTTGATGAAACTTAATACACTGGATTTTCCCTTTTATTCGTGTGCCTCTGTAGCGAAGTGATGATGACGACCGAAGCAGTGATAGGAAGGACGGGGCCCTTGAGGAGCAAATAGAAAGACTGCAGGAGAAGGTGGAATCTGCTCAGAGTGAGCAGAAGAACCTTTTTCTCGTCATATTTCAGGTAACTGAGCTTGAGAATTAATGCATTTCTTTGGTTAAAATTATGTTATTTTTTAATCATAAATGAATGCTCATTTATAGAAGTTTAAGAATACAAAAATTTACAAAGGAGATAAAATGTCACCACTTGGAGGTCACTGTGTATACCTCTTGAGTTCTACGCTATTTAACATTTAAGGGGCTGGGGATTTAGCTCAGCAGCAAAAGCGCCTGCCTGGCAAGCGCAAGGTCCTGAGTTCGGTTCCCGGTACTGGAGAAAAAAACCAGAAAAAAAAAAAAAAAAAGGGCTGGGGATTTAGCTCAGTGGCAAAGTGCCTGCCTGGCAAGCGCAAGGTCGTGAGTTCGGTTCGTGGTACCGGAGGGGGAAAAAAAAAAAAATAATAACATTTAAAAACCTGTCTCATATTTATTCCCTATTGTTAATGATTTAGATGGTATTTTTTTCTCCTGATGAACATTTTTATGCATGGATCAGGTTAACATTCCTGATTATTTCCTTAGAACAGAAACCAAGAAATAATAGTAGGATAACCATTTAGACATTAAAATTCTTTTTTAGTTGCCCTCTCCCCCAAATGTGCAAACTCCCATTATTACCAGTCTACCTTTTTAGATTAACAGCATTCAATGACTCTTTCTGGCATATACCACAAAGGCAAGATGGAGTAAGCAGTATTTTGAGTTCATTTGAATTTGTTACTAAAATACAAGATTTTTCCTGTAACACTCAACTTGGTTCCTCTTTTCCAGCGTTTCATCATGATCCTAACAGAGCACTTGGTAAGATGTGAAACTGATGGGACCAGTGTATTAACACCATGGTACAAGAACTGTATAGAGAGGCTCCAGCAGATCTTCCTGCAGGTTTGTGAGGAACTTGGATTAAATAATAAACATCACTGTTCTCAGCCCCCAAAATTTCTCTATTAAAAGAAAAACTCTCCCCAAATTTGCTAGGATGCTAAGTAGTACCTATAGGCCCTTTTGTTCATGTCCCTTTTCTGCTACTATTGTTCATCAGAATATTGAGGCTTATACTGGTTTTATATCAGAATGCCAATTACCATTTTCTGTGCTAGGGAACCTAGCTATATATAATCTAAAATGTATAGTAACTGGATATAAAATCTTATATTCAGGTAATAAACACTGCCCACAGGTGCTTCGTAAGGTTCTCTGCCAAAGAAAAATGCCACCATCTGCTGTCAGCTTAACTTAGTAAGAGAGTGGAGTTCATTCTAAAGTTCAGTTCTTTAAGCCTTCATAAAGGAATTCTTTCTTTAGATTTGTTTCAGTTTCTGCCAATTAAAAAACTTTAACCATCGTTCAGTAGGAATCCCCAGGTGTATATTCAAGTGTACCTAGGAACAAATAAAAGCTTCTTTAATTTTCTGACCTATTTTACCTTCCTAGGTTACACTCTGTCTGGGCCACTTTTTTAAAGGTCCTAATGTGTTATGTCCTAATTTGGGGTGGCAGACCAGTCTATAATAGTAGTAATAACCACAAGCACATGCTATTGTCACTGCCTTGCATAATGAATTGCATTTACTTAGAAACTGGTAAGAGCTGCCTGCCACCTGCACACACACCCGCCCAAACCCCTTCCCTTTTTTCCATTTTGAGGCAAGGTCCCACTAAGTTGCCCAGCGCAGGCTTGAACATGTGATTGTTCTATGTCAGTCTCCCAGAGTGCTGGGATTACAGGTGTGCACCACCATGTCTGGCTAAGAACTAGATTTTTAAAAAGTCACTGACTATCCCACTTTTCTGCCATTTCCCTGTGGTGTCCGTTATGAATTATTCAGTGTGGGTGGGCTGCTGGGGGAAATGTGGTTCTTGATTGTTTGCTTGCCTTTTGCTGACCCACACACCCCTTTTCTGTGCCTGCAGCATCACCAGATAATCCAGCAGTACATGGTGACCCTGGAGAACCTTCTCTTCACTGCCGAATTAGACCCACATATTTTGGCTGTATTCCAGCAGTTCTGTGCTCTGCAGGCTTAAGGGTCATTTTTATTTTCTTCATGTCTGGATTTTTTAAAAAAAAATCCTAAAGTAATTTGTCTTATTTTTTGATGGTTTCACTGCTTGCTTTCTTGTAATAGCATTTATTTCTTAAAGGAAATGGAGAGGACAGTGAAGAATATAACATTACCTTTAATTTCCTCTAAAAAGCAAATATTTCTTCATGACAATGTGACGATGACCATGATGTATTATATATGTGACAGATACAACTTTTCTGTGATTACTTTGGTATTTTTTCTCTTTAAGGCACAAAACAATAGATTTGAGCTAGTAAAACTATAGGTCAAGCTTATAAAGTAGTAAATAGAACTAATGAGCTTACTACCAGGTAGCATAGCTTTTCACAGCTCCTGGATAACCTAACATGACTGAAATAAAACTAAAACTATGTTTTTTTAACCTTTGGTATTTTATGATTTATCATCTTTTAAAATCGGTGGTTTCTTACTGAAGACATACTTCCATTTGAAATTTTCACTTCTAAATATTTTTCTTTAGGATCTTAAGACTACTTCCTAGTACAGTGGTGCCTCAATTCACAAACGTAATTCTTTCCACAATTCTGGTTGCACACTGTATTGGACAAGAACCACATCAAATTCAGTAGATAGGTTCTAGTTTATAGGAAAATTTGACCTGGTTCATGACCAGTTCTGTTTGTGACTAGAATTGAGAGAATGAAGTTCATAAACCAGGGTACCACTATATTGCGTTACTGTTCGGTGATTGCCAGATTTATCTAAACCTAAATTGCCTGGGAATCTTCAGTCATTTTAAAACTTAAACTACAATCTCTGGAGGTAGCACATAGACCTCATCAGTTGTTAAAGCTCCGCAGGTGAGTCCCTGCTTGGGAAACCATTATCTTAGACTGAGAGCCTCTGGGTATTTTCCATGGCTTCTGAGAAAGATTTGTCCAAGAGTAAGCTGCGTGCTGAAGTGGACCTAGAAGTAGATAAGTTGCCTAAAACTATACTTGGAATGAAAGGTGAGTTTGGGTTTTGTCCCCAGATCCTGGTTCAAACAACTAATTCCTGACTTTTTCCCAGGATAATATTGAGGCATAAGTGAGAGCCTTTTGTAAAAAAATAATAAGGAATTATTTAATGTTCCAAATTTTTAGGATTTTTTAGACTTTTTTCACTAAACCTTAGAAAATTTTACTAATAATCCTATAATTACTGGTGGTGTTTCTGTGCACTTGCAGAACATAGTATCTTTTTTTCCACTTACTACATCCTAAGTTTATGATGCATTGAACTTTTTCCGTGTTTTGCTGTATGGTCTCTGGTTTTCCATACGTTTTAGTGGCTACAGAACATTGTCCACTCAATAGGTGCAAATTTCAAAGACTTCTAAATACTGTACAAGGCAGGAAATACTTATTCAATAGATCAAGGCTGCATGGCACCCATGTTTTTGGCTGAATAGTCTTATTTATACTGCTCCTTCTTTCTGTTGCTTAAACATAGCGCACTGTGTGACTGGTTGGAATTGGCTTCTGTACCTAGGAAACCAAAGGATAACACTTAAGACACTGGTACCTTTTTTTTCTTCTTCCCCACACCCCAGTTGCCCTTTACTTTTGAGCATTTTCCTTTCATTTCACAATGTCTGTCGATACCTTTGATTCTCAGAACTGCTTTGTAATACTTTTACAATACATAGCAAAGTTTGCCTGCTTACACTTCATCCACATTCTAGAGAAATGCGTAGGTTTTATTTCTTTTCTCTTGATCCTTTCCATGTATAATTGTTGCTTCTTAAAAACTGTTCATTGATGCGACTCTGTGTGGCAGTGAGGTACATGGAAGAATAAGCTAGGGATTTGAAGGAATGAAGGCCCAAGGGCAGACATTCAGTAGTTGCTCTCCCCGTTAATAAAGTTACACAGACAAAAGGAAGGCATGTCACTGTACATCATACCTTGCAATAAATCAACTTTGTTAAATCACACTGTTGCCATTCAACATGCTTTTGTCAAAGTGAACGTACACTATTTTTATATAAAGAACTCAAAAAAATCAAAGCCCCCCAAATTTGAAGACCCAATTCAAAAATAGGTACCTGAAATAGACACCTAACCTATAATTATACCTGAAAATGAAAGCTGAGGAGAGGCCTTGATAACCTCAACAGAGCAGATGGGGCTGTCAGGGATATCTGGATACTGCGATTATCTTAACTGATGAAGGTAAAGAGTAAGCAGAGGCAGACCTCAACTAGGCAGAGCTTTATGTTGTCAGTAGCGCTTGCTACTGAGTAATACTAACACACCATTTGCTAGATTTGCCGTCTTAAATCCTTAGAACATTTCTCTGAGACAGTTATGCCCACTTCAAAGATAAAGACAGGCCCCTAGAGAAAATGCAAAAGGCTCACAGCCAAGAAGTAGAATCTGAACTAAGATCCATCTTGTTCAGGGGCCCCTTATCCCTATGATGGAGTAGTATGCTCTTAACCCCCAAACCCTGAGTTATTTTTATTGGGCTTTTTTTTTTTTTTTCTACATTCACTATTTTCTTCCACTTGGAACTATAAGATGAGCCTTTCTATATAAACTTCACCAGGATGATTTAGTCCTCCCTCCTTTCCTGTGTGTAACACTGGGGATTGAACCCAGGGAGTGCTGATACCTACCTCCTGCCCTTTTAAAAAATTTTTCTAAATATTTTGAGACAGTCTCACTAAGTTGCCCAGGCTGGCCTTGAATTGGCAATCCTCTTGCCTCAACCTCTGGAGTGGCTGGGATTACAAGCATGTGTCACTACTCCTGGCTTCTTTTTCAACTTTTAATTTGAAATAATTTTACAGTTAAAAGTGGCAAACACTGAGAGTTGGCATATACATTCATCTAGCTTCCCCTAATTCTAACATGATGTAATCATAGTTGAAGCCAGATAATTAACATGGATGTGTGTCCAGCCCTTATATCGATGTTGCCAGTTACCCCACTGTCTCTGTCCTAGTCCAGGGTTGAGTTCAAGGCCCAACTTTGCATTCACTTATCACATCCCCTTAGTCTGGTCCCACCTGACAATTCCTTGGCCTTTCCTTTCACTTTGACCCAAGATAATTTTGAATAGTGCTGGGCAGTGAGCCTCATTTGGATTTGTCTCTGGCTTTCTTTTTTTTTTTTTTTTTTGTCTCTGGCTTTCTGATTAAACATTCAGAGGTTTATTTGTGTTTTTTCTGTTTTTTAAAGTTTAATTTTATTGGTATACTTTATATACATAATGGTAACATCTATCATAGGGAGTTTGTACCTGTACATACCTTGAAATTTTACTTTTCCCCATCCCCTCCTCTCCCTTCAATCCTTCCTCCCCTCTTTATAAAAGCTGTTTCCACTTTTCCTATTTTTTCTCTTCTTCCTTTCCTTCCTTTCTCCTTCCCCCCTCCTCTATTCCCTTTCTCAGTACTTACTCATTTTGGTCCTTATTTACCCTTTTGGCTTCTCATATAAGAGAATGTAATATTTAAATGTGTGTCAAATGTATCTCACTTAAAAATATGGTCTTAAGGTGCATCCATTTACTTAAAAATGTCTCGTTTACATTTTCTTTATTCAGCTCTTGGGCATCTGGGCTGTTTCCAGTATTCAACTATTGGAAATTGTGCTCCTATAAACATTGGTGTGCATGTATCACTGTGGTATGATGCCTTTAACTCTTTTGAGAAGATAGCAAGAATAGCTGAGTCACATGGGACCTCTTGTTTGTTTTTTGAGGAATCTCCATTCTGATTTCCATATTGGTTATACCAATCTACACTCCCTTCAAAAGTGGAGAAGGGTTCCTTTTTCCCTACAGCTTTGCCAGCATTTGTTGTTGGTAGATTTCTTGATGATAGCCATTCTTTCTAGAGCAAGATGGAATCTTGGTGTTCTTTTAATTTGCACTTTTGGAATGACCACTGATGAACATTTTTTCATATATTTATTTATTGTTTGTACTTCATCTGAGAAGTGTCTATTTCAGGTACCTATTTTTGAATTGGGTCTTCAAATTTGGGGGGCTTTGATTTTTTTGAGTTCTTTATATATTCTAGATAGTAGTCCTTTGTCTGAACAATAGCTGGTAAAAAACTTTTCCCACTCTATGGGTTGTCTCTTCACTCTGTTGGTGGTTTCTTTTGCCATGCAAAAGCTTAATATGAGATACCAGTGGTTGATTCTTTGTAATATTTCCTGTGCAGTTGGGGTTTTATTCATGAAGTCTTTGCCTACACCTATGTCTGCAAAAGTTTTACGTATTCTATTTCCCAGCAGATAAAGTGTTTGTGTTTTAATATTTAGATCTTTGATGCATGTCAGTTTTACTGTAGTGTATGGTGAGAGATACACGAAACTCCAAGCTATTTTGTTTTTTGTTATCAGGAGGCTAGAAACTGGCTGCCCATTTAGTCAGTTTTTACTGAGCTATGTTAGCATAGAACATATTTAAAAAATCAATACTTGAATACAGTGAAAATTTCTGCTGGGTATTTATATAGGTAACAATTAGTCTCAAGTGCCTAATAACCTGGGTTTGACTTGTTTTGATTTTGGCCTTTCTTCAAGTGTAATCTGGTTTAGAGAGAAGACTGAAAATGCCTATCCTTTGTATACTATTTGTAGTAGTAAGAAAAAAAAGTCCTGTCAAGCTGTAAGTTGAAAATACCTGGGCCAGGGATGTAGCTCAGTGGCACAGCACCTGCCTGGCAAGTACAGGGTCCTGAGTTCAACTCTTGGTACCAAAAGGAAAAAAAAAAAAAAACAGTTTACCCCAACCTGATCTTCTACTAAAATAATGCTAGAAAGTCCAGGAGTCAAATTAATTGGTAATCCTTTTGAGAAAAGTCAAGGAAAATCTGACAAACTAAACATGATTCCAGTGCCTGGGATAAAGTAGTTTAGGGTGTCACTTCCTTCCCTAAATGAACATGAAAGCAAGTTTTCTCCCCTCCCAGGGTTAAATGAGAATACCCGAAAGACAGAAGTAGGATAGAAGTAGGATAAACTCAATAGAAGGGTAAACTCCTTAGAGGTAGGATAAACTCAATAGGTTGATCAACAGCTACTCAAACTTGAAAAATGCTGTTTTCCATTTTGATCCAGAATTTGGAAGAATTATCCAGCCATTAACATGAAGGTCTATGGTAGTAGGCCCCTCCAGGTACAGAAAACATCAAATTCCTACAGTTCACTGTTTATTCTTATATGTCAGGGCATTTTCCAGCAATAGCTCCTCACTGCCTCCTGTCTTGATGATCAAAGTAGTCCCTAAAAATCTTACCAGACTGATATAGTGATGTATCACCATCCCTGTTTGTTTCTTTGATTGAGTCTAGTTCAGTCAGCTTTGACCTTTATTGAAAGTTCTTCCTCCTGCCCCAGTCTGGGATTTATTTTGGTCTCTTACTCCTTAATTTGTAGCTCCGCTACTTTTGAATCTACCTTCCATTCAGCTCCCAGAGACCTGACATTCTGCCTAACCAGGCCAGCTGGACTGCAACAGAAATTTGCTCTTGAGCCATATCCACAGTTACTACTGAAGCATTACTTACATTGTGGTAGTTTTGAACAGGGCCAATCTAAATTTCCTTTATTTAAATATAAAAATTTGTTTCAAAATTGATTGAACTAAAAATCACATTTTTTCATATGTCAACTCATGGCCGCACACAGTACAAGTCTTGCGGTACATGTCATCTTCTAAATTTTCCTCTGGCCCATACTCATGTTGATGAGCAATTGTTTCTCTTTTCCACACACTGCTTCTCACCGCTCGTCGCAATTCTAAGGAGAAAAGAAAATATTTTCAGTGGAATCTAAAAATAAGTCCCCTCAGGCTTTCAGTTATATTTATGTGCATTTAAACAATACATGGCTTAATTTCATAATCAAAGCTGATCACACAAACTAGACAAGCTTTCTTTTCGACGTCACCTGCTCAGCCTCTGAAATAGTCGTTGGAGAGATTCAGAGATGGGTATGTGGATCAGAAGTATCACACAAGAGAAAACGGTGCCACAGAGGAGAAGGGGAATCGGCTGAGACAAGAACGAAGGGAGTATCTTTAAGTTCCATACTTCCAAGTCCAGAGCCACTTACGTTAAGAGGCAAGTCAAAGTTTGCTAATAAGCAAACTAGAAAGCCAAAAACTCTACCGCCATATGTGGATGTATTTTCATCTGAAAAATTGCTTATGCAATTGACCTTTAAATCTATTAAGTTCTTTATTTTATAAAATGAGACCATTATTTTAGGAGAGGAGTTGTCAATAATTATTACAAAGTCAAACCCAAGAATAAAAATCAGAATATTAAGAACAGGAAAGAAATGCAGAGATTTAATGTCATTGTTTTGCAGGCAGGGAAACCAAGCAAAGACAGTATGTGAACCCAGGTTATCTCATTCTAATGTTTGGAGCTTTGTGTGCTACATCATTTTGAAATCATTCTACAAAAATATTTGTTAGATGCTTTAAAAAGCAGCTTAAGGCAGTGACATTTTAAAAGGGTATAGTGTATATTAGCTGAGGAAATTGAACACTTAGTTCTCACTGGAAGTAAGTTGGTATTTCTCAGTTTCTAATGAAAAAACAACATTAACTTTGTACATTTCTATCCTCATTAGTAATACATCAAATTGACTGTTTTTGACAGTGGCAGTACCTAAGAGTGTTTTGATAGCTTTCACAATCTAAACCATAAAAGTCAGCATACACCAAGTAATCACATATTTTCCTCAATCCATTATAGGTTTACCACAGGGTCAAAATACTACTTGGAGCTGGGCATGCTGCTACACATTTGCAGTCCTAGCACTCTGGGAAGCTAAGGCAGGAGGATTATAAATTCAAGCCCAGACTTGGTGACTTAGCAAGAACTTTTCTGAAAATCAAAAATACAGAGGGGCTGGGAATGAAGGCCCTGAGTTTAATCCTCAGTACCACCAACACAACAAAACACCAAAACACTACTTGGATCTTTGTATTTTCTGGCTGAATATATCATGAGGATAAAAGCAAACGGGTATGTACCAGGCATATTTCTAAGCACTTTAAATGTATTTAATTCCCATCCTTGAGATGGAGTACAACTATTACCCTGGTTTAACAGATGAGAAAACCAATGTAAAGAAGCTGTAAACTGTCCAAAGTCACTAGCTTGTTGGCAGAGGCAGTAGAGTCTGGGTCCACATTCTTTACTAAGATGTACTGCCTTTTGCATCCCCAGAGTGTAAAAAGCACTTTCAGATTATTGTCAAGCTTCAGTGTGTAGAGTTTTAGTTTCCACCTGGGGAAAAATCAGGTTCCTCCAGATTCTCACATGTATTTAGAATCTAATCTTTGGTCCTCCAAACTTTATGATTTTTTACTCTCTCATGAAGAATCCTAGTTTTTCTGGATGCAGTTTAAATACCCTTTTCCTTTCATTTTATTTTTCCTTAAGATATTTTATAATAACTGATGCTGACCATAACTGCAGAGATGCCTCCTGGTTTGACATAATGTAGGAAGACATTTCCTGTTTGAGTTCTAGTAGCTGCTTTTCTACTTTGTTCTGATGTAAGGCATCCTGGTAACTTCCATCATAATACGCCCACTGAGAAAGCCCCTCAAAGCTTAATTGCAGCCTAATCATACTAGCATCTCTGTCAAATTGATTATGTGTACTTAGGTGGAAAGGTAAGAAAGAAAAATTAGCTTAACACTAAAATACAGCAAAAATGTAGCTTTCTAGCCATAAGAACCTAAGGTTTTACACTGACTTTTTTCTTCCCACTTACAGTTAGTCTGCCAAGCTACATACAATAAGTAGAAAGCCATACTGTATTACTAGACATTCCTGTGAAAACTTGTGCTACAAAGGAAGAAAGTACAAGTTGAGTATCCATTTTCTGAAATGTTTAGGATCAAATATGGCAGGTTTTCTGGAATATTTGCATATGCATAATGACATAGGCATCCATACAGGATGCAGGGAGTCCCAACAGTAAGAAGGGATCCCTTCAGGAAAGACAGCAACAGTGATGGGAAATTCATCATACACAGAGCCTTTGATCAAGTTACTTCATTAAGGATAATGGCAGCCGGGTTTCTCATATCAGAGAAGGGAGTTATAGATAAAAATAGAATGAATCCTGAAATTGTGGACTGGAACTTGATATACTAGTGTGAACTCAGGTTTTTAATTTGTACTGTACATTGTATATACACACAAACACGCAGACACAAATACAGTATTTCATGTCAGGAAGCAGAAGGCAGTGCTCAAAAAATACTATCAAAGGACACAAGGGCTAGTTTAAAGAGATTTCCATAGGGCCAAATATGAGATAATTTGAGCACCAAAATAAAAATAGAAACTAACCAAATGCCATTGCAAGAATAAGAAAGTAATGACTCTACACCAATAATAGGTGGGGGAAAAGATACTGTAAAAACACCAATATCCAACTAGGTAAATATGAGGGGAGTATTAGGGTTAGAAAAACAATCCTGTAACCATCATACTAAAGAATGATCCACGTAGAACCATCAGTAGAAGGATTCTAGTCTAGCAGAACAGGATGTTCACATTTTTGCGTGTCAGATTAAAAAATCAAAATCACTACCACTGAGAGTAAGACACTGTGCTTCCAGATGTGAGGGACTAATACATATGATTATCCCTGTCCTCAAATGGATTCAACCAGCCAGGATTCAACCAGCAAGAAATGGCAAAAAAGCCCCAAGTGAGAAATGCTATTTCTAAAGAGGGTAGGGGAAGAAAAGAGATTTCTTCAAAAATGTCAATGTCAAAAAAATACTAGGACTAGGAAAATCCAGAACAGAGTTTACAGAGACTTGGTACCTAAAGCCAATATCTGATCCTAGACTGGCTCCTTTTCTCAAAGGAAAGCACTACAATGGACATTACTGGGTCAGCAAACAAAACTAAAATATGGATGGCTGATTAGATAAAAATACTAAGTTTTAAATTTGCTAGCTAATGTAACTGGTTATGTTAAGAGCTACCCATACCGGGAAATACACACTGTAGTACTTGTGAGGGTGGTGATATATACAATTTACTCTGGAATGGTTTAGAAAAGGGGTAAAGGACAGTGACACAATTTACTTGTGAGTGGTTTAGAAAAAAAATAGGTGTACAGAGTGCATACAAAAATGGTGCAGATGGCACAAACTACTAATCACAGATCAGTCGGGGTAAGGGATGTAGAAGTGGTCCTGTGTTCTTAGTGTCCTAGCAATTTCCTGTAATTTGAAGTTTTTCCAAATAAAAAAGTTTTAAGAAAAGGAAACTAACTTGATGGAGATTCCATTGACTGAACTTTGGACAGTTTGAGTATTAAGTAATAACAGGAATGAACTGCAATACTTGTTCTATTAGTTCAAGTGATTATTTAAAAAAAAAAAATTAAAAAGGCCAGAGGAAAAGTTCTCTGTGAAAGAAACCAAATAATAATTGTACAAGAGTGACAGGAACAACAGCGGCTGCCTGGCAAGCACGAGGTCATGAGTTTAATTCCCGGTACCAAAAAAAGAGAAAAGAAACAGAAAAATCACCATTTATATCCACCCTACTAAACTGACTCAGGTAAGACTCATCCCCTTATATTAAAAACCTTGAATAAACCATAAGAGATGAAGTATTACATGTCAAGTTTTTTTATTTAATTAGGAAAAAGGATATCCTTACAATGGAGAAACCTAGCAGACACCACAATAACCACACCATCCAACTGTCCATCACCCCGTGAAGAACTGACAGCAGGCCTCCTGATGTGGCGCACTAGGACTACCACTTAGGAAGCACTCCCCCCAAGAACATTCCACTGTGAGCAAAGGCTGTCACAAATCCATGTGCAGGCACTGGTGCACAACAGCTGGCCTGGGCCAGCGCCTGTGTACGAAGGGTTACAAAGGCTGAGGGAGTAGGTTAAAAGAGACAGTTGCTGTTCTTTGTCCTTGAATGGCCCCTGGATCCAACAGCTAAAAAGCTATAAAGGACACTGACACAACTGGGGAATGTTAAATACAGATTATATATTAGGTAACTGCTTTATAGTAATGTTAAATTCCTGAGTGTGACACTGTAGTTATAAAAAAGAATGCCATTATTTAGGAGAAACCTGCTGAAGAATTTAAAGAATTACAATGTCTGCAAATAACTCAAATAGCAAAAGTTTAAGACAGTAAACATAGCAAAATGTCAACACCTGATAAACATTTAAAAAATAAACTGTGTTTTTTGCACTCAACAATTTAGGAAAGGAGAAATCAACTCTGTTGCTGAGACTAAGATGGGTACAAAGGTGAGCTGGCACAAGGGTGGGAAAAGGTCTGAGGCAGCCTTGGGAGCTAAGGGCCTGGGAAGGTGCACATCCAGGGAGACTGGAGATCAAAACAGTGGCTCACTAGGGCATAGCCTCGTGGTTCCCTTAGCCCAAGATGTCACAACACAGAAAGCCAGTACCTAGAGAGTACCCCTACTGCAAGTGTACGAAAGCATTCATGATCCAGTCAGCACTGATATCCTCAGCAACTGCTTATAGCTTTTTTTTTTTATTTTTGAGACAGGGTCTCGCTATGCAGTTCAGGCTGGCCTTGAGCTCACTTTGTAGCCCAGGCTGGTCTCGAACTTGCAACGATCCTCCTTCCTCAGCCTCCCTAGTGCTGGAATTATAGGCATGCACCACCACGCCCCGCCTGTTTATACTTTTACTCAAAGAGATTTCCCCCTAAATCCTTAATATTTTCAGAGAAAAAATATATATACCACCCTGAAATTTGACTTTAATATCAATTTTGCAAAAGAGGCCATATGCAAAGAAACCAAATGTCTATGATATAAACTTATTTATATAAGAATTAACTGAGGGAAACAAGATACTTCTAAACACTGGATGGGAGTGCAAGAAGTACTGACTTGAGGGTGCCCCTTATTACCTGGAAGGAGACAAGTATAAGAAAAGACATAATACACAAAGCTTGGATCTTCCTTTGTCCTCCATGAACTAAAGCATGGTAACAGGAAATAGTGTTCCTCAAACTCCTGAGAAGCCCCAAAACAAATACAACCACAGCCCCAGGATGTACAACATCCACAAACTTAGAAGGAACCTCAAAATGGGATTTTCTCACCCATCTCCTGTGAAGGAGGTGGATAATGACATTGAAAATTAGTTCACCTTCCTTCTTTCAGAAGGGTGACCTCTATCATTACTAAGAGTAAGCTTAATTTAACTTGGAAGAAAAGTGTCATCTCTACCTCATTTGTGGAAAGGAGTTATGCAAACAAAACGTATGCATCTGCACCAAAACAAAGTTCCCATCAAATATGGAGGCCAAGGCATACTGCTTTTTTTTTTTTTTAACTAAGTTAAACTGAGCAGTAGGGATCCTACCATTTCTGTGTCTGCCTTGGATACAAGACACAAATCTGTCCATTTATATATACCTTATACTATTCTATACTATTTAAATTGTTTTATATAGTAAGCTCAAGTCTTGAACTGCTAAAGTAGATCATATTCTAAAAGCAGATAAATGTAATCTCTTACCTTCCCATAAAGAAGTAAACTTTGTCAGCTTCTTTGTGGATCAAAAGCAGAAGACCAAGAGGAACCAGGTTCCAATTTCTTTTCACTAAAAAACCTTTAGACTTGCTTCTATTCCTCTCTGTTCTGAGCCTTCTGAGCAAACTGCACAGTCAGCTCGTCTCTAATCTCTAGTGTCTACTCCACTCTCAGCCCTCTGTGGCCTAGTCAGGAGGACAGGAGCATCCACCAACCTCTAAAGTGAATCAACAAGAAGAAGCCATAATTAAAGAAGGCATCACATTGACCTCTCCACACTGCACACCAGAAGACAATGGAGTCACACTCATAAACCCAGAGAGATGGAATCCAGTCATATTCAAAAAAGAAAGAAAGCCCAAAAAACCAGAAAACCATTTGTTTTTGTAGAGACTTGGAAAATAAACTACTCATGTAACCACTTTGGTAAGTTTCCCCAAAACGCATGCTTCATTTAAATAGAAATGAACTAAAATTCAGAAATAAATCCTAAGAGGTCTAACTTCACAAAAAACTTCAGGATGAAATCTGAACTCAAGGATAATGAAAATCTGTAATAGTTCATGTAGTGATTAACAGCAGCTATTTAATATAATGGGGGAAGCCCGTTATATTCAAGTTTTATTTCTTTAAAAATTCCCACGATAACTGTATAAATCTTTTTTATTTGTTTTTTTTGTTTTGTTTTGCTTTGTTTTTTGTTTTTCTTCCGGTACCAGGAATTGAACTCATGACCTTGCGCTTGCCAGGCAGGCGCTGTGCTGCTGAGCTAAATCCCCAGCCCCTATAAATCTTTTGTAAAAGGTCTATTCACACCAGCATTTAATATATATTGAATCTCTATAGAAAAAAAACTTGAGATAGAATGGATTCCATAATCTTTTTTTTGTTAGACAAACCATAAGAACTGAGTTACCATTCGATGACATTTTGATTATAACACAGAATTAGTGTAACAAAAAATTACACACACCCCTTTTTTTAAAAGATTTCATTACTTTGTACATGTTTCTAATTAATACTTATGCTCTTATCCATATGTTATTATCTACATGAAAATACCATCTGAAGAGCAGTTTAAGGAGGCAGAACAGTGGGAAGAGCTGAGATAGTTTTGGTAGCTGGGTTAACGGAAAACCCGGCCTAACCTCCATGTCCTCCTCCTTCACAACCCTTACTTTGCCTTTTTGGTTTTTCTCCGGTACCGGGAACCGAACTCACGACCTTGCGCTTGCCAGGCAGGCGCTTTTGCCACTGAGCTAAATCCCCAGCCCACAACCCTTACTTTGCCTTTTTATTACTTTATTTCCCCTTTATCAGCAGCAACCCTTGCTGCTGGAAGAGAAGAAAGGCTGGCTATAGAGCCCTACAAAGATTAAAGAAAAGGCCTATTTTCAAGAAATCTTTCCAAATCCATTTGGTTTCTGGTGGGTTTCTATGAATACTGTAACACAACAATGGCTAATTTGGGGAAAATTTTTAAGTGAAATGCTCTTTTTATGTCATAGTTTGGCCCCAGGAAACCTCTGCACAAAGCCATAAAAGTGTACTTACTTTCTGATTCAGAAATTGATAAGTAACCTTGATTTACATAATGATAAATAGAAAGATGTTTTACATATCATCTGTCTTGTTAAACTTCATAAATGGCCAACAATGCTGTCATTTTTACAAAAAAGATGATAGCATTTCAAAGTATGACAAAACAAGTGTAACTATGAAAAATGACTATACAACTTCCTATAAATATCTTGTTTCCTGATCAAATTTGTTTAGTAAATAGTATTTTTAATGGTCCCCACTGATATCAATTTCAGTGGGATATCAAAGCTTTTTCTGTTTCATGTCTTATGAAGATTTTGGAAGGAGAGAAAAAAAATTTTTGGCCAGGCATGGTGGCGCATGCCTGTAATCCCAGCACAGGAGGCTGAGAGGCAGAAGGATCACAAGTTCAAGGCCAGCCTGAACTATATAGTGAAACCCTGTCTCAAAAACAAAAACAGAAACAAAAACATTTATGACTCTTTGGGCTTCTCTTTTAGAGGAAGACGTTGCACTCCTGCATTCATCATTACTATAGTACCCATCATGGTCCAGTATGATCTGAGTTTCTCTCTTGACAAATGGTGACTCCAGCATTTATTATTTTTTTTTATTTTTTTATTTTTTGGTTTTTCTCCGGTACTGGGAACTGAACTCACGACCTTGCGCATGCCAGCCAGGCGCTTTTGCCGCTGAGCTAAATCCCCAGCCCCTCACTCCAGCATTTATGTTAGCACTGTGCCTGGCACGGGTCAACAATAGATGCACAGATGGATGGGAAGGGAGATGGTCACGGATGAATACATGGCCAAATGAATGCAGAGATAAACAAGGGAATGGAGAGCTGCGTGCAGGGACAGATGTATGGACAAAGGAATGGCTGCACAAATGATGGTCAAGAAAGCCTGGTTCCAGTCCCAACTCACGTAACAAGCCACCCCACCTTTCTAGGTCTTTCAGTCATGTATAAAATAAAAGTGATGAGACTAGCTGACATCAGAAAGTTCCCTCAAGCTGCTAAATTAGATAGACTAAGGATGCAGTGTTTTTGTTGTTATTGTAGTTTGTTTTTCTTTTTCTTTTTGGTCTTTTTGAGACAGGGTCTCATTATGCAGTTCAGGCTGGCCTTAGCTCACTTTGTAGCCTAGGCTGGTCTTGAACTCACAAGGATCCTCCTGCCTTGGCCTCCCAAGTGCTGGGATTACAGGCGTGAGCCACCGCGCCCAGCCTGTTTTTCATTTTAATCAACTAGAAAGTTTTGCAGGTAGCTGTTTAAAAAAAAACCACTATTGATCCTATTTAAGATCTAACTGATAGCAAATCCTTGACTAAGGAACTATTATTGACCTTAACCTAACACTATTCTGATATGTAAATATGGCTTACATGCTCTTTTTTTTTTTGAGACAGTTTCACCATGTAGTTCAGGCTGGTCTTAAACTCACTCTGTGATTCAGGGTGGCCTCAAACTCGCAGTGATTCTCCTGCCTTGGCCTCCCAAGTGCTGGGATTATAGAAGTGTGAAACTGTGCCCAGCTTACATGCTCTTTAGAAATGCACTGTTATGAGACTTGGGCTGAGAGCCTCAAACCCCAACCTACTGAAGGCAAATTTAAGTCATTTAATTTCCAACCTATGAAAAAAACCACCTTTCAACCAACTGGTGATATGATATCTTTAATGAGAAAGAATCTAGCTAACAGCTTTTTGCTAAGTGGTAAAACACAATCCTTCACGACATAAAATGTAGCCACTTACCTTTTACTTTTTTATCAAACTTCTTCTGTTTCATTTTTTCTCGGTTTTCTTGCCTCACTTCCTTTGCTTCTTCTAGTGCTTCCTGACTACCCCAAACTTCAAGAGACCGCTTCACAATCTACAACACAGTCCACGTTTAAGTTACAGTGATTCAGAGTGGCAAAATATCATTATCAAACCCATAGAATGATTTAATTCAAGTATAAATGTGTACTAATTTGAAATTTGAAATTTAAAAGGTTGAAAATATTAGTAAGAAATGACTAATAACACATCTATCTCAACCTAGCAACCCCCAGTAACGTTGCTGGATTACAGTATATAGTATACATAGAAAAGTTGTCCTCTGGTCATACTGCTGTCACAGTACAGAAGGATCCATAGAAGAAAACAGGGTCACTAAGCTTGATAAATTCCCAGGCTCACCAACAAGTCTGTTGACAGATTAGCCACATCAAACCTAAATACAAGGCCATCTCTGAAAATCAACTAAGGAAACCACCAGTTACCACTTCTTATTTGCTCATGGATCAACAACTGTTTCCATCCACCTGACTAACTTCTGTTCTACAGAATATGAACTTCTTTAAAATCAACTTTGGTACCTAAGTGACCTAAAAAGTCTTCATTCTAGTTTCAAAACTTTGCATTACATACCTTTACTTTTCCTAAGAAAATAGTTACACAATAAGAAAACTTCTCATGATATGTTAAGGGGACCAAAATTTCAATCCAAATAGCCAAACTCAAGTTTCTTAACATAAAGCGATATACCTGTATTTCACAAATTCTAAGACACAGCACTTTCCACAATTCAGTATCCCTGGAAATGTTGCATTACTGATGTGTTTAAGGCTACTTTCACAATAGTGAACCAAAACATGGTTTAGAAGAATTGGATTGAATGTAAAAGTTCAAGAATAGCTTAGTAACTCTTTTTGTCGTGCATTTTCCTTGTTATGCATGTATGAACATGATACAGTATATGACAAAACTATACTGAAATCTACTGGTACTGTTTTAATAAATGTAAAAACCACTAAGTGATAAGAAAACTTGGGTTGGTTTATGAGCAATTAATTCTGTAGTCCTTTTTAATGGTACAGAAAATAAATGGTGGGAAAAAAACAAAAGAAAATAAATGGTGAATCTTTTCTTCCCCCTTCAATCCTGAGGATTGAACCCAGAAAACACTGAGCTACATCCTCAGCCCGCTGATTTTTTATTTTGGGACAGGGTCTTGCTACGTTTCCCAGACTGGTCTCAAAAGTGCAATCCTTGTGCCTCAATCTTACAAGTACCTGGAATCACAGTCACCATGCCTGGCAAAAGGTGAATCTTCTAATTGGCAGTTTGATATTTATGGAATTTAGTACATAAATATTTTATTTTACAATGTAGTTTAATTATTTTGCTTTGTTTTACAATGTAGTTTAATTATTAAAAGATGGGGGATTTTTAAGCATATTCAAATTGCAACTGTGTTCTAAAGAATAGTTCCCAATATTTGGATGTACTGGCACAAAAATGAAAACTGCAATATTCAAACTGCTCTGGAGTAGATACAGGAAGCTGACTGGCTCTAGGCAATATGCCTGGGCACTAGCAGTCCCAGCCACTAAGTGGTAACTGTCATGACACACCTGTCACTCATTTGTGGCAAGAGCAGTTGTGAAGCTCTGCTCTGAGATATACTGGAGTTACACAGAGGCTTAATGGCTTTCCAGACAGTATTTCCCAAATAGACAGATTTTAGGCATTTGTGAAATTTCTGAAATTTAAATATTTTTAAAGATTTCTTTCGCTTTGTGTTTTTTGGGGGTGCGTTTTTTGTTGGTTGGTTGACTGGAAGAGGACAGGGAGAAAGTGAAATAACATCTGACTCCTAAATTTTTTTAGTTTCAGAATTATATTACTCGTATCACTGACCAGCGACATATTTATCTCAAAGTGCTACAGCAAAAAGCAAAAGGAGAAAACACTGTGTTATGAAATGTCACTTCATATGACTAAGATGCATGTGCAAACAAAAGGAAAAGAATCCTTTCTACTCTCTGTAAGCAAATACAGAACTAATTATAACCAATTTATGATTAAAAATTCACCTAAGCTGTCTAAAATTCATGAATACAACTTATTAGAGACCTGTAGTTTTAAGTAGAGTTTCATATCTCCCCACTGTGAATGATGAGGATTCTTCTTCACAATAAACTTAAGAGCTGGTTCTCTTTTTTCTAGATCACAATCTTTTAGAAGGTATTCTTGCTTTGCTTCTGTTTTGGTAATAAGCTTATGTTTCTCATCAGGATCTCTGAAAAGAGGGTAAGTCCATTACATTAGGTATTTTAAACAAACTAAGCTTTCAAACAGTCCAGCAACCATAGGGCATAAAACTTTCAGAGAGACACAAAACACATTTTCCTGCCTGCAACTCTCAGGTTCAAATTAGTAGCATAAAAATTCTAAAGAAAAGTACTTTATCTTTTACTTACTCTAAGAAGTTAAATTACTAACAGACCCACGGCATTAACATTTTAAGAATTTCTTGTTAAGTCTCTCTTATTTCAGAAGGAATTTGAAATGATTTGGTAGAGAAAATATAAACAAGAGCAATGACGCAATGAGAAAGAAAATGTAAATTAAAGCAGAAGGACAAGATGGGCAAGAAATGAGGAATATAAACTTGCTAGCGCCAGTCTCCTTAACACAGCTGAGTTTCCAGCTGCCTCTGAGTGTTCTCAACAGCTAGGTTAAAGTGGAGACAGAGTCATTACACAATTCTTCTCACCTCTGCTCTCCATCTGTACGTCAGGTTCTGTTCAAGGCACTCAGAATACAGCCTTGTTTTTAATGAGGAATAAATCAAGCCTTATTTTAATGAGGTTTTCATTCTAATTAGAAGTCAATAAACAAATACTGTGATAGGTCAAACTTCTTCAAGAATATGGAGCTCAATGAAGGAAGAGAAAGTTTCAGATACAAGCGCAATCAGAGGCCACCGAGGAAGGTCATCTGGGCAGAGGCTGAAGAAGTCTGAACAGCAAAGAAAACCTTCCTTGCCGAAGGAACCTGTGCAGAGGCGGAGGGGAGGAACCTACTTTGCAACCGAAGCACATACACAGCTGGTGTAACCAGACATTCAAAGCAAATGATGAGGTTGGGGATATAGCTCAGCAGCACAGTGCCTGCCTGGCAAGCACAAGGTCCTGTGTGCAAGTCCTAGTACAAAAAAAAAAGCAAATGATGGTGCGTGGTGGGAGGGAAAGGCTGACACATGGGGGCTTGTGGGCAGCAAAGACATCCTATGCTCACAGGAATCAGAACCCACTTACAGTCTTCAGCAAACTGCTGTGTGGAGGAGGCTCTAAGTGAAAAGTGGGGAGGGCGGACAGAAAACACCGCAGCAGCCCCAGCCATGGTGACTTAGACTAACGCAGGAGAGAGGTGAGGCGTGGATGGATTCAGGCTATGGCTTGAACACAGAGTTCGATGGACTTGGAATTACACATAGAACAGAAGAGCTGCAGCCAATGAACAAAGCCAGACTTTCCTGAACGCTAAATACTAAAGGGGTCACTAACACAAGTCGGGAGGAAAGAAATCAAAAGGTTCTTTCAGAGGATTCTATCACAAAACCTACCTAATGGTGGGATTAACTTTAAGAAAGGTAAATAAGGCCAGGTGTGGTGGCTCAAGCTTGTAATTCCAGCACTCAGGAGGCTGAGGCAAGAGTATCACTGGGAGTTTGAGGCCAGCCTGGGCTACAAAGTGAGTTCAAGGCCAGCCTGAACTATATAGTGAAACCCTGTCCCAAAAAGACAAAAAAAAAACACCTAAATAATTGAATAATATAAATGAAGAGCGAGGACTTGTAGATTATACTGTATTAAAATCCGAATCTTCAAAGGAAACAGAACGGACTCCTGTGTTCCAATGTTTAACAAAAACAATGTGGGAAATACACTCACACAAGACCTGGCTGAATAAACACTAGGAATAGAATCACATGCAATGAGAAGGAGGTTTCTGAGGTGATATATAAAGGGGATAAAGGTAAAAAGAAGAAGAAGAATAAACAGAAAAGTGGTTTTCCCCCATCCGTTCTCTTTATGAGGGGCACAAAAGGTGACAAGAGTGTTCTGAGCTCCCCTCCCCTCACTAAAGACCAATACCCCAATGGGCTAGGATAAGTAAATAAGAGACAGGGCCGGGAAGACAAGAGTTAGGAACCAGCCACTGAGAGATGCGGGGGAAAGAAAGGGCAACTGAAAGGAAAAGGAAATTTCTTTGGCAGAACTGGCCACATCCTTTCTGTTTAATGGGATACATCATAAACTCTGGTAAGCACTGGCTTCCTGTGTTTCCTTGGCAAAATGGAAACCAGAGATTTTAGGAAAACTTTAAAATAAAAAACATAAGAAAATATAAAATCCAAACATATGCAATCACTGTTTTCCCTTAAATTTAAACATAAGCATTACATTTCAGTAATTAAGAACACCATCTGAAAGCAATTAAGTACCTGCAGTTATCACAAGTTGCCAAATCAAAGTGATTCATAAGATAGGAATCCATAAATTCTTTCCCACATTCTTCACATATTGTATAATCAAATTCCATAACTGGTCCTAAAGAGAGACAATTGAATTCCTTAAGTTTCCTTTTTTGTGACTAGAACAATATATTTTCCTCCATTTTACTGGCTTATCATTGTATGTCTTATGCCAGACACAAATATCTTTAAGAGACAAAATAAAACATTGATTAAATAATCTTATGTCTAAAAATAATCTTTAAGAGGAAAAAAATAAAAGTAACATGAGAGAAGAAAGAACTATCCACGCAACAAGTATTTCTGAACCCCAACCATGTGCACGATACTAGTGTTAGTGTTCTCCTGCTGCTGTAAGAAATGATCACAACTGGAGTAATTTAAAATAATTTATCATCTCAGTTTAGCAGTCTGATGGGCCCAGTGGGTCAAAATCAAGGCGTGTGCAGGGCTGCGTTCCTTTCTAAAGACGCCAGGGGAGCACGGTTCCAGCTCCAGAGGCCGCCTGCATTTCTTGGCCCTTCCCCCGCCACCTTCAAGTCAGCAACAGCACTTCTCACATCGCATGGCTCGCTCCTTCCCTAGCCGCGGGGTTACCCGGGATGATCTCGCCTCTCAAGGTCTTCAACTGTATTTGCACACCCCCTTTTGCTTTAACTAATATTCATAAATCTCTTGGGATTAGGATGCAGACATCTTTGGGGGTCATCGTTCTGCTTACTACAATACTGAGAGTACTTCACGTTAATCCTGGAGTAGGAGACAGAGAAAGAATCTGCTTATGACAGCAGAGACAGGGTACTAACAGATAACAAGAACTACAAAGAACAAGGCGACAGGAAAGAGTTAATACAGAATTCCCTTCTAAATGGGAAAATTATTTTTCCCTCCATCCCACTCCATACTAACAGAGCAAAATTCCCTCTTTCTGTAATCTCAATTACTGGATTATAAACTCTTATTTTAGCCATGTACCCTCAACACCCAGCACAGAAACTTCTCTAGGCAAGGTAAAAACTAGATGTTTTAAAATGGATGTGAAATACCTTGTGAGGACCTTAATTCTTTAAGAATTAGTTCTGGCGTGTCTGAACATTACTAGTAAGTCTCTAGGACAGTGGTGGCAAACCTATTGCAGGCGTGCCAGAGAGGGCTGTTTGTTATGATTGAAAAGCTCTAAAAGGTTTGCCATCACTGCTTTAGGATGTTTGCTACAGTGAGGCCCCAACCTTGAGAACTACTGTAATTTCCAGTGGGAAGAAAGGAGTTGACACTTGTTCACTCTCCTACATATTCCTATCAGTATGTTCCTTTACTTTCCTCCAAAACAAGAACATCTGTCACTATCCCACCACTCCTTCGTTCTTTTGAGATAGGGTCTCACTAAGCTGTTCAGGCTGGGCTCAAACTTACGATCTTCTTGCCTCAGCCTACCTAGTAGCTGGGATCACAGGTATGACCAACATACCTGGCTTCAACAATTTCTTTTCTTTTTGTTTTTGGTGGTACTCAGCCTGGATTGAAACTAGGGCCTTTGCAAGGAGCAACATTCCCGCTCCTCATGCACTTTTTGAGACAGGGTCCTTTTAAGTTGTCCAGGTTGGCCTCAAACTTGTGACTTTCTGATTCCTAAAGTGCTGGGATTACAGGCCTGCACCAAGCCTGGCTTCCACAACCATTTTATAAAAGAAAAGTATGACATGCTCATTTATATCAAAATAGCCTCACAGAAAATACACGGAATTGTTGCCTGTGTGGGGCAGCGAGTGTTTAATGGGCACAGAGTTACAGTTGGGAAGATACAAAGTTCTGGAGACACATGGACGGTGGTGACTTGCTCAACAGAGTGAGTGAACTTCCTACCACTGGGCTGCAGACTTTGAACAGTTAAAATGGTAAAACTATATGTTATATATTTTACCTTGTACTTAAAAAAAAGACAACACCAACAGTGACGGACCTCACTGCTACACATTCTCTCCACGTGGTGCTGTCCCTGTGGGGACTGCACGCCAACTGAGGCTGTGGCCCTGGGTCAGCAGCAGCAGCTTCCACTCCGAACTGGCCAGACACAAGTTCTTGGCTCCATCTCAGACCTACTAACTCAAAAGCAGCTGCAGGGGTGGAGCCCAGCAATCTGTTTTGACAAAAGCTTCCTGTTGATTCTGATGAAATACCGTTCTTCCCTAAAAGTATTTGATAGGCTTTACTTTATAAGAAGCAAAACTTAATTGACCTAAATAAATTTTTGTTTCTCAGCTGTGCTACAGAAACAGACTAGCTTGCAAAATTAACAATGAAAAAGTTATAAAAGCATTAACTGCTCTTTTGGGTTTTTTTGTTTTTGTTTTTGTTTTTTCTTTGACACAGGATCTCATTAGTATGTAGTTCAGTCTGGCCTTGAACTCCTGGGGATCCACCTGCATCAGCCTCTTGAGTGCTGGGATCCCAGGCGCATGTCACCATGCCCATCTTTTGCTCCTCTTTTCTTCTACCCTATCACTCAGCCACATAAAGATGCACAAGCAGCCCTTGTGCAAAGGCCTCTGGCCACAGAGGAGAGGGATGCCCAAAGGGGTCCTGGCCCAGGCTATGTCATCCCCAAGAAAGCAGAACTTTCTAATTGTCACTCAAAGGGGACACACTGCCTAATTTGCACTAATTCACTACCAGTGTTCTATGTGCAAGCCACAGCTCCACATCAACGTATGCATAACAGCTACACACATATGTTAGTCAAGACACTACACTGGGTTCTCAACAGATATTTGCTTAGTGACCTATTAAATGCAAGCACAGGGTTTACAGATCATGGTAGATTCATCAATCTACAAAAATATAATCACCTTGAGCCTTCAATATCCACAAAATCACGGGAATTTAAAGGCTTGTCATTGAGTACATTCCCTCCTAATGCAGGGCTGCTTCTCCACATTTTTGCAGTTGGGTGGTATTGGTAAAGTCTTTCAATCTCTGAATCTCTAGTGCATCACTATTAGACAGCAGCAACCCATGAGGCTGGGAAATTCATTTATTTCAGAATCACTGCGAGCTTACATGATGTATATACCAACACTCTGTAAGTGCCACACACTAAATATACGCAGGGTGCACCTTTATTATAATGAGTTGAAACCTCCTTCTCTGTAATTGTCACCACAGTTTCAATTCTTCCCTCCAAAGAAAAATCACGTAAGTATAACATTTCTACCCCAGAGAAGTACTTCTAGCATTTGCAAGTAGCTGGAAGCAATTTCCAAGTTAAACCTAACCAATTTTGACAAGTGTCCTTCTATGTCAATTTTAACGTCTCATTCTGATCACCTTACCTTGGACCCTACATACTTGCCTATATTCCTCTTAAACTATGCCACCTAAAATAAGCACAAATATTTTAATCCTTCAAGCTTCAGCTTGCGAAAACAACAGTTTAGACATACACAGAAGAGAACATGGCTAGCTGCTACCTTGGTGAACACATACTTCTGCTGCGGTTTATTAAGCTACTATGTTTACCCTGCTCTCAAATTTAGGATCAAATAAACCTTTTTCATCCATCTCAAAATGTGAAAATACCCTTACCCTGAGGGTATACATATACAAGCTATAATAAAAATATGTAACATATATTTACATTTTTAAAATTTGTTACAGTGAAAGACAATGCCATTAATCTCCACCCCGAAATACTGGCCCACTTCAAACACACTTATCCCATCATTCTTGTCACTTTCTGAAGCAGTTCTGGAAGTCCTCTTGTATGAGTGTCTTTTCACGGTGTGATTAAAAAAAAAATACAGTCATCCAGTGGAAACGTAGGCTTGTAAAAACATTATGCTGCGCCCTCATGCACCTTATTCACAGGATCTGGCACTGTGAAATTTCTGGCTCTTCCCCAAAGTCAAAACACCATTAAAGGCAGATGTTTTGAATCAATGAAAGACATCAAAACAGCTACAACCATACAACTCAAGGCAATCACTACAGGGGACTTCTACAACTGCTTCAGAAAATAGCAAGAATGATGGGAGTGTGTTTGAAGAGAGGGGAGTACTTTGAGGGAGATTAATGGCAATGTCTTTTACGTAATGTTTTAATTTAAATATCCACTGTATATTTTGTCATATGTAATTGACTTACTGAAGCATTAACCTTATAAAATAGATATCTTTCTTTTTATCCCATGCCTCACTATCTTTATTTCGTAAACTTCTTTTTCTCCAAACATAAATCAAAGAATGTCTTAAATTTTATCTCTTGGGATTCTGGCCCCTCATTTCAGCTAATCAAGATAATTTTTTTGTTTCTTTTTATTTGTGCGATGGGATCTCACATATTACCCAGGCTAGTCTTGGCCTCCTGCCTCGGTCTCTGGAGTAGCTGGGACCACAAGTATGCCTAAGTTTATCAAGATAATTTTGAGGGTTTATTCTCTCCCTCAATATATTGACTGTCCCTACCTATTATAAGACAACAGAAAATATCAACATTAAAAGTTAAATAATCATTTCCATATGTAAGGGTGTTTCCATTATTTTTTTTCCCTTTAATTTACTAACAAAACCACCAAACATTACCATTCTCATAAAGTTAAATGGCTCACTGATGACAGTAACTATAGTGTTATTTTAACATCAACTTCCAAAGAATTATGCATATTATATAAAGTAACCAATCTAGACACTCATTTCCTGAAAAAGTGACAGTTTACCTGGTTGATGAACAATGTTTCCAATTTTATGTTCTTCTTCTTCCTCCTCTTCCAAAATAAAGCCCCCTTCTGTGTCAATTATTTTGGGGGCCACTTTCACATTTGTCATGCCTAGAAATAGTAAAGAGAAGTGGTCATCAGCTGAACTAGGTAAAACCATATGTTCTCTTATGCATAAACACGTACTTTCTTCAAATTTATTACCTATCAAATAAGACAAATGTTTTATATCTAGATGCCCCCCAAATCCTCATGTCCTCATAGGTGGGGCTTTGGAGAGGTGACTGGGTTAGGAAATACAATGCTCATCGGTGGATTAGTCCACTGTAACTAACTGTGATGTTGGGAGGTTAAGCCCGCCAGAGGAGATGAGTCACAGGGGGCGTGATCTGGAAAGGTACATCTCCTTCCTTCCTCCTTGGTCTCTCTCTGTTTCCTGCCATGTGCCAGGAAGGTACTTTTTCTCTGCCATGCCCCTCTGTCATGCCATGCTGCCTGACAGCCAGCAGATTATGAACTGAAACCTCTACAAATTGTGAGATAATTTTCCTCCTTTAAATTGTAGGTGTCGGGTATTATATCTCAGGGATGAGAAAGTAACGAGGTAACAAAGATATCAATATCACTACTTCTCTCAACATTGTATTGAAGGTCCCTACTAGGGCAACAGGGCAAGAAAACCAAAGAAACACAAAGACTAGAAAGAAAGAAGTAAAATGGTACTCATGGGTCAATAATGTGACTATGTATGTAAAATACCCACAAGAATCTACAATTACAACAGCTAACAATACTCTCAGAAGAGATGTATAAAATCTCTATAGTGAAAAATCTCAGAATATTAAAAGAAATCAAAGATAACCTGGGCCAGGGATAGAGCTCAGTGCAATAAGCGCCTGCCTGGCAAGTGCAAGGTCCTGAGTTTGATTCCCAGTAACAAACAAACAAAAAAAGATTAATAACAAAGATAACCTAAATAAATGGATAAATATACCACATATGCATTTTAAGCCTTGATGTATTATAAAAATGTCAATTCTTCCCAAATTTATTTAAAGGACCAAGGTGATCCCAGCCAAATCCCCAGAAGTAGGGCCTGCTTGTGGGAGAGGGGGTACTCATAACCTGGTTCCAACATTTATATGTGACTAGAACTTACAGCAGCCAAGATAATCTAGAAAAAGAAAACTGGAATATTTATATAACCAGACTTATTTCAAGAATTCTTATTTCTTTTATTTTGAGACAGGGTCTTGAGAGTTGCCTGCACTGGCCTTGCCAACCGACTGCATGAGCCTCTCAGGTGGCTGGGATTACAGGTAGGTGCTACCATGTCCGGCAAGAAGCTTAATACTGGTTTTTGCTCTATTTTATACCCACTTTGTTCCATAGCCATGTAGTACAGATTGCATGCACGCATGGGAAAGAATTAACCAGTGCAAATCAACCTTTACCAGTTATGTAAAAATTGGGTGTTAGAGACTTAGCTGAAATCTTGGGAAGTATCTAACCTAACTCACTTGCTTTTTAAGAGAAGGAAATAAGGCCTTCTCTATAAAACCCAGGATCACTCACATGGCTACAAGAAATCTGAACCACAACTCAGGTCTCTGAACTCTAAGATATATCTGAAATTTAGCTCCTGTTAGGAACAGGAAAAACACCACTCAAAACACCTCTGATTCCAGACATCGGTTCCCCGCAGACACACAATTCTCCAGTGGACACTAACTAGGAGTTCTACAGTTCAATTCTGACGCTGTCTACCTGGAATCAGGTCCCACAGGTTGAGGACTCAGTCCCTAAGGCAGCCCCACTGCAGATGCTATAAAGCAGGGTTCCCAAGACCCCTTCCTTGGGTTCTGTTAATTTGTCACAGTAACTCACAGAATTCAGGAAAACCTTTACTTCCCTTTCCCCATTTATTAAAAAGCTCCTTAAAAGGATACAGATAACAGCCAAATGAAACAATACACTGGGTAAGGCAGGTCTGAGCCAGGAGCCAGCACAGTAGCTTCCTTCCCCATGGAGTTGAGGTGTACCACACTCCTGGCACCCACAATTCCAGACTCCCAGAGGTCTAAGCAGATATTTAGCACAAACCACATTGTACAATTTGGCCTCAGTAAGCTACCAGCTTCCAAACACTGAAACACTCCAAAATCTGAGTTCCCAGATATCAAGCCTGCAAGCAGTCCTTTCTAAGATAGCATCTCAGGGCTGCTCTGTTAACTCGCTTCAGTACGACAGACTTAGGAAGGCAGTGAGCACCCATGACAGCCTATGGCAAAAATGATAGTAGTAGTAATAACTAGCATTTACCAAATGTTAACTTTGTACAAGACAATGTCAAAATCATTTTAAGAGGATTATTTTAACCAGAACTAACAGTGAGAAAACAGGATAAGCCTAATTGGGGAAACATCTATTTAAGAATTGCCTTGAGGGTTTACAGGTGGGAGAAGCAGAAAGAAAAGTGATTCATTAGTAACAGCAAACAATGATTGGAGAAGGGAACACTGCAAAATAGGTAACAAGCAGATTTAAAATTCTTAATTCAAGGGCTGGGGATTTAGCTCAGCGGCAAAAAGTGCCTGCCTGGCAAGCACAAGGTCGTGAGTTCAGTTCCTGGTACCGGAGAAAAACAAAAAAAATAAATAAATAAATTTAAAAAATAAAACTCTTAATGCATAAGTCTTTTCATGTAGAACTCTGGAGATGGTGAATGAAGTCAGAGGTGGAGTATTCAGAGAGGATATATTCATTTCTCCCAGAAGAGCCAAAGTTAGACCTTCCCAACACTGCATCATCCAACCTTGTCTCATTATCAAGTATTTTCTAGATTTGTCTGTGATATGGATCTATTTGGAACTCGAACTCTGCAGAACTTGCCAGGCTGTTGAAAACTGGGTGGGCCATTTACAACTCTAGAAACTGCCAGTAAAGAGTGCAGGGTTCAAGGTTTTATCCACCAATGTTTACACAGCTACATGGAGCATGTGAGAGTAACTCTGGATATACCTAACTCTCAAAGACTGTACTATGATCAAGGAAGATAATGAAAATCACTTCACACACTCTAAGGCATTACACAAATAGGCTTTTTAAATGACTTGGCAAACTTCTTTAAACCTGATTTAGTTGAAAGCAGATTCTCTGCCTATACACAGTTAAGGATAAAATTTTGCACTCAGTATCAACAGAGCAAATCTGATGGCAATTATGAAAGGAAGCTTTACATTGTATACAGCCATAAAATAAACAGGCAGTTGTTTAAGAGTGGGTTAGTGCAGGGAGCACTTTGTTGAGGAAGGAAGGGATGTTTGAGAAATGAGACTGAAAGGCAGAGGCATTCCCGCCTTTCACCCAGTCAAGAAGGATCCGAGCACCAGTGAGTAACACGCTTGTGTTAGGGGCTTGAGATAGAGAACGCGACACAAGACCACGGTATCTCCACCAAGACGCCTCCGCTACAGTGAAGAAATCACTTGCTTCATTTGCTCTCAAAAGAGCCAAGATTTCCATAAGGTACCGAGGGCAGAACCATACATGTGCTGGAAAGGTAAGGAGCTGGGTTACTGATAGGGAGAAACAAAGAAGTTCGGAGAAATACAGGAGTCAGGTGAGGGAAAGGTGCTTAGAGTTTATCATGTGGGCAACAAAAAACTATGGAAGGGTTTCAAACAGGAAAAGGAAAGAGTTGTGTGTTGGGCATATTGGCATTCAAAGAAAAAACTAGGAAGCTACTGCAACAGTCAAAGAAAACATGATAAGAGGCACAAATAACAATGGAGAAAAGGGAACAGTCCTAGAAATCTGTAGGTGTAATCTGAGTGAATTACTTCCAAGAGCAATGCCAACAGACAGACATATGGTTGACAGATTTTTTTGTTTGTTTGTCTGTTTGTTTTGCGGTACTGGGGATCAAACTCACGACCTTGCACTTGCCAGGCAGGCGCTTATGCCACTGAGCTATATCACCAGCCCGACAGATTTTTTTTTTTAAATGACAGACAGCTAAGGGTTGCCCTGTCCGTCCGATCCCACTGTGAGATGCCCTGAGTTCCTGATGAACAGAAATACATCGTTTTCCTTTTCTAGTCTCAGTTACCAGTAAAACAGATACCAAACTCTTCCTTTTATTTTCCCAGGACGGCTGTGAGAATCCAACAGGATAATCTGAAAAGCAAGTGTGGAGGCCTTAGAGGTTATTTTTAGGGCCAGACGTGGTGCCGCACGCCTGTAATCTCAGCACTCGGGAGGCTGAGGCAGGAGGATTGCGAGTTCGAGGCCAGCCTAAGCGCAAGGTCGTGAGTTCGGTTCCCGGTACCGGAGAAAAACCAAAAAAAAAAAAAAAAAAAAAAAAAGAGGTTACTTTTAGCCACAAGAGGGCAGTAGCTCACGTTTCTTGGTCGTCTCCAGGAAAAAGACCACTCAGAGGCTTTACTTGGGCGGATGAACCAGGGAGCGTGTAAGATTTAAATGGGTCACAGGTCTCTAAAGGCTTTGCAGAAGGACCACCCCTGGGGCTGGCAGAAGCGCAGCAGACTGAGGACAGAAAGGGAAGGTCTGGGAAGCCGAGGTGCTGACGGGCACTGCCAAGAAACCCCTGCCAGGGCGGCTGCAGCCCAGGCGGAACCGAGTCAGGGGCCTGGGCTCCACCGCGGAGCCACCCTGCGACACCCCACCAGGCCTGCGGGCCGCATTCCTCCCGGGCTGGGCGGGACGTGCGCACACCGGGGAGCTGGCGCCGGCGCGAGCCCTCAGGGACCAGGAAGCTGGGGGGCGCCGCCAGAGCCCAAACCTCCAGTAGCCGCAGCCGCCGTCGCCGGGTAGGGCCGGGCCGCTAGCCGGGCCTGGCGCAGCATCAGCGCCCGCTGCCGCTTCCGCTCGATGCTCGCGCGAACCGAGGCCGGCAGCTCCACTGGCTGCTCTGAGGCCGCGGGCTCCGGCGATACCTCCTCGGCCGCCGCCATCTCCAAGCTATCCCTTTGTGCTAGACGGAGCCCACAGCTTGGCCCAGGTGCTGGCACAGTCCATGGCCTCAGGGAGCGAGTGCGCCTGCGCAGTGAGGGGGCGGGCCGGAAATGGGCGGGAGCGGGCCGGAAATGGGCAGGGGCGGAGCCTAGATGTGAATAGAAGTTGGCTGCTCAACTAAAACCTGGACGCAGAGTTGGAGGTGAGGTGCTGTTTTAGGTCCTGGTCATCTTTTACATGGGAGTATCGCTTAGTGGTTCAGACCCATAAGATTAAATCCGAGCTCTGGTGCAATCTGTGATCTTTGGCAAGTTGTTTAGCCAGATTTCAGTTTCTTTGGTAATAAAATGATGATTATGGGGTCTCTTCCAGGGTCGTGGGAGGAATTAAATTTGCCAGCACCATGTCTGGCACAGAGGGAAAGCTTCAAACAGTGATAGCAGCGAGTAGTAGTGGTACCAGCTGCAGAGATAGACACATAACTTTGTTGGACACATGCCCTAGGGTACAGAGCTTTAGTTTTGAAGACCTGAGTTCAGATTTTCACTTGCTGTGTGACCTAGGCAAATACAGTACCTAGTACTAAAGCTAGCATGGAAGAGCTTGGCTGTCTTTTCCATGGAATTTTCCTGACGTGTGTATGAGCTGCTGCCAGATAGTAGAGCTGGACTGGGACCAAGTAACCTGACTTCACAGAAATGTTGCAAGTAGAACCAAAGAAATACCGTATGCTTTTCCAAACATGTTTACTTTTTCCTTGTTATGTAAAACTGAAATCCGGAGCATACAATCCTACTTTCTAATCACTACATGCACCATCTCGGACTAGTTTTTAGAAAGACTATTTTGGACTATATTAGATTATTCAATGATTAATTTGGAGAACAAAATTTAATCTATTGACCCTATATATTATTTACAATTTATCAGAACCTCCAAATATGATATAAGGGAAATATGACAGCTCCCAACCTGATAGATGTCTGATACACCAAGTTTGTGTTCTCTAAAATTGAAGAGTGAATACTAGAAGCAACGGAAGTTAAGAGTAGGAAGTACTTACTGCGGAATAGAAAACTGCCTGAGAAGGATAGGAGGGGACACCTGGAAAGTGGGTTGCCAGAGGACCTCACTTATTAGAAGTTTCATGGAGCTCAACCACCTGGGTACATTGTGGGTTGCATTTATGATCAACCAAGATTTTAAGTATAGTTGCTTAGGTAAACTTGATCCAATGGGAAAGCTAATAACCTAGCAGGTGGGCATGGAAAGAACAAAGAACTTCCCAGGTAGGTGATGAATCCAGAGCATGGAGAGGACAAAGAACTCAGGTGATGAAACAAGGGGTCTTGGTTGCCATTGAGGTGACTGATGCCTGTCTAGACTGTATTAGACCAGGTGTTATCACTTATCTCATCCCTTGGGGAGTATGTAGGCCTGGTCCTTTTGTTGTCTTGAGGCCGGATCTCCGACTGATGCATCCTAGGCACCCACAGTTGTAATGTGTTTTCACCTTTTGTCTTGACTCTTTCGAGGACTCAGCCTTGTCTGATTGCCTATAATAGTTTTACCTAATTTAGCTGTCATATCTTGACAGCAAAAGCACAAGCAACAAAAGAAAAAATATATTGGAGCCAAGCCTCGTGGCACAGCTCTCTGTAATCCCAGCACTCTGGGAGGCTGAAGTAGAAGGATCCCAAATTTGAGCCTAGCCTGGGCAACCTATTGGTTTAGCAAGATCCCATCTCAAAATTGGAAAAAAAAAAAAAAAAAAGGACTGAGAATGTAGCTCAGTGTGAAGGTCCTGGGTTCAATCCCTTTACCACAAAATTAATTAATCACGTTAGCCTTAAACTTTTGTATGTCAGACAACACTACCAAGAAAGTTAATCCATAAAATAGGGGAAGTATTTATAAATTAGGTATCTGATAAGGATCTAGTATCCAGAATATATAAATAACTATTCCAACTCAACAATGAAAAGGGAATCCAATTTAAAAATAAGCAAATGATGTGAATACACATTTTTCTAAAGAAGATATACAGGTGTCCAACAAACATGTGAACAGATAGTCATCATTATTCATTAGGGAAATGCAAATCAAAAGCAGGGTAACACCTTCTATCCACTAGTATGGCTAGAATTTAAAAAGAAAAAAAAATGGAAAATAGTAAGTATTGGTGAGGAGGTGAAGAAGTTAGAACCCTCCTACATTGATGGTAGGAATGTAAAATGTAGCCACTGTGGAAAATAATTTGACAGCTCCTTAGAAAGTTACACATAGGCTCCACCATCTGAGTCAGCAGTTTCAGCCCTGGGTATATACCCAAAGGAATTAAAAGCAGGTGTTCAACAAAAACTTCCACCCAAGTGTTTACAGCAGAACTATTCTTAGTGACCAAAACTTGGAAACTACCCAAATGTCTTATTAGCTAATGAATGGATAAAAACATAGTATATCCATTCAATAGGACATTATTCAGCCATAAAAAAGAATGAGATAATAGTACATGCTACAACATGGATGGTCCTTGAAAACATTATGCTCAGTGAGAGAAGCCACTCACAAAATGCCACATTTTGTATGATTCCATTTATATGAAATACACAGAAAATTCATCGTGACAAAAAGCAGATTGTCAATTGCCAGGGGCTGAAGGAAAAGTGTGGAGGGGGACTGCCTAATAGGTATGGGATTTCCTTTTGAAAGGATAAGAATGTTCTAGAACTAGATACCTGGTTGTTGCACAACATCGTGAATGCACTGCATGTCACTAGTGGTAAATTTTATTTTATGCGTATGTTACCACAATAATAGAAACTTCAAATTCCAGTGGGACCCAGGTAGGTAATGAAAGTTAATGAAACTGACCAGGTGTGAAACTGAGGCAAACTGGAGTGTGAAGCTCTCTCTTAAAGGGGGCAGCACTTATACAGAACTGCAAGTGGTGGCTATAGAGAGAGAACATGGGCCCACTGTTGCCGAGATTGTGCATCCCTTTAAGAAAAGTAACTACCATTTAAACTCGGAGGTATGATAGACACTGTGAAATGATAGGAAACCGCTGAAGAGTAAAGGGCTTCCGGGATGTGTGAAAAGAGAAGGGAAAGAAGGAGAAATTCTGTATGTATGTATATACAGGATAG